CGAGATACCGGCATTGGCCGCTGGCTTGGCAGCTGGCTTGGCAGCACGAGCCTCGGCCAACTGCCGACGCAGGTACTCGACTTCCTGCTCAAGTCTCAGGTTCTTTGAGACCAGTGGAGAGACCGACGTCGGAAATAGATCCCCCTCCAAGGTGTCCACAACCTGTGTGATCCCTGCCAAACCCTCTTTCAGGGTCCTTATGGTGGTCCCTTTGAGGGTTCCCTGCCTTCTTCGCGACATCGGTGAGAGCATCCGCTTGCCGGTGGACGAGACACTTCGCCCTGCGGATTACCTCCTCGGCCACTTTATTCTTATTCTCGGCGGCGGCAGTGGCAGTGGCGCCAGACGCCGTCGGCCTATCCGACTCCGACTGTATATCCGACGCTTCATCCCCAGAGGAGAAAAAGTCACTCTCATGATAATCCAGGGCCGTCGCTGGAGGCAATCCAGACTTGGTAGCACCCGCCCCAGGGATCGCTCCGGTTATATCGTCCTCAAAGAATCGATAGCCGAACTGCCGCCGACATTCCTCCTTCGTCCTTGTGCGAGAACTTGCTCTCGACCTCACTCTAGGGCTGCCGGACCTTTTGCGGGCGGACTGGACATCGCCCTCATCCTCAACTATAGAGTCTGTGTCAGACTCAGCAATGTGTCTTTTACGCCAGGAGCGGAGACCAGACGTAGACGGCAACGGTTCCATTTCCATCTCCTCAGTTGGGGTTACACACGAGCTCGACCGCGTAGACCCGCAGTCGATCTCGCCCGCAACCGCTCTCAACAGACTATGGCGAGTACGACGACGACCTAAGAGACCAACATCTTCGCCCAGTACTACCGAACACTCTGTCAGGAGTTCTAGCCCCGACTTCTTACTTTCTACGCCCTTCTCAGGCACCAACTTCTCTCCGCCCTTCGCGGGCACCGACTTCTCACCGTCCTTCTCAGACACGACATCAATTTTGGGTTTTGTTTTTGTTTTTGATATATCCATACTTGTTCCCACGAGTATGGGGGAAAGGTTTCACACGCAGGGGAGCCCCCTGCTTCTGCGTGCGGCCTACATACAACGGGGTGCGGCAGATACCCCGAGGTTGGTGCCCTTGCGGCCGATGATACTCCACCGACCCGCCCGCAGCACAGAACACGCTAACCGAACTTTTATTGTCCGGTAGCGTGCACCGCACAACGAACTATGAATCGCCGGGCACCGAAGCTTACACAAGAGGATTTTTATAGAGGTTTACTCCTCTCGGCCCATGCGGTTAAGCCAAGGCCCCCGTCCCCTCACTCGGGTGCGAAACATGACCACACCTCCGCGAGGGATTACGGTTTTTCGGCGGTGGCACTGAAACCAGCCCGGCTGCGCAACGAAGCACTCACCGGGCCCGCCGACCACTCCCACTACGAGAAGTCGCGGAACAAAACCCGCCCCCAACGAAAACACGACAAACCCCATAACTTGGGCTCGCCGCTCACCACCTCGTGTCGGAATATTAGCCGTCGGTAAGTGAGATCTCTAAATAGCGAGAAGTCACTTACCGCCGTTGCCCAGGATGCACCAGGCCCCAGCCATTGTCAGCCACCGTTCCCGCCGGACGTATCCGCACCAGGACAAGTGACCGTACAATGAGCCAGGGCACTCTTGGAGGTTTTCCGACCCAGCACCCCAACCCCTAACCTAACCTAACCTAACCTAACCTAACCTAACCTAACCTAACCTAACCTAACCCTAACCTAACCTAACCTAACCTTTTTTTTTTTTTTTTTTTTTTTTTTACATGTGGAAAATGCGTCATGCAGAGACACACCCCCGGGGGAGGGTGTGAATACTGCCGGACTCCTACCGGCTAAAAACCACATGGCATTCCCTCGCCGCGCCTTTGTGTTGGGGACCCGGGTTCCCTTGCGTAGTCCACCGGGATCCCAACGGCGTTGGCCCGCACCGGCTCGCGGGCCCCGACTCAGTTTGGGGCGGGTACGAGATGTTGAATACCCACCCCCGTCTAGGGGAAGCGCGCGGGGATGCGCGCGCGACTTCCCAGGGCCATGTTGGTATGGGGTGGGACTGCCCCCGCAGTCGTCACCCCGGCCCTGTGGCGATGTAATTATCGCCGGAGAGGAGGGCGGGACTACCTGCCCGTTTCCATCTCCTCTCCCTCCACACTCACCCGGCCTGCTGGGTTCGGCAATTTCACCGGTTGCTTCTTACGCTTCTTAGGAGGAGTGCAGGCCTTGGACCCCACCCAATGGTCCGACGGCCGGCCCTGCGCTGAACACACAGCGCACTTTGGGTCGACCGCGCACATCGCCGCCTTATGGCCTTCGTTTCCGCAGCGGTAACATAGACCGCTGCGGTCCTGCTCATGACTGCAGGATGCCCGCACATGTCCTTCCTCCAAGCAGCGGAAGCACCGAAGCGGCCTCTGCCGCAGGAGCTCTGCTTTCGCCGAAACCCAGCCTATACGAACTCGGCCGGCGACCGTCATCTTCTTAACTGCTTGCAATGGAGCTTTAACCCAGCAAGTGCCCACCCCAGATCTAGTACGTCGAACCTCTCCGACTCGCACTTGGTCCACCTGACAGCCGCCCTCCCGGGCAACCGCAGCGACCACTTCCTCCGACGTAACACTGTCGTCCAGGCCCGATATCCGCATCTCCGCGGACTTTACGGGCCTGGAGATTTTGGCCATATTCTCCGGGATGAACTCCCGGAGCTTCGACGCCAGAACGTCGGCCTTCTCGCGCCATCAGCACCTGGAACCTCTAGAACCTTACCGCCGGTGATCGCGGTGCGAAACCGCATATCTTCGATCCCCAATGCGCGGAGATCGATCCTTCTCTTGGCCTCCGCAAGGACATTCGCATACGCGACACCCTCCCTTTCCGCCTCTGGGTCCAACGTAATAATAACCGCCGCGGAGCGAGGCGGTTTCAGTTTAGAAGGCGAGGGTGCGCTCGTCTTCTTTGCCTTCTTCGAGGGGGCCGAACCGGCTTTCGTCACCGGAGGGTTGACAGCCACAGGCTGCCCTTCGGGAACACTGACGGTCTTGCCCCGTTTTCCTTTTACGACCGTCGCCCAGGAGGACGCGGTCGCCTGCACAGGCGGCTGAGCGGATGTTGTTGCTACCGACTCGGGCTGTCCAGAGGGCGCCGGTGTGACGGGCGTCTTCTTCGCCTTCTTTTTCTTGGCCCGACCCGTTTCTGACTGGGGAAGAGAACCCCGGTCGCCGACTCTAGGGGGTCGGGCACATCTGACGCCATTGTTCCAGCCTCTGGCAAGGTTTGCGTGGAGACCGCAGACGCAGACGACACCTTCTCAGTGGAGGGGAGGGCAGAGATCATCTCTTTCACCTCCTTCATAAGCGTCCCTACCATTTGGCGGACGATTCCGCCGACGTCCCTCATTATTTGAGCGCGGAACGCGCTCGCCTCACTCCCTACGACAGGGACAACATCCGCCGAGATACCGGCATTGGCCGCTGGCTTGGCAGCTGGCTTGGCAGCACGAGCCTCGGCCAACTGCCGACGCAGGTACTCGACTTCCTGCTCAAGTCTCAGGTTCTTTGAGACCAGTGGAGAGACCGACGTCGGAAATAGAGCCCCCTCCAAGGTGTCCACAACCTGTGTGATCCCGGCCAAACCCTCTTTCAGGGTCCTTATGGTGGTCCCTTTGAGGTTCCCTGCCTTCTTCACAACATCGGTGAGAGCATCCGCTTGCCGGTGGACGAGACACTTCGCCCTGCGGATTACCTCCTCGGCCACTTTATTCTTATTCTCGGCGGCGGCAGTGGCAGTGGCGCCAGACGCCGTCGGCCTATCCGACTCCGACTGTATATCCGACGCTTCATCCCCAGAGGAGAAGAAGTCACTCTCATGATAATCCAGGGCCGTCGCTGGAGGCAATCCAGACTTGGTAGCACCCGCCCCAGGGACCGCTCTGGTTATATCGTCCTCAAAGAATCGGTAGCCGAACTGCCGCCGACATTCCTCCTTCTTCCTTGTGCGAGAACTTGCTCTCGACCCCACTCTAGGGCTGCCGGACCTTTTGCGGGCGGACTGGACATCGCCCTCATCCTCAACTATAGAGTCTGTGTCAGACTCGGCAATGTGTCTTTTACGCCAGGAACGGAGACCAGACGTAGACGGCAACGGTTCCATTTCCATCTCCTCAGTTGGGGTTGCACACGAGCTCGACCGCGTAGACCCGCAGTCGATCTCGCCCGCAACCGCTTTCAACAGACTATGGCGAGTACGACGACGACCTAAGAGACCAACATCTTCGCCCAGTACTACCGAACACTCTTTCAGGAGTTCTAGCCCCGATTTCTTACTTTCTACGCCCTTCTCGGGCACCAACTTCTCTCCGCCCTTCTCAGGCACTACTTTCTCACCGTCCTTCTCGGACACGACATCAATATTGGGTTTTGCTTTTGATATATCCATACTTGTTCCCACGAGTATGGGGGAAAGGTTTCACACGCAGGGGAGCCCCCTGCTTCTGCGTGCGGCCTACATACAACGGGGTGCGGCAGATACCCCGAGGTTGGTGCCCTTGCGGCCGATGATACTCCACCGACCCGCCCGCAGCACAGAACACGCTAACCGAACTTATGATGTCCAGTAGCGTGCACCGCACAACGAACTATGCATCGCCAGGCACCGAAGCTTACACAAGAGGATTTTTATAGAGGTTTACTCCTCGCGGCCCAGGCGATTAAGCCAAGGCCCCCGTCCCCTCACTCCGGTGCGAAACATGACCACACCTTCGCGAGGGATTACGGTTTTTCGGCGGTGGCACTGAAACCAGCCCGATTGCGCAACGAAGCACTCACCGGGCCCGCCGACAACTCCCACTACGAGAAGTCGCGGAACAAAACCCGCCCCCAACGAAAACACGACAAACCCCATAACTTGGGCTCGCCGCTCACCACCTCTGTCGGAACATTAGCCGTCGGTAAGTGAGATCTCTAAATAGCGAGAAGTCACTTACCGCCGTTGCCCAGGATGCACCAGGCCCCAGCCATTGTCAGCCACCGTTCCCGCCGGACGTATCCGCACCAGGACAAGTGACCGTACAATGAGCCAGGGCACTCTTGGAGGTTTTCCGACCCAGCACCCCAACCTAACCTAACCTAACCTAACCTAACCTAACCTAACCTAACCTAACCTAACCTAACCTAACCTAACCTAACCTAACCTAACCTAACCTAACCTTTTTTTTTTTTTTTTTTTTTTACATGTGGAAAATGCGTCATGCAGAGACACACCCCCGGGGGAGGGTGTGAATACTGCCGGACTCCTACCGGCTAAAAAAACCACATGGCATTCCCTCGCCGCGCCTTAATGTTGGGGACCCGGGTTCCCTTGCGTAGTCCACCGGGATCCCAACGGCGTTGGCCCGCACCGGCTCGCGGGCCCCGACTCAGTTTGGGGCGGGTACGAGATGTTGAATACCCACCCCCGTCTAGGGGAAGCGCGCGGGGATGCGCGCGCGACTTCCCAGGGCAATGTTGGTATGGGGTGGGACTGCCCCCGCAGTCGTCACCCCGGCCCTGTGGCGATGTAATTATCGCCGGAGAGGAGGGCGGGACTACCTGCCCGTTTCCATCTCCTCTCCCTCCACACTCACCCGGCCTGCTGGGTTCGGCAATTTCACCGGTTGCTTCTTACGCTTCTTAGGAGGAGTGCAGGCCTTGGACCCCACCCAATGGTCCGACGGCCGGCCCTGCGCTGAACACACAGCGCACTTTGGGTCGACCGCGCACATCGCCGCCTTATGGCCTTCGTTTCCGCAGCGGTAACATAGACCGCTGCGGTCCTGCTCATGACTGCAGGATGCCCGCACATGTCCTTCCTCCAAGCAGCGGAAGCACCGAAGCGGCCTCTGCCGCAGGAGCTCTGCTTTCGCCGAAACCCAGCCTATACGAACTCGGCCGGCGACCGTCATCTTCTTAACTGCTTGCAATGGAGCTTTAACCCAGCAAGTGCCCCCCCCAGATCTAGTACGTCGAACCTCTCCGACTCGCACTTGGTCCACCTGACAGCCACCCTCCCGGGCAACCGCAGCGACCACTTCCTCCGACGTAACACTGTCGTCCAGGCCCGATATCCGCATCTCCGCGGACTTTACGGGCCTGGAGATTTTGGCCATATTCTCCGGGATGAACTCCCGGAGCTTCGACGCCAGAACGTCGGCCTTCTCCGCGCCATCAGCACCTGGGACCTCTAGGACCTTACCGCCGGTGATCGCGGTGCGAAACCGCATATCTTCGATCCCCAATGCGCGGAGATCGATCCTTCTCTTGGCCTCCGCAAGGACATTCGCATACGCGACACCCTCCCTTTCCGCCTCCGGGTCCAACGTAATAATCACCGCCGCGGAGCGAGGCGGTTTCAGTCTAGAAGGCGAGGGTGCGCTCGTCTTCTTTGCCTTCTTCGAGGGGGCCGAACCGGCTTTCGTCACCGGAGGGTTCGCAGCCACAGGCTGCCCTTCGGGAACACTGACGGTCTTGCCCCGTTTTCCTTTTACGACCGTCGCCCAGGTGGACGCGGTCGGCTGCACAGACGTTTGAGCGGAGGTCGAAGCCACCGGCTCGGGCTGTCCAGAGGGCGCCAGTGAGACGGGCGTCTTCTTCGCCTTCTTCTTCTTGGCCCGACCCGTTTCTGACTGGGGAACAGAACCCCGGTCGCCGACTCTAGGGGTGTCGGGCACATCTGACGCCATTGTCGCGGCCTCGGGCAAAGTTTGCGTGGAGGCCGCAGACGAGGACGACACCTTCTCTGGAGGGGGGCGAATGGAGATCATTTCTCTCACCTCTTTCATAAAAGTCCCTACCATTTGGCGGACGATGCCGCCGACATCTCTCATTATTTGAGCACGGAATGCGCTCGCATCACTTCCTACAACAGGAACACCGTCTGCCGAGATACCGGCCTGGGCCGCTGGCTTGGCAGCTGGCTTGGCAGCACGAGCCTCGGCCAACTGCCGACGCAGGTACTCGACTTCCTGCTCAAGTCTCAGGTTCTTTGAGACCAGTGGAGAGACCGACGTCGGAAATAGATCCCCCTCCAAGGTGTCCACAACCTGTGTGATCCCGGCCAAACCCTCTTTCAGGGTCCTTATGGTGGTCCCTTTGAGATTTCCCGCCTTCTTAACGACGTCGCTAAGAGCATCCGCTTGCCGATGGACGAGAAGTTTCGCCCTATGGAGTACCTCCTCGGCCACTTTGTTCTTGTCACCGGCGGCAGCGGTGGTAGTGGCGCCAGATGCCGTCGGCCTGTCCAGCTCCGTCGGTTTGTCTGGCTCCTCATCTCCGGAAGAAAAGAAATCACTCTCGTGATAATCTAAGACCGTCACTGGGGGCAGACCAGATTTGCCAGCGGCTGTCCCTTCATCTTCGAAGAATCGGTATATGAATTGCCGACACTCCTCCTTCTTTCTAGCGATCGAACTGGCTCTCGATCCCACTCTAGGGCTGCCGGACCTTTTGCGGACGGATTGGACATCGCCCTCATCCTCGACCGTGGAGTCCGTATCGGACTCGTTAAGACGCCTTTTGCGCCAGGAGCGTAGTCCAGATGTTGACGGCAACTGCTCCGTCTCCATGCCTTCATCAATTGGGGATGCGCACAAGCTCGACCGCGAAGACCCGCAGTCGGTCTCGCCCGCAACCGCCCTCAACAAGCTGTGACGAGTGCGACGGCGACCCAACTCCACAACATCCTCGCCCAGTACAACGGAGCACTCTTTCAGAACCTCCACTTCCGACTTCTTTTTACTAACACCGCCCTTCACGGGCACCGACATCTCTCCGCCCTTCGCGGGCACCGACTTCTCACCGTCCTTCTCGGACACGACATCAATTTTGGGTTTTGTTTTTGACATATCCATACTTGTTCCCACGAGTATGGGGGAAAGGTTTCACACGCAGGGGAGCCCCTGCTTCTGCGTGCGGCCTACATACAACGGGGTGCGGCAGATACCCCGAGGTTGGTGCCCTTGCGGCCGATGATACTCCATCGACCCGCCCGCAGCACAGAACACGCTAACCGAACTTATGATGTCCGGTAGCGTGCACCGCACAACGAACTATGCATCGCCGGGCACCGAAGCTTACACAAGAGGATTTTTATAGAGGTTTACTCCTCGCGGCCCAGGCGGTTAAGCCAAGGCCCCCGTCCCCTCACTCGGGTGCGAAACATGACCACACCTCCGCGAGGGATTACGGTTTTTCGGCGGTGGCACTGAAACCAGCCCGGCTGCGCAACGAAGCACTCACCGGGCCCGCCGACCACTCCCACTACGAGAAGTCGCGGAACAAAACCCGCCCCCAACAAAACACGACAAACCCCATTACTTGGGGTCGCCGCTCACCACCTCTGTCGGAACATTAGCCGTCGGTAAGTGAGATCTCTAAATAGCGAGAAGTCACTTACCGCCGTTGCCCAGGATGCACCAGGCCCCAGCCATTGTCAGCCACCGTTCCCGCCGGACGTATCCGCACCAGGACAAGTGACCGTACAATGAGCCAGGGCACTCTTGGAGGTTTTCCGACCCAGCACCCCAACCTAACCTAACCTAACCTAACCTAACCTAACCTAACCTAACCTAACCTAACCTAACCTAACCTAACCTAACCTAACCTAACCTAACCTAACCTAACCTAACCTAACCTAACCTAACCTAACCTAACCTAACCTAACCTAACCTAACCTAACCTAACCTAACCTAACCTAACCTAACCTAACCTAACCTAACCTAACCTAACCTAACCTAACCTAACCTAACCTAACCTAACCTAACCTAACCTAACCTAACCTAACCTAACCTAACCTAACCTAACCGCAGGTTTAATTACTTTCCCATCGAATATCCCGATGGAGTGAGATGAAATTATAGCGAGTTGTAAACTTTCAGTAGTGACATCTTGTGGCCGTTGGTAGCACTATTACTTTATGTGCGACATCTTGTGGCCATTACTGTTACTATTACTTACGTAGATAGCGATGTCTTGTGGCCAGCAGTAGCACTAATTACCATTAGTTCACTGGATTGTGTCTTGCTTAGTATATTATGTTGCTTGCTTATATTATTATAATATATTGAAGTATATTATATATATTATATATTCTGAATACGACCATATTCACTTTTATTTCACCAATTCGGCCATATTCATTATTCAAAACGGAACGGAACCGAACTTTTTTTTTTTTTTTTTTTTTTTTTTTTTTTTTTTTTTTTCTAAATGTAAATGTTAATCTAAATGTTAAACCTTTGATAATCGTTGATTCTACATTGGTACGGCCAATTTTGATAGTCTGCAATCAGTAGCCTGTATCCATCTTTGCTTTTGTATGTCAGCGGATCTTTGACGAATCCATATTCGCAGTTGCGAAAACAGAACAGGTAGATGTGGATACGGGCCTACCACCCTCGTTCTTGAGCCTCTTCTAGCTAGTTCGTCTGCGGCGTCGTTGCCATAAGATCCACTGTGCCCTTTTATCCATTGGAGGATAACTTGGTTATTGGAAGATATCTTATCCAGTGAATTGTGGCTTTCAATTATAAATTTGTTGTTTGTCTTGTTATTTCGTAATGCTTTTAGTACTGCTGCGCTGTCAGATAAGAATCTAATGTTAATACCATTTATTCTTAGCTTATGTACAGCTTATGTGAGCTGCAGCAGCCTCGGTTATTGCAACACATTCGCATTGGAATATTGAGCTATGTACGCCAAGCGGTATATGCACGTTTGTATTAAGGTTTAAGGAAAAGACTCCTGCGGGCCTACCACGAATGTAACTGTCCGATTATCGCGTCCGCAACGAAACACGACCGAAATTCTAATCCAAAGGAACCATGAAGTTTCTTCGGAATAAGTTATTTCGGACGGGTACCATAGACTATGTTCGTGAATGAATGAAAGATGAGAGGTCTTTTATTAGACACCTTTAAATTAGAAAAAAAAAAAAAAAAAAAAAAAAAAAAAAAAAAAAAAAAAATGAAGTGGTATACTCCGGATAAAATAAAATGTACAGTCGTTTATATTTAAATGTATGGAAATTATAAACTTTTAAAATTAGTAGTATTATATGTCAAAAGGAAACGTCTATTTGACTAAAAAAAAAAAAAAAAAAAAAAAAAAAAAAAATGGCAGAAATAGAAATTGGAATAACGGTACTGCGTGTGACAAATATTTTCGTTTTTATTTTTTTTTATAATCTTTTAATTTATAAAAGGTAAGATATTTACAAGTGCTTTGAAATGACTATTTATCGTTAAATTTGTTCGTTAAACATCAATGAAAATGAACATCTAATAATTTTGATTTTATTTATTAGTTTTTTTGTTAGCGTTAACACGTATTTATGCATTTAGATGAGTAATCCCACTGTGGATCAAGTGGATACCCTTCTGACATTTCTAGAAGAGCACCAGGAGTTAGCTCGTGGCCGCTGTAGAAATGCAGAAGGGCGAACAAGATCCAACGAATTATGGGTTCGTCTCACAGACGAACTCAATGCATTGGGTGGATGTACTAAAACTATGAAGCAGTGGCCGAAGGTAAGCACTTTTCTGATATATTTTCAATTATATACATATATTCTTTATTATACTCGTAAAAGATACAGCGATTAGTTTAACAACTTGTTAGCAAAGGTGGGCTTATGTCTCAAAGAGAACTCTTCCAACGATTAGCAAGTAATCAAATGTAGGAAACGTTCAAGAACAAAGAACTTAACATTAGTAAGTAGTAACAGTAAATACATATGTATAAATATGCAAATTTAATATATAATAATATATATACTATATAAACAAATACAATACATACAAAAGCAAAAGCATAGTATTATTATGTATTATTAGTTAAAAAGTTGAAGTCTCACTTTTCTTGAAGGAAGTAATCGAATGACTATCTACCTATACAATATTCTTTCTTTATTATTATTAAATCTTTTCTCTTCTTATTCATTTTCCTTTACTTCTTTCCAGTCTGCAGAGGTTGCCTGTATGAGATTGCTTTTAAGGATAAGGCTGCTAATTGTTTTTTCAACGTGACCTTGTAATTTTTTTGTTTCAATAAGTTTACTGCTATAATCTTTTGAAGATTCTATTTTAGTACATGATATGCATTTAATATGTTAAGTAAAACCATTATCATTTATTACAGTACAATTTTGTTATTAAATAAAATTTTCCAATACTCGTACTTTATAAATTTTAGGTATGGGCTGACAAAAAATATTTAACGAAAAAAAAAAAAAAAAAAAAAAAAAAAAAAAAAAAAAAAAGCTGCTGCTGCTGCTCGAAGGTCTGCCAGAGCCACTGGGGGTGGGCCATCATCTGCTGAGCCTTTAAACCCCATACAAAAAAAAAAAAAAGAATATTGGCTGTTATGGGAGAAGGATTTGGGGAACCTCAGTCGGATGCATGTGTACCTGCATTTCCAGAGGTATGTTGTAAAACCATATATTAAAATAGTGCTAACTGTTATCTGTAGACATATATAACATCATGGATATCATCAAAATACATGGTGATTTCCATGGTATTCCTCGTGCACTACCATTCCTGTTATTTCTGTATATAAGCTCATAGCCTTTTCCCACCTTTCAAACTGAAATACAGGTATGCAAGAACAGCTGCTTCATAGCAGAAATATGAGTGGGACAGAGTGGGTACCTCTTGCTCTACCTCAGAGCAGATGACTGTTGTTGTTGTGATTAAGACTGTCTATTGCAATATCCTGCTAATATTTTATGTGTCAAAGTAAACACATAGAATACTTAATATACTAATGAGTGAAGGCAAAGTCACGGGAAACAGCTAATGTATATAAATGTTTTTAGGTGCCCTGCTCAGCAGATGAAGCTCCATCACAAAATATAGAGCAGCAACAGCAGCAAAATCCCCAGCAACTGATGCAACATCACGGGTTCATATTTTCTAATGCATAAATATAATTAAGACAAGTTGCCTTAGTTATATTTGTACATTTTCAAAACATTTCCGGCATTTCATAATGTTGATTGAAACTATTTAGAATGATCAAGTATGTATTTATAAATTTTATGTTAATTGATATGTTGTGGTGATGACCAAAAAGATGAATGGACTGTGTGAAAGATGACGTCCATAAGAGTGCACCTAGGTGTAATAAATAGAGAAAATAGTTGGTAAGACATTTGATGACCAGCGCTGCATTATCCATTAGTTAGTACAGGCAACTGCCATATTCAGTATATTTGTATTTCTAATTTTTATATGTAGAAAAATATTATAGCAGTTTTTTGTGGGCCAGATTTGCATTGCCTGGGAGTCCTGACATGGATTTTTCAGATTGCTGATGATCAACTTTAAAGAACGTACTAAAAGCATGGAAATAAATTATTTATTTTATTATAAGTAACACTGCTGAAGAAAGAGATGATAGTGATGATATTATCTTTATATATTTTATATCTGTCTTCCAAATGCCTCTTATTATTTCATAAATTCAATTTAACTTTTATAATTTTATGTATACTCAATTCAATATATACACAGTTTTTCAATGTCAACTAAGAAGTAAAGATAAGACAGTACTAACAAATAACACTATTACTTATACTGTATTACTGATTAAAAAAAAAAAAAAAAAAAAAAAAATTATATAATAAATAAATTATTGTTATATGAAAATATTTCTGTAAATATTAAGATTATTAGTTGTGGGGGCTTATAGTCCTAATCACTAGTATATTCCTAGTCATCAAGTCTGCTATTAGTACCAATCATACATACAGAAAATAATAATGATAATTATTTAAAAAAAAAAAAAAAAAAAAAAAACTGTTTTTTAGAACTTCAACGACTGCTACACGTCCAGAGCGACGACGCCGTCGAGCAGACGCCATTGGATCTGAACGCAGTGTACGCAGGCGTCTGTTCGAAATGGAGGAGCGGCGAATCGCAGCGGAGGATCGACGAGTGGCAGAGTTAGGGCTGATTCGCGAAACACTCCAGGAACTGAATGAATTAATAAGGGATGGATTGGAGGGAATACTTATGGAATTAAGACAAATGAATAGATAATTTTTTTTTTTTTAATTGTTAATTGTTGTTGATTTGATTAATGTTGATTTGTTGATTTATGTTAGTTTGTTGATTTGTTAATATATATATATGTCTTACCAGTTTATCAGATAGACACTAGTCATTAATTTAATGCGCCTTGAACTAAGTTATTTAGTTTGCATATACTTATACAATATTTTTCTGTTTGGGTACATTTCTTATTTCTGATGTGATTCGGTTTGAATGGAAGAATATGGCAAAGAAATTACAGGGTATGTAGACAACATCATATTCCAAGAATAGCAGGACCACTTTGTCAGATGAACCATCAGTTTATTTGTCATTCTAAGTATCATAAAAAATATGTATATTTGTATATTTTTAGTAGAGATAATCTAATAAACAATAGATGCCTTTGAAGATATTTATTAAACCTCTTTCAATGATAATTTTTTAAACATTTTATGATTTGTATGTTAGTCCATATTTAGCTTACTATACTATAAAACGGATTTTTTTTTTGAAACACTAACACACAAATAGAAATTTTAAAAACGTCACATGAATGTTTTAATAATTTATAATATTTTTGTGTTATTTTAAAAAAAAAAAAAAAAAAAAAAATGTTTAATATACAATTTTGATTTTACTTTTATCTATATATACCTACATTTACGTGATTATAAAATAAAAAGATTTTATTTTAAAAAAAGTTTTTAATTTTGTAAATAAGTAATGCTTTAACTTCTAATTTGTATATACCTGAAACAAAAGAAAATATATTTAACTGTGAGACTTGAAATTTGATAAATGCACTTGATAGCTTATTTACTGTGTGCTTAAGGAAGGTTATAGACTATTCAATATAATATCAGCTAATAACATTAACATAAAAAAATACTCAAATACAAATTAATATTTATTTATTGAATCATGATTTCTGATGTTTGTATTTTATGGGAATCGAACCCTCAACTATCAAAAGCAGCTGTATGTCAAACCACAAGGTCATCAAATAGGTATTAGCACAATTTAAAATTGATGGTATTAATAAAATAATCACATGTTTTACGATAATTTCCACTTCTACCTGATGGATATTAGAGTACTAGAGAAATTTATTGTATACTATACCTAATATTTGAATGTTTCTATCTAGATTGCTCAAGCAGCTGTATTAAAGAATTTCTAGCTGTTCTCCCTCGATCAAGTGCAGCAGTGGATGATTGATGCCACACTGTAGCTGAAGGTTGCCGGGCTGACTCATTGTTTATCTCTTCAGATGACAAATCTGGAGTCGTCAAATTTTGGTCTATACACATATTGTGTAAAACAGCACAAGCAATACTAATTCTTCCTGCTGCTCTTGGAGCATAATGCAGTTCTCTAGCTGCAAGAAGGCATCTCCAACGACTTTTTAATATTCCAAAGACGCGTTCTACAGTATTGCGGGTGCGCTTATGCCGGGAATTGTATCTATCCTCAGGAGAGTCCTCAACAGCGTTTTCATAGGGTGTCATAAGGTATACCCTTAAAGGATACCCTGAATCACCTATAATAAACAATATATTTCTATAAATCTTATAATTATTACAATAACATAACACTTGATATTATATGATAATATAATATCAAGTATTCAGTGGCAGCTTAGTATAGGGTTTTATTGCAAATTTTTCCTTCCCTTGCATCAGTACATATATATATTTGTCGTTTGTTCCTATAATCATCTTTTATGACATCCTAATAATGAAAAGGAATGAAAAAAACATTGTATTCTTGTTTGTTCACCAATTTTATATGTAGTACAACTACAAAGTTAACAATAATGATTTATTTACCCAGCAAATAGGTTGTTTCTCCTTGAAGACTCTCCAAATGATCTTTGATCTCATTATGCTCCCAAATGAAAGCATCATGAGTGGCGCCACCGTAAGAGGCGTCAATATTTAAAATTTTTAAATTACTGTCAGCAATCTAAAAAATAGGACAAACATTATAAAGATATTTGCAGATAATGACAAATATGAATAACTTGAGAATCATTTATACACTATGCAAAGTTTTACATAAAAAATATCTACTGTGCAAGATTGTATTTGTTGTGTCTTTCTATTTCTATACTTTGTATTCAAAATAAACTTTTTTATATAAATTGATAAATATAGTCTTTGATAAAATATCACAGCCTCAAAAAAACGGTATTTTTATTTAAATTTTATAAAATTAATTCACAACTAAATAAATAAACAGAACTAACATATTTATAAACACTTTGCATATTTATAATCAACCCTGCCATGTCTTTATATTACCATAATAATACATTAAGTATTTGCACATAAAATGTATTATTGTCTCCATTTTGTCTTAATCAGGAAGAAACAAGTTGTGTCATTCTATATTTCAAGTACTATACGAGTACTAAAGATCTGTTAAAACATGAAGAGGAAATAAACTTTAAAATACTAAAGATAACCAGAAATGAAAAAGATACCCAAAATTATTTGTTAAATAATCTAGGTAAATAAAAGGTGTAAACTATTTTGAGAAAAGCATCCGACAGATTCTATTAAAATACTGTACTTACAACTTGAACATTCAAAGAGTGGTAATGTTTTCAATTGAAAAATCTCTCCTCATTGGTTGTTGGCCGAATTATAGCTACATGGGTGCAGTCAATACATCCTATAACACCAGGAATACCATACTGTGTGGCAAAACTGAAAAAGAAATATAAACTAATGATTATTTAAACAACAATTAACATTTATGTTGATTCCTGAAATTAACAACTCCTCCTTCTGTCAGAACATGGTTTATGTGACTATAATAGGATAGCTAGATCTCTCATAATATCATTTATAAACTTACAGCTACAAATAGTTGACTGAACTAAATTAATAGTATATATATTATAAATTGACAAAAAGCATAAAATTCTATAAAGGTTAATATTACTCATATTTAATATACATAAACATACTTTCTCTTCAAAACGTTCCTGTCTTCCCTGGACTGAGGAAATCTTATATATTTCCTCAGTATAAAGGGTGTATTTAGGGCATCTGTTACATCCCTGATGCAGTTTGAGACAGACTGCTGCGCCATAGGGGTGTCTAAATTTTGTCCGACTGCACCCTGGTAGCTACCACTGGCATAAACTTTTAATGCAGTGAGAATCTAAAAAAAAAAAAAAAAAAAAAAAAAAGATATGTGAATACTAAATAGTATTCACATATCTACATATTTTTTTTTAGGTAAATACTAAATCTTTTCATCTACAACATGTACATAAGTTCTTACTTTGGTTATTGGATCGATTGCTCGACTATTTTTAGGCAGGGATAATAATGGTACCACATCCTGACATAGATCCTCGAAGAGTTCCCGACTGAGTCTGTATTTAGATACAAACTCGAAGTCTGGGATGGATCTTTGGAGGTACCTTTTACGCATTTTTCGTTTAATCCTGCGTCTTTCAATTTTTTCTTCATTGAGGGCTTCTAAAATTCCTGCTAATCTTGCCATAATGAAACTAAAACATCAAAATAAAGTAATGCAAAGTTGTAGGTTATGTTGAACACAATAATATTTAAAAACACTAATTAGTTTAACTTTTATCACATTATTCACTGTAACACATTAACAGAATTATTAATTAATCACTTTTTTACATATTACAGCACTTATATATGTAAAATTCATACTTACGAAAATAAAAAGTTAACTATTTAGGTTTCGTCTACTTCGCGCTTTAAATCACGATAAACGTGCTGTCAAAACGTCAAAATTACGTACGAACGGATACTTCGGCAAAATACCCTAATATCGGGGTGAACGCCACAAAAAAAGAAAAAAAAAAAAAACGGATACTTCATGGTACGATTTGGGACGATAGAAAGGCTATTCTCCGTATTCGGGCACGATTTCGGAATGAACGTTTTTCATGGTACGAATCACACGAAATATCGATCCGAAATTTCGGATTTGCACTTCGTGGTAGGCCCGCTGCTCTTGAACCGTTCTCAGTTTTGAGGCCATCGGTGTATATGTGTAATTCATGTATGTTACAACGGATTGGTCCTTTTCCTCTTTTATTTGTATTTGGTATTTTTTTTTGGTATTTTTTTGTTAAATATATAATGATTATGAGTCCTGTCGCACGGAGCCGCAATCAAAGGTTCACATTCCATTGCCTGGTTTAGAATAGAAGTGTGGGGACTGTTGTGATTTTTACCCCATAGATCCAGATGCATTAGTCGAATAGCGATTAAGACTGCTTCCTGCTGTATGTACAAGTCTAGGGGTGTTATATTAAGGGCCAACTCTATTACTGTTTTCATGCAGCCGCTGACAAAAAAAAAAAAAAAAAAAAAAAAAAAAAAAAAGAAACCAGTCTCTGAAAGCTTTTTAGTTTGGTGGCAGTTGTCGATAGTTTTGTCCTCGGCCACCAAACCAGTGCACCATAGATCAACATTGGCCTGATTATAGCTCTGTACAGCCATAGAGTTATTTTTGGCAGCAGACCCCATTTGTTTCCTAGCATCTTTTTACATTGGTAGAATGCAATTGTGCTTTTGTTAAGTTTATAATCAAGATGTTTATTTCAAAGCAGTTTACTGTTTTTACCCTCTTTTGAAGTACCCCAAGCTGTAGGCTCTTGAGAAAACCTCGGCAGGGAACTCATTCCATAACTTGAGTGTTCGTGGGAGGAAACATTTCTGAAACCGCGTTGTACGCGCCCATTGAGGCTGTAGGATATGAGGATGTACTCCCTGTCGATGGCGAGCTGTACGATGGTAGAAAGTGGCCGTGGGCATCATATTGAACAATTCCACTGAGCACAATCCGTTGTACAAGCAGTAGAACACGCAAAGTGAAGCAAAATCTCTCCTAAGACTTAAGGATTCGATTCCGTTTGTAAGCCTGGGATCACCGACATTTCTGATAGCTCGTTGTTGCAACGAGTCGAAGGGTTCAAGCGGATATTTAGGTGCTCCCGCCCATAAGTGACAGCAATACTCCATGTGGGGCCGAATTTGCAATTTGTAGAGTTATTTTGAGAAATTGTTTTGTTATTTATATTTTTAATGCAATTATTAATCCAGAATCATCCAAAAGAACTGAATCGAACTTACATTTTAATGATTGATAATGTACGTTATCACCAAGGGTGTAAAAAAAAAAAAAAAAAAAAAAAATATTTTTTGGCCTCTGTTGGCATTAAAGATTGGTTTGTCAGATATTGCCTCCCGATTAGTGTAATTCAAACAGTAATCACAGACATTCAGAGAAAATTGAAGACTACTAATACGTTGAAAAGTTTTTAGCAAATCTTCCAGTTGCCATTTTTTACCAAAAATATAAAGTAGTAATTTTTTCTTTCAACTTTTTGTTTTATTCATCTGACTGATATCACGTCACTTATTTTCTTAAGTTTTGTTTGGGCGTACCTGTATCGTATTATAAATTTTATTAAATATGTATTAAGTACATTATAAAATTATAATGTTTTATTTAACAATATACCGGTAATATAAGATTACAAAAACAGTCAGTTACAATCGCCTCGTTATTTTATCTCATCACTACAAAAACAAACAGTTGACATAACCTGAAACAGCGCAGTTTGATATGAATGGCGTGCAGCCAGTTCGAACTTATATCGCCCATTCGATCACGATCTGTCAGAAACGCAATCTCTGAGCGGCCGGACTTTAATTTATTTGTTACTGCAGTGAGGATCGAACCTAATGCAATGCGGCCGTGCAGCTATTCAATCAATAAGTTTTTTTTTTGATGGGTGATATTGGAATGATAAGCCCACCCACGCTACCGGTATACGCTGGTGGGGCACCAGTGAGGGATGACAGGTAACGATAAAAGCAGGTCAGTTAGCCCATGACGGTGGTTTCTAGGGGGAACCACGTGGAGGTCGACTTGACAAGGTGTATTGAGTGAATGGGTCAGTTAGACCCTATTACTTTTACGTTATTATTACTGCCAGCTACGATAGCTACGCGGAAGCTACCGTAGCCGACAGGTAAACGTAGTTGTTGCCAGTTGACAGTTACATGTAGCTGTGCTATAATATGCCGGGTGCTCGAGAATGTCTATAACCAATAACTGTCTATGTCAACAACAGATAACCTTGCCGCGGCTATTCTTTGCATAGCCGCTATATAGCTGGGTATAGCTACTCATCGCTACTTCACTAATCTAATATATAAGTGTAAAGTGTAAGAGTTTTATTGATATTAGATATAACCTAAGAACAAATAATTAAATAAAAGGAATGTTAAAAAAAAAAAAAATACTAAATCATATGGTTGCGTCCTTTCTTCTTATGCAAATATAATTAGTAAAAAAAAAAAAGAGGACAAAAGACACTAGTTGGTATTTTTCCCAATTCATAGCAGGTTAGTGTATAGAAAATAATATAACAAATTCAGATACAACCTGCTTGTATACTTTCTACATAAACTGTGTCGAATAATGTAAAATTTGTCATTGACAAATAATTGACATAGGTCACATATAAAACATTTCATATATACACTAACCTGGTATCCTCTTTTTACTAATTATATTTATACAAGAAGAATAGAGGCAACCTGTTTACAACTTGTTTGTCAATATGATTTACAGTTTTTATTTTATCATTCCTTCTATGTAATTCCATGTTCTTACTAACTATATCAACATGATACTGATATGTTAGCTGTTATGTCAGTAAATAAAAAAAAAAAGTATACAATTGTCAAAGTCAAATAAATGTCAAAACTGCTTCGCTTTTTCTATTAACCTTGTTTTGTTTATTTCGAAATGAAAATATCTTTATTTTAAGTATCGTAATAGTTAATCTGGCAATGTTTTATGTTAATTTTATAATATGGCTGTGAAATTTTACGTGTACGGTGGCGGCCGATGGCGCGAGGTGCGCCTGGACGGCCGTGTGTGTGGCTGGGGCGGTCGGTCCCGGTTCATGTGCATGAAACGCGGGAAACTGAACGTAGTGAGTACGCCGGCGGTGCTGCGCGGGCTGCGGGCGCTGGCGGCCGGCCGCCCCACCACCGTCAAGGATGGGTTGCCTGTCTCCCAGCTCAGGTGCCTGTTTATTCGTTTCAGCAGTTATTTTGTTGATTTCCCAAAAGTAGTTCAGTTTATACTTACCGGTATAAGTAGGTACCTTTAGCTTAACTCCTCATAAAAGAATCCTCCTAAGATAAAAGGTCAACTAATATAAACATAGGGGGGAAAGGGATTGTTAGTAATGGGGACATTAATCCCCATCTCTAGCAATATACTCTGTCAGGTCAATCTCCACGCGATTCCCCCCTGGAATCCATCGTGATTAAATCTTGTTGGATCTATCATAATGGGCTAACTGACCTAGTTTCGTTCTCACCTATCACCACTCATTGGTGCCTAGCAGCGTATACTAGTTGAACAGGGTTGTACTTCCAATATCGCCCAAAAATATATACAAAGATATGGTTGGAGATGTTTATTCTTTGTTTGGTCTGTTGGTCCAATATTCATATCAAAGATCTTGTGCTATTAGGTATTCACATACATTCATAACTTGTATAATTCAATTGTTTGTATAATATGTGGAACAGCCGAGTTTCTTGCCTATTCTTAATGTCCAAATTGTAATCAGAGTTGAATGGTACTGTTCATCCTAAAGGTTGACTGGTAGAGAATGCTACAAGCATTTGTACCATATTTTATTTAGGTCAATAAAGTTATTTAAATTAATAAATAAATGGTATAATGTGTAATATTAAAATGAATTGTATGAATTATTTGTATGTAACTATTTCTTATCAAATGCTTTGCAGGTGTGATCCTGACAAGAAACATGTTCCCGAGCAGCAGCAGCAGCAGCAGCACACACACAGGTACACCATGTCCTTTACACACTTGTTCAAGTCATTGACATATTGACATTTGCAATATGTTACTAAACATATAATAAAAAAAAAAAACTCTTTATCTATCTTACATTAGACTACTAAGCAGCACAATATGGAACCCAAACTATGTAATTTATAAGCAGACTTTAGAAAAAAATCTTAAAACATCTAAATTATAGAACAAGAAGCACTAGTACTGATTATCATGAAATGTGTAAGAAGTACAAAGTTATTTCTCTCGAAGATAGGCGTTCTCTTCTTGATGTGATGTTCTTGAGAGATATTTGTAATAATGGTATAGACTGCCCGGATCTTGTGTGTAGTGTGTTGCGTCTCCGTACTCCTAAAATCCGTACCAGAAATACTCCTCTTTTTGCAGTTCCAAGCAGCCATACCAGTTACTCTCAGAACTCAGTAGTTTGTCCTCTAATGAACTCATATGATAAACTTTTTTCCACAGTGGATTTATTCCACCTCAGTAGATATAAATTCAGGGCTGTGATGATGGATGAGATAATTACCTATGTACATATATGTATATACACTACATATTTACATTTATTTATATCACACTATCTTACCCACTCATACATTTGTACCTCTTTACAATTGGTGACCATGAATTTGTATTATTTAATCATTGCTGTCAATGTCTGAACTTTAGCAACATGGATTTTAATTATTTTATATATCAATTAACCTGACTTTATGGACACTCACTATCATACAATGTTTCTTTCATTCATGCACTTATATTACTTGCATACACCCACTCTACTTGCCTGCCTCGCTTTGGAATTATAATTTTTGTTTGTATAAATAAAATCTGTTATTGGTTGTATTCATAAGAGACTTAGCATGTGAGTTGTTTTTAAGAGCTGTGGATTTTAGTATAAAAAAAATTAAATAAATAAAATAAGAAAAAAAAAAATGAAAAATGTGGTGTAGACACCACATTCAATGTGGTTTCCACTGTTCCTGAAGGTGTAACCTACTTCAGCGCATTCCGCTCCCTTACCTCGCGCAGTGCGGTTATTGAATAATATTATAAACATCATTGATATTTTTAGTACTAGTCTGCCAAAGATATTGGAAGCGGCTCAGACATATCTAGAGTCGGGTTAAATACATTTATTATAACGTTGTATGTTATCACACTAGGTTTATAACATTGATTTGGCTTTTGCTGTCATAATGTTATAATTATTTTTCATGAATAAATAAATAAAAATAAATAAATTTTGTTTTATTTTGATAGAGGGCCACCTCTAGATGGTTCTGTTTATTTATCTCAGTTAATCAACACACATACACAAATATTGTTGTAGGTAGAAACTGGTTAGTATATTTATATTACCAATATATAATATTTAAATTACACACATGTAAGTAACCAAGCCGTGTGGTTCTTTTTTTTTTTTTTACTATACTGTCGGCAAACGAGCATGCGGCTCACCTGGTGGTAAGTGACTACCGCCGCCCATGTATAGAATAGATATATAGTATAGAATAGGCCACCCCGTCCTTTCCTATAAATGTCGTATGAGATGACTAAGAGAGTGAGGGATGGACAGCAGCATCCTTCTTAAAACATCACCAAATCCTAACTGCGGTTGCCAATCCGCCTGTCAAGCGTGGCCAACTAGTAAAACCCCCCAAGGGGGAGGCTTTTATTCAGCAGTAGACAGTTAAAGGCTGATAGTGAATAGCTGTGACGGTGATTAGCAGTAAGTAACCAAGATAAATTGTTGAACGAGAATGAATAATCTGTTCGCCGTTGAACTTGTATATGTTTCAGGCGGGCGGGCGGCGGCGCGGCGGTGTCGGCGAGCACGCAGTGCGTCGCCACCGCGGACGCGGCCGTGCAGGCGTCGCTGCCGGGCGCGCGGGCTGCGGTGGCCTACATCCGCGGTGAGTGTGAACGGTAACAGTTGTATAGTCCCTCTGATCGCCCCGGCAGATCACCAATACAGGTGTGCTCGTGCTCATCTGTTTGGCTGCCGGTCAAGAGGCTGGCTGCAGGATTATTCTTATTATAATAATATTTTCAAAGTCTATAATAATTTCTTACAGTGGGCTGTTACTTCACAGCTGGATGGTTTAAATTAAATAACACTTGGATGGCTGAACACTTTTAAAATAAATTATAGTAATTAACATGTAGGATACTTGACAATCTTCAAAGCCTTCACTTTTTATTTATTGATCATGAATATTACACAATCAAGTGTCAGGCCGCACCACAGTCACGAGTCCACGTATCCTTTCCACACAAAGGTCTCCTCCAGCGTCTTCATCTTGTTCTAACCCTTGCTGACCTGAACCATCCGACCTTATTTTATATTGGCGGCCTCTTTCCCTGCTAGTTCTGTAATGAGGAATCCATTATTTTTCCGTATCGGTTATCGGGAGACTTTGTACGAAAGTCGATTGCGTGGGTACCTCTGTCCCATTCGTGTTTCAACCGTGAAGCAGTTGTGTTTGCATGGCTGTGTTTCGGTTTGAAGGGTGGGATATGGCGTGAATTTACTGGGTACAGAGGAATAACACCTGAATCCTCAGGAATGGCAACGCATGGGGGGTATCATGGGCGAAACAGTATACTCTGTTATGTCCATGGTATTGCTCATGTCTATAGGCGACGGTTACCACTTTCCATCAGGTGGGCCGTCAGCTTGTTTGCCATTCTAAGTTGTATAAAAAAAAAAAAAATTTGTGTTACTTCTCAATATACGGCCTGCCATTCTCCACATCATGTTACAGATTGTAGCTCTTTAGCTTTTTTTTTCTTGTGTAACCTAGTATATTTTAAATACTCACTATAATCTACTAAAATCGACTAGTAGAATTAGTTGGATAGTATCACATTCTTAGGCATAACTGTAGATAGACATTGTAATTGGAAGGCCCCTATAGAGGCCTTGTGTAACAATCTCCATAGATTCGTGCATGCGATACAAAAGCTGCAAAAGAACAAAAAAAAACAATCTGCACTGAGCGCTTATCATGGATACGTCTCCTCCATACTTTCATATGGATTACTAATATGGGGAAACTGCAGAATGTTCCAGAGCACTTGTTGTGCACAAGAAGTGTGTTGGAGCTATATGAGTGTGTGGTGCTACAACTAGAGAAAGTTGTCAGCCTTTTTTTAAGAAATTCAATATTCTCCCACTGCCATGTATGTACATTAGAGACCTTTGTATATTTGTAAGGGACTAAACATTACATTAGAGAAGTAACAGCTCATACAGTGTTTAAACTTGAACTCAATAATTGGCTTGTATGCTTTTATACCATTAATGAATATAAAAAAAAAAAAAAAAAAAAAAAAAAAAAAATGCACTTGATCAGCTAATCGATACACTCCATTAGTTTGTTGAAATAATTCATAAATTTGGACATTTAATTAATAATTAATTTAATTACTGTTTACTGTAATATATTAAGATAAGGGGTGCATTAAAATATTGCTGATGAAAGGGAATAAATATAATGTGGAATATATGTAAACTTATCTAACAACAATGAATTACATAAAAGGAATGATAAAATAAAAGCAGTAAATCATATGGTTGCCCCCTTTCTTCTTATACATATATCATTAGTAAAAAGAGGACGAAGGATACACCATCAGTTGCTATTTCTCTCAATTCATAGCAGGCTGATGTATAGAAAATGTGTATGTAAAATTTTTGTTCTGTTTGTTATGTCAATTATTTGTCAATAACAAATTTACTACATTATATATTGGACACAGTTTATGTAGAAAGTATTCGAGCGGGTTGTATCTAAATTTGATAGGGTTATACGGCCAATAGAACCAAGTGACATATCTTGATCAATTTGATTTCTACAGACTAGTGGAAAGGCAGGTGCGTTTTTTTATGTCTATCCCTCTCTAGCGCCTTGGCAATGTCATAAATACAACGAGCAACACACTATGTGAATTATGCATTCCATGTATTCTATTCCGAAATCTTTGACTAGGCTAGTGCATAGATTAAAAAAGGTATTGATAGAGTGAAAATATCGTAGTTTATATTTTTCTTTACCGGCTCGGGACCTAATGTAAAGAAAAATCCCATGAACCTTAAAACCCACATCGGAAACATTTATCATAAAGGTTTAACCAATAATTATGTACTCGGTTACAGAAACAGTGAAAACAAAAAGTACTAAACGGCTTCGGGAAACAAGGAGCCCCGTTGTGGAGAAGTCGACACGGGCAGTGAGCCCGACCGCGAAGAGGTCGCATCGCAAGTCCACTCCGACGAAGAGGTCTCACAAACGCAAACGCTCCACGTGGTCCGAAAGCGAGCCGAGCGACAGCGATTTCGTCTCAAAACGAAGACATCAGTCGAAGAGGACAGTGGTGAAAATTAGTAGCGACAGCGAACTGACGGCGCGGCCGCGGCAGAGCGTCGCGCGGTACAAGGTGAGCGTCGCCATACGGGTACAAGCGAAGACTTAGTAAAACATAACATGTTTTGGGCCCAGGTAATGTAACTCTAGAACAAGTATACATTGATCTAAAGAAATCTTCCGTATCGATCCTCCAACGGATACACCCACACAAAGCAATGTGTTCCGATTACAATCAATCACATGAGCTGTTACCTATCCACTGCTGAACATAAGCCTCCCCTTATTGGGAGGGTTTGCCAGTAGTAGCTATTCTTGGCAGGCGTAGTTAGGCTTTGATGATGTTTTAAAAGGACCGCTACTGCCCATCCCTTTTTCATTAAATTCCCTTACTAGTCTCTTACGACAGCCACAGGAAAAGAGAGTGAGCCTTTGTATGCGGGGACCAAATAGCAATGTGTTCCAAATTATTGTGTTATTGTTCAGGACACGCAAAGGCATTGGAACACTGGTTGTTCCTACACTGTGATTCTGCTATATTTAATATAAAGGTAATTTTTTTTTTGTATTTGTTCATTGTCAGCCTATGGAGGTGAGCAGTACTCAAAGCGGGTCAGAGTCGCCGTGCTACAAGGAGGTGACCATAGACCTGGAGGACTTAAGTGTGCTGCGCTCCTTCCTCGCCAGGGAGAATGTGTGGCAAGTAGACCTGAAGAAGTTCGACAGCAACGACAAATACAAGGTGAGCACGTTTAGAGGACAGTGGTAAGGGGAACCAGCAGCACCGCTTTTAGCAGTATAGGTATACTACTTGTTGACCTCTAGTATCTAACTAGTCTTGCCATAAATACTGTTACATAAAAACATTTTTTTTTTTTAAATTTTTAATATTTTGAATTTGGAACACGTTTATTATTTTAAAAACTTCTTTCGATTTCGCGCCATTTCACATATTTTTCGTGTTCATTATCAAATTATCATAGCTCAGTGCGTAGAGCACTTTTCTCCCTCGAAATCCATAAGTCGAGTGGGCCCGATGGTATTCCTCCAATTGTGCTTTGGACGTGCGCTCCAGAGTTGGCTCCGGTTCTTACGCGTCTTTTTCGGCTTAGCTACTCATCGGGCATAGTCCCAAAGTTTTGGAAGACTGCTCTGGTGCATCCGATCCCTAAAAAGGGAGATCGCTCAGATCCAGCTAACTATAGGCCCATAGCTATCACTTCCTTATTCTCGAAGGTTATGGAATCCATCATAAACCGTCAACTGCTCCGGTACCTGGAAGAACACCGGCTGATCTGTGATCGCCAGTACGGCTTTCGACAGGGACGTTCGGCCGGTGATCTTTTAGCTTACTTAACACACCGATGGGCAGTGGCAATCGAGAGTAAGGGAGAGGCCTTAGCAGTTAGTCTGGATATCGCGAAGGCCTTTGATCGGGTGTGGCATAGAGCGCTGCTTTCAAAGCTACCTTCATTTGGGTTGCCTGCGAGACTGTGCATTTGGGTTGCCAGTTTTCTCAAGGAACGTAGCATTAAGGTCGTAGTCGACGGAGCATGCTCTGATTTAAAACCTTTGAATGCTGGTGTCCCGCAAGGCTGTGTACTATCTCCGACTCTGTTTCTTCTGCATATCAATGATATGTTACAGATAAGTAATATTCATTGCTATGCAGACGACAGTACAGGAGATACATTATATACCGGTCATGCAAAGATCTCGCGGGCACATACCGATGAGTGCCGGAATAGACTTGTGTCTGAAATCGAAACTTCACTCCATCAAGTTTCGATCTGGGGTGAACAAAATCTTGTCCAATTTAACCCCAAAAAGACACAAGTCTGCGCGTTTACCGCAAAAAAGACGCCGTTTGTCGTATCTCCTCACTTTCAGGGCACTTCCCTTGATAAAAAGTCGAGTCTAGGAATTCTGGGCGTTGATATATCTTGCGACGTCCAGTTTTGCGGTCATCTGGAGGAGAAGGCTAAGATAGCTTCCAAAAAGTTAGGAGTGCTCAATAGGGTGAGACGATATTTCATGCCAGAACACCGCCTGAAATTATATAAAGCCCAAGTCAGGCCGCATATGGAATACTGTTCTCACCTGTGGGCAGGAGCGCCACAGTACCAACTCCTTCCGTTAGACCGCATTCAAAGTCGGGCGGCTCGAATTATCGATAGTCAACGCCTTACTGTCCGACTCGACCCACTGAAACTGCGCAGAGATGTTGCATCTCTGTGCATCTTCTACCGAATTTATCATGGGGAGTGTTCTGAGGAATTGTTCGGATTGATACCTGCTGCTGATTTTCACCACCGTACAACCCGCCACAAACTAAAGTTTCATCCCAATCATCTGGACGAGTGGCGGTCTTCCACCGTGCGTTTTTCAAGGCACTTTCTTCCACGCACAACCATTCTTTGGAATCAACTTCCAGCAGCAGTATTTCCGAACCGATACGACAACATAACCTTCAAGAAAAGAGTATATTCCTTCTTAAAAGGCCGGCAGCACACCTGCAATGCCGCTGGTGTTGTGGGTGATCATGGGCGGCGGTAGTCACTTACCATCAGGTGAGCCGCATGCTCGTTTGCCCCCTGTGTTGTAAAAAAAAAAAAAAAAAAATTACAATATGGAATGCGGCATTAAAGAAAATAGGATTGCAGTGATCGCCTCGCACAAAGTGGGTATGGAGCCATCGGTCATATTTCAGACACTTCAAAAGCTCGGTATCAGCCGTATGTTCGTTCGTATGTCGTACTATCAACAGATATAACTAGGGATATTCAATTAAAATCGATATATCGAATCGATTCGATGATTTCCATATGATATATCGGACTGATTCCATGTTTTCCATATGACATATCGTACTGATTCGACGATTTCCATATGATATATCGGACTGATTCCATGTTTTCCATATGATATATCGGACTGATTCGATGTTTTCCATATGATATATCGGACTGATTCGATGTTTTCCATATGATATATCGGACTGATTCCATGTTTTCCATATGATATATCGGACTGATTCGATGTTTTCCATATGATATATCGGACTGATTCCATGTTTTCCATATGATATATCGGACTGATTCAAATGTTTTGACAAATGTTTATTGTATTCGATATATCGATAGATTTATTTATAGAAACATCGCATATTTTATTTTTTTGTCGATTATATTAAAAAACAAAATAATTTTAACACTATTTGATGACTTGAATTTTAAATAAGGTCCATTCAGATAACACTGTCTTAATCACAGATCGTTCACACATTAATTATTATTGTACATTCTGCTTAATTATCTTATCTATTTGCTTTATGCTATTTACCAGTAGCGCAACTGAATCATTGTTTTGATTGTTTAGACAAGTTTATGTAAAACTTTGCCTCGCTACTATAATTCAATACTCTAAATACCTAACGAAATGAGTGGACGCACCATGTTATTGCTAGTTCGAAATTGAAAAGGTATGTAATGTTGTATTCCCGTCATGTTTATGAACCGTCCACTTGTTTGTGACAGTGTTTTATATTGAAGATATCACGACCTCTTGTAATATAATACATATTATAATAATACATATATTTTCTATTTTATTCTTATAAATGCTATATCATTATAATGAAGTATGTAGTTATATAGCACTGCTTACGTACCACAAACTTTACGCATTTCGCTGGAAAAAAGTAATATTTAATTAAACTTTTATGGAAAGTATTCGATAGTGAAAAAATATCGATGTTTGATATATCGATAACCATCGATGCTAGGATTCGATATTTTACATCGAATATCAATATCGATATATGTTTTAAGTTGATACCCCTAGATATAACAACACTTCCTCTGTCGAAGACCAAAAAAGATCGCAGCGGCCGCGTACTGATAGAACTACAAAGGCTGTTAATGCTGTCAAAGCCAGATTTCGTCGAAACCCCATTAGGAAGTAAAAAATCTTATCGCGAGAAATGAAGATTCCCGTTAGGTCTCTGTCTGAAAAAAAAATCTGTGGTGTAGGGCCCTATGGTGACTCCTAGGCCCTCACCAACACTGTATTTATCCAAGGCACACTAATATTTACTGAGGGTAGATGTACAGTAGAAAATGAACTAATGCGATGTACTCGGAATGAATGCTGGTTAGTTATTAAAAGGTGAATTTATTTAAGTAGTTTGCAAGCACATACACGATGATTTATTATAAGGTGATATAAAGCAAATTAAATAAATAAGATTATTAAATGAGTAAGTACGGTGCGTACGTGATAAGCGCTATCTTCATGCAACTTTAATTAGGGTGTTGCCGCAATGTTCATAGGCGGAGCGGAATAATATATTATTACAATATATTTCAGAATATTTTCCGCTACAAATCGTTTGAGCAAGCTGTCGCGAAATTTCCCTTGGAAACAGTGCGTAAATCCATAGATTCGCGGCCATACAGATTGAAGGCCTGTATAAAAGTCAAATGTAGCCATTTCGAATAGAATATTTTTTTTATTATTTTTTACTGAGACTTTAATAAATATGTAGGTATAAATTTTAGTAATATTACATTATTAAAAAAAATGCATTTTCATTTGTAACAGAACTTATGGCTGGACTAGGTATAGTATGAAAATGAATAGCTGAATGTGTTGCTAAGCTCAAATCTCGGGAACAACTGAACCGATTTCGCTAATTCTTTTTTTTTAGAATATTCCTTAAATTACGAGGCTGGCTCTTACGAAGACAAAAAAATAAAAAAATAAATTGTCAGAAAAAATCTGAAAATAACACTTCTATACTTCCATACAAAGGTTCTTAATAATATTTAAAAGTCAATTGGAACTTTAATACCATACCATAAAGTTCAAGCAGTAGTGGAGTTATTCTGGGAAGGCAAAACAATTGAGTGACGATAGTATCTTATAAATATTGATGTCAATTATTTGTCAATATTCATAACATATAGTAACATTAGTCAAAAACAATTTGTCTATGGTTAGACGGTACGCAATTCGCGGGGTTAGCTGCGTATTACTAATTCCTGGTAAAACAATTGGTCAAAGTCACTTCAATGTCATTAAAAAAAAATGGCCGTCATTCCATGTGAACAACGCCATTAGAACGCCACAATTTAATGACGCTTGTTAGTTTCGTGTCGCATCACATTGAAAAAGATAAAATAATCTTCAGTATCCGTTAATTTCACCAACAAACCAAAACAAAACTGTAAGTAAGCTGTTACCGACTATGTGTTAAAGAGAGATACCAGTGGTTTGAACAAGACTCTTTGTAATGAAAATTTAATGTGATTACTAAGAACCTATCTGTTTTCAGATGGCTGTCCTGTTTAAAATTACGCCGCTGGTGAGCGTCGAGCCGTGCCCGCAAATAGCTGAGATGCAGCGTCACCCCTCGCAGGGTGTGATCAGTTTGAAGGAATTCGCGACAAAGCTTGGACTGAGGCGAATCGACGCCGAGAGTAGCAGTGACAGTGATACCGACAAGGAGAATCAAGTCGTGAGCAGGTTTAACAGGCGTGCAAGACGATACAAAAGAAGTAAACTTTATAATAGCGACAATGGTGCAAATAAGGAGAGACTAGCCAAGAAGGGAACCAGAGCATCGAGTAGTAAGAGCAGAGATAGTGTCGTAACTAAGAGTAGGATTGAATCAAGAAAAACTGATAGTCCAGTTCAATTTAAAGACAATACGCAGCTCAACACTGACTCGGCAAAAAAGAATAACAAAAAGAGAGTCGCTAGTGACAAAAACAATGCTCATAGAGAGAATGCAAGTGTTCGACTGCAGCCGTCTGAGTCAGCAGTAAGGGAGAAGAGAAACGATGAACAAACTAATAATGACAATCGAGCTAGGATACTAAGGAGTGTTAAAACAGACAGTAAGGGCAGCGCTGATATTCAAAGTAGAATATTAAGAAGCAGTAAAGTTATAGACGTAAAAGATAGTGTAGAGAGTAACGATTCTAGTGATGTTCAAACTAGAATACCAGCAAGTACTAAAATTGCTGATAAGGCGAATGGAAAAAATAAGAATGCTAGTGAAAATCAGGTTAGAATACTAAGAAACTCTAAAATCTTTAGTAAGGACAGTGCAGATAGTAATGTTAGTGATGCCCAAGTTAAATTAGTAAGAAACACTAAAATCAACAATAAGGCCAACGGTAATAAAACAAAAGACAATCAAATAAGAATACGAAGAAATAGAAAAATAGATGATAGAGTAATAAGTGCCGATAGTGACAAAGTAAGTGATAAGTCTGATAAACTTAAAGAGAAGGACCAAGACAGCGGAAGCAGTAGTGAGTTTCAAACAAAAGTTCCAAAAAATGATAAGAGTGTCAGTAGTGAGAATGATGATAGTGATAAAAGGAAACGAGTGCAGTCAGCCGGGAACAAGGAGAAGCAGAGCGCCAGTAGCGGCAGTTTGAAGGCTAAAGTTTTAAAAAAGAAGAGACCTGTAATTAAACCGTGAGATATTTCAATACTTTATACATATCATTTGTTTCATTGATTGTTGATTATTTAGCTATGTAATGAGATCTACTTGATAAAGTATGCCTGTGTTCTGTGTAGACAGAAATGGTTGTTTTGTGGCGAATAAATCGATTTGCTGCATATTTTCAATACAGATATTACGACGCCCTCCCCAGAGGAGTCTATTTTCTATCCCCTTAATACGTAAGGGCTTTCTTCTTTGTTTTGATGTTAATCTCATAAGTTTGTTTATTTATTAGTTACTTCTTGACTCTTGGTACTGCAGGTACTCAATCGGTCCGGACATGAAATTTTGGCATACTCGTAATATTGGGATGGAGAACAATCGCGCATAAAAAGTATTTATTAAAATTAAAATATGTATTCTTGTAGCACTCGATCACTCTGGTGAGGATAATACCTACAGACTAACATTTTTATGATCTACCCACATTAGTGTACAACATACCTTGCTCCCCAAGTACTTCTAATAATAACCACACTATATAACTATATTAGCATTTTTACTATTATCATCTGTATCAAGCTCACAGTCTTCATCCTTCATCTCATATTCTATTATTCTGGACGGTAGGGAAAAAAATAAAATTATATGTAAAAATTTGACGTTCATAAGCGGCTAAAATGTCCTACATGAATAAATGATTTTTGAATTTTGAATTTTGAATTTTGTGGATTTCATTTTCTTGATGATTCTGTTGGTGGTGATATGGACGAGGATAGTTTTGTTCATCAATGTGTTTCGACTTCGTAAATTACAAATGACCCGTATGCAACGTTTCTGATATTTAAAAACAATATCTTTACCTACATGTGCATGATATGACGATAAAACTGTTTCCATATTAACAGATTTACATAGTTTATATAAAGCATATGCATATTGACTCAATTTTTAATGCGTATGATCAATATGAGTTTTTCAATAAATTTTCTTGTCAATGTATAATCCTAAAAACTTTGTCGTAGACATTTCATCAATATTGTTTCCATTATGACTGATGTCATCATGGAAACAATATTGTTAATATTACATTCAAGCCATTTATTTATTGAAGTCATAGAATTAATAATTTCAACCTTTAATTGGCAATGTCATTGTCTGAGGCCTTAGTCATATCCAAATATAGTGCAACCCTTGATAATCTACGATCCGTACCTGATATTACTCTATTAAGAAATTCATAAAGAGCTACATTTATGGATTTATTTTTTCTAAAGGCATGTTGTTCAGGAGTAATGTGTAACGGCCAGGCTATGGGATGGGTAGGGGATGTCAAATTCGTCAGAATACGCGTGTTCACTCACCTGACATAAAGCCAGACTGGATATTTCTAAGTTCCCTCAAGCACAATACATGACATACCTCTCCCCAAGATGGCTTTTATTTTCATTTTCTTAAACATAACACTAAGTCTATATTTTTTATTACTGTTACTGTTGTTTTTATTACAGTTCTAAACATTTTCTCTATCAGTATCTCTCTCTACAGGTGACTGTTGGTATTTATATGAAATCCTTTTGTTGATCGCTTTTGCCAGTGATTCAGACATAGCTCTTTTGTTAACTTTTGTTCTAGCATTGTTCTCTTGTGGACTCTGATATATCTCTATATGTTGCGGTGCTGACACACCAATTATATCAGCCTATTTGGATGGTGATGGTACTAGCACATCATTATCCTCATCTTCGTCATCTTTTCTTTGTTCACTATTTCCAGGTCGAATAATATTACGTTCTAACTGTTTCGTTATATATGTATCATTGATTAACATAAAATAAATAAAATATTATTTTATTATATTAAAACAAATACAATTAAATTATCTCATTGAAAAATTCCTGTAGTGTATAATAACTTTTTGCAATTAAATATTTTCTTAAAGCTATTTTAAACTTTTTAGAATCATCTTCACTTCTTAAGTTCATTGGTATTTTATTGTTAATTTTTATTGATATTGCGTAAGGGCTTGATTGGAATAATTGTAGCTTCGAGAATGGTCTTGCTAATGTACATTGCGGTCGCAATGTCTGACGGCCGGTATATTGTGGGTGTAGGTGCATTATTTGTATGATCGTTTGAATTGCTGTCATCAATATTTCTATTTACATTATTAATACTGTTAAAAATAATATCACCTTTTTCTTCTTTAAACAGTTGCCAATCAGTTGGTGTACTATTGTCTATAACATTCTTCTTATTGCTTACACTATTATTTGGTTTATCTTTATTATATTGTTTCATTTTATATAAATAATCCATTCTCAAAAGATCTCTAAGTATTAGTGTACATACATATGGTAAAGCACTGGAAAAGATGAATTTCACAATATATTCCAATTATGGTTGATGTCTAAAAGGCTTACATGATTATGTTTACTACCAACAAATGTAATTTCATAGTTTAGTTACATTAAGGTTGCGGTTAAAAGGAATTTTGTAAACGATTATATTAGTATTAGAAAAATCCAACAACCATCTTTGAAAATTATATTGTAGTCTATATGGATCATTATTATTAATGCCACATGCAATAAAATAATTTTTGTTCAAAGATTTTAATTCATTGCTTACAATTAGGATAATATTGCACTTTACACCAGGTTTCCATGTATACGAAACTACATATTCAGGCCCAATAAGTTTTTGTAGATTTTTTACATATCCGGCTTAAGCGAGGTTGGTCAGCAAAACTATTATTTTTCATTTCAAGTATTCTTTTTTATTGCTCGTAGTGTCTTCTGAATGTCGGGTGTTAATTATTGGTATTGTTTTAAATTATTGTTCATATGTATCTATAGTTTTTCTATCTTCAGCATTCAGAGAACGCTTGTGTCTTGCTTTGCATGACAGTTGTTTATTACATGTGTCTAGTGTTGTGGCTATATCTGTATTGTTTGATTTTCTCTTTTTTGCATCAAGGATCGGTGTGTTACTATTTGTTTTATCCATCAAACTGAGTCGTTTATAAACATTGATATCTTTATTACATCTCTCTGATTCATGTCTTAAAGTTGTATTTTCCGTATTTATTTTTCTATTTCTTGTTTTGCCGTTTGTACTTCCATCTGAAGTTTATTTTCTTCAGTAGTTCCTTAGTGTGTCATCCATAGACTGTCATCCATAGAAGAATTAGGTAGACTTTACATCGTGTTATCTAATAGTGTTGAGTTGCTGTGTATTGTTAAATTATTCAAGAACTGAAAAAAATCTTTATTCATTTATTGGAGATATCAAAGAAATTATAAAATCATACAGTTCAGGGCCACAAGACGCCACTAGATTCGCCTTTTTCTTTAAATTCTCTCCAATTTCACTAGCTTCAAAGCCAAAACAATAACCTTTCAATGTAATTTTGCCAACAGTCATGTGCAATGTCTAACTCATTAAATTTTAAACCCATTGTTACTATTTATATGTTTAGTTTGTACAATAATCACTTTGTTTCACTTTTCCACTATTTTCCTCGTCGCCACTATTATATTCTCACTAAAATATATATAGCAGTCAATGACTGTGGCCAACATCAAGTGACATCTGCACCCAACTTTTTTTATATGTCAACAGTACAGTGCACAACAGTAGTAAAAAAAGACACTAAGATGCAAAATTATGTAAAAAATATACAGAAGTGACTTGCGTTATGTATTAATTTGGAATCTTGGAAAATGAAAGTGTGAACAATGAGGAGCTATTCCCCATGTGTTGGTGTGCCGGGGACTGCAGGCACTGTGCTGCTGTGCCTCCACACCCAGGAATTTGTTGTTTGGCTCGTCCAGTGTTTTGTTTGTTTGTTTTGTTCTAGTTTCGCGTGCTGCCGGGTGAGTCGCATGATTCTCTCAATGAATTATTTTATTCTTTCTCTCTTTCTATTAAACATCTGAGGCTTCGTTTTGTTATTGATAACGTTGCTGCAATGGTACTGTTTAATTTTTTGTTTCGTTCACTTGCATTTGTACAAACTTTAATGGCTGTTAAATTATTATTTAAATGTGTAATTATAATTTGTTACAGCTGTCCGTTTGTCTTAATTAAATAAATAAATAAATATACACTTTTCAATATTCCCGAATGATTATTTAAAACGCTCTGACGCGGGGAACTAAAACAAGATTCTGGTGATCTATCACCGGAATTATAGATTTTCCAGCGATGTCGCATGGCGGAGTGTGTAAGCTGTGTAACACGTGGCGTGTGTGTGTGTGGTGGCAGGCGGGCGGCTGCGGCGCGCGAGTACTCGACGCTGGAGGACCACGCGATCGTGGCGTGGCTGGGCGGCGGCTCGCGCGCGCGCCGCGTCAACGGCAACCAGCTGTGGCAGGAGCTCGAGCCGGCCTACCCGCGCCTCACCGGCGTCGGTCAGTACCCAGCACGCACTACACTCGCCACACTCGCCACACTCGCCACACACACCACACACACCACACACACCACACACACAGTGGAGCGGACACGAAACAACACGGGCGGACGATACATTTCCTTGGTTCCGAAAACATATTTGTCTTTAGTTATTCTTTTTTACTATTAACCTTTGCATTTTTCCCGATTTTTTCTTCCGCTGCAAACAAGCTGACGGCCCACCCGATGGAAAGTGGTAACCATTGCCTGTAGACATGAGCAGTGCCATATTATTGTCCAAGCTGTCATTTATTCTACTAGCGTTAACTGTATGGACGTTCCGGCCTTGGTTTCCCGTCCCACGGTCACATTAAGCCATTTCAGAATACTAAGATGGTCCTCAAAGTATTACCTATTACATAAATTGTCTCGCAGTAAAAGTCAATACTTAACACTGTACGGAGAATATTTTTCTCCTTAGCATTTTCTATGCAATTAGAAACGGTAAAAAGCTGACGACCCAACTGGTTGAAAGTAATGTTAGCCGTCTATAGACATGAACAACAACATAATATATCTTCGCATCACCATACCTGAGGGTGTGCAGTGTATACACACCAGAGGGAGACTTTGTACAAAAGTCGATTGTTTGGGTACCTCTGTCCCATTCGTGTTTCAACCGTGAAGCAGTTGCGTTTGCATGGCTGTGTTTCGGTTTGAAGGGTGGGATATGGCGTGAATTTACTGGGTACAGAGAAATAACATCTGAGCCCTCAGGAATGGCAACGCATGGGGGTATCACGGGCGAAACAGTATACTCCGTTATGTCCATGTTATTGCTCATGTCTATAGGCGACGGTTACCACTTTCCATCAGGTGGGCCATCAACTTGTTTGCCATTCTAAGTTGTATATAAAAAAAAACCTGAGGACTGAGGTTCTATGTCTCCACACTGTAATTTCTCTGCCATATTCCACTCTTCTGTGCACACTCTATGCCGTGTGGTTCCGAAATAGAAAGGGCCACCCCTTCCTTTCTCGTTGGTGTCGTAAGAGGCGACTAAGGGAAGGCGAGGGGTGGACAGCAGCGTCCCTCTTAAAATATCATCAAAGCCTAACTGCGGTTGCCAACTCGCTTGCCAAGCCTTGGTGACTACTGGCAAAACCACTCGATGGGGGGGGGACTATGTATAGCGGCGGACATTTAACAGCTGATATGGTGATGCTGATGATTTCACTCTTGAAACAGAAATACAGACATGCAAACACAAGTGTATGCTCAGACAAACAGTAGTAGAGTAGGACAGAGGTGCTTATGTTGCAGTGGGAAACATGTTGAGAGTGTTGTGTTGTGTTGTGTTGTGTCAGAGCGCACGTGGCACTCGCTGCGCAACCGCTACCTGCGCTACATCCTGCCCGGCCTGCCCGCGCTCGCGCTGCCGCCCTCGCACGCCGCCCGCCTGCGGGCCGCCGCGCACCACGGTAATACACGACACATTGCACACTACACCCTGTACACTATACACTACACCCTGTACACTGCACACTACACCATATACACTGCATCCTGCACACTACGTCCTATATACTATACACTACACCTTGTACACTATACACTGTACATAACAGCCTGTACACTGCATCCTGCACACTACGTCCTATATACTATACACTACACCTTGTACACTATACACTGTACATAACAGCCTGTACACTGCATCCTGCACACTACGTCCTATATACTATATACTACACCTTGTACACTATACACTGTACATAACAGCCTGTACACTGCATCCTGCACACTATCCGTTATACTGCACACTGTACACTACACCCTGTACACCACACGCGTAAACAGATTAAAAAAAATTCGACATGCATATTTAGTAGTCTTTACAAATTGTATCGTAGTGTTGATATTTATATTTGATGAACATGTTTTATCTAATTGAAGGTTTCAGCTTTTTCTTTGCAATTAAATAATCAAGTGGCAATAATGTGTGTGTGGGCGTGGCCAGGTAGCCTGAAGGCGCGGAGGCGGTCCCGGGCGGTGGTGCCGCACCCGCTGCACGCGGCGCCGCCCGCCGCCACGAGTGCGTGGGCCGCGCGGCCGCGGTCACCGCGCCGCGACCACTCGCCGCCGCCGCGCGCCGCCGCCGCCACCGCCACCGTCACCACCACCGCCACAACCGCCACAACCGCCACAACCGCCGCCGCCACCTCTCGCGGCCACGATACCGGTACGTATTTTAAGAATACCTATACATAATATTTAAGTATGAAATTAATGTAAACATTTGGGGGATTTATAATTTTTTTTTATGCAACATAGGACGGCAAACAAGCTGACGGCCCACCTGATGGAGAATGGTAACCGTCACCTATAGACATGAGCAGTACCGTGGACATAACAGAGTGTACTGTTGTGCCCATGATACCCCCCGTGCGTTGCCATCTCTGAGAACTCAGGTGTTATTCCTCTGTACCCGGTAACTTCACATCCATATTCCTTTAAACCGAAACAGCCATGTTTATGTGTATTATTATAATATTGATTTATTCTTTAGTAGGTACATATTTTTTATGACGCAATGGCAAACAAGTTGTAATCCATCTGATGGCGAGTGGTAGCCGTCGCGTGTAGACACGAGCAGCGCCGTGCGCGTCGCGCTATGTGTAGTGTGTACCTGGTGTGCATACGTTGCATATGTTTCCGCAGACTCGTCGTGCGAGGGCGGCGCGTCGTACTCGCGGCTGGTGCGCCGCCTCGCCGTCCGCTCCACGCCGCGACCCTCCCCCATACCCGCCACCACCGCCACCACCGCCACCACCGCCACCACCACCGCCACCACCGCCGCCACCACCGCAGCCGGGCCGCGCACCAGGAAGCTGTACAACCCCAACTGAACAGCCCGCGGCTCGCCGGTCCGGCAGTGTCAGCGTGTTCCCAACTGTCACACCGCTATCCGGGCTGGTAGGAAAAGCTCCCTGAACCGCAGTGTACGGTACGAACTGAAGTCGTCGGTATTCTTTGTGTTTTGTTTTATCGTTCGTTTGCGCCACGTTTCTGCGGCGGAACGATGAGTGTGAGCGGTGGACTCGTGGCAGTGTGGTCGCCGCACAGTACATGTCACTTGTACATTATGTACCGTGTACCGCATACCGTACACTGTGTACTGTGTACTGTGTACTGTGCCCGCTGCAGCTCGGTGCCGATGGCCGGTCACTATATTATTAAAATATAAGAACGGAAGGACGGCATGTTGACTGCACGTTGTTGCTTTCAAAATGTAATTATGTTCATATTTTTATAATCATCGTGTGCAGTAGTTGTCCGTGTGTGTGTGTGTGTGTGTGTGTGTGTGTGTGTGTGTGTGTGTGTGTGTGTGTGTGTGTGTGTGTGTGTGTGTGTGTGTGTGTGTGTGTGTGTGTGTGTGTGTGTGTGTGTGTGTGTGTGTGTGTGTGTGTGTGTGTGTGTGTGTGTGTGTGTGTGTATGTGTTGTATAATTTGTAAGTCGATATCGATACGTCTGAAACTGTTTATCGACAATTTTTAATTTTTAATCGCATTATTACATTTCTGTTTAGCCAAAGGTTGACTGCGAGAGAATGCTACGAGTATATAGTATTAAGTCCGCCTTTTGTACCACAAATTTATTTTGTAATATGGTCAATTAAGAATAAATGAATAAATATTGTATTTCATTCCATTTTTAAAATGTATGTTAATTTCTTATTCGATGTATATATACATATGGAAAGCAAAATCAATGAGCGCGCTGTGTCCCTGTCGTCCCCGACAATTGTTTCGACATCACCCGGAAGCCTTCTTCAGGGGGCGGACGGCGCTTTGTAAGTTTATTGACAAAAACGACAAAAACACTGTGTTCATTAATTTATCATTCCATACGGCGAGCCGCTACTATAGCAATGTATATATTATTATACGTCATTGTTGATTTTACATTACGGTGTACAAGATCTGCTACAATCATAGAGTTAAGGATTTGTTTTCTGGCAGCGAGTGTCTGTCGTCATACACACGCATACGACTAGGTGAGGTGCGGTGAGGTGTGTATAGACGCTATGTTTAGACGCGTGTTTCCTTGTGTAACAGCTGTCGGTTAGTTCGCGGACGTGCGCGCTTCCCTGAGAGGGTGTCACTTGCAAATGGCTGTGTTAGTTTGTTTAGATCTAAGGCGACCTGTAACATACTTGTCCACAACTTGTATCATAAAATTAATGTTTAATTCTTTTTCTTGTCTTATTTAGTAAATAATCTTGATGTATCTTGTTGACCAATAGTTGCGTTAAGAGATATTTTAAATTAATAATAAGTTATACAATTGTAAGAAATCATGTAAAGTAAATATTGTTAACTTGGAATTATAAATTGTTGTACTCGGAATGGTCAAGATTGTTTGCCAAGTAAGAGAGACAAATATTGTCTAGTTTTAAACATGGCCGCGTCTGTGCGGGCGTTTTCAAATTATTTCGTTTTGTTGTCGAAATAATATATTTTTCTATTGCAATCAATGGTTGTTTTTTTTTTCATCCACTGTCATCGTCATCGTCATGTCAGCTCTTAGCCGTTCACTGCTGACCATGACCTCCCCCACAAGTAGCACTCTACCAGTAGTTACCACGCTTGGCAAGCGGGTTGGCAACTGATAGGTAGTAATTTGGTGATGTTTTAAGAGGGACGCTGCTGCCCATCCCTCCACCATTAAGCCGCCTTAGTCGCCAGTTACGACACCCACATGACTGTATTATGTATTGGTTTAAAGGACGGGATGTAGCAGTGAAATTACCGGGTACAAACGCATAACACTAATTCTTGGGAATGGCCAACATATAAAAGCTTTTTTTTAATGAGTGATAATGGAATGGTAACCTCGCCCGCGCTACCGGTATACGCTGGAGGGACACCAGTGAGGAATGATAGGTGAGGATGAAAGCATGTCAGATGGTACATTGTGACGAATTCCATAAAAAATAATCATGATAGTTTTCCATGGAGAACCGCATAGAGGACGACCCGGTAGGGTTTATGGCTAGGCGTGGGTCTGTTAGACCCTAATACTAACAATGTCCTTCCCCTAGCGCAAAGGGTGAAACATGACCGTTTACGAGTCTCTCGCCAGTTTAATAATTGATTGTCAATTTATTAATTAATTTCCGGTAAATTTGCCGCCATCTTGTAATTGACTTCTGCCTTATTTTTTCATTGCCATACAAAAACTAATAAATGGAGTTAATCACATAACCATTATTTTATTTTTACAAAAATAGTTCCACAAAATGGAACAATGCATGTGTACCATGAGCGTCACATTCAGCCGTATCCACGGTAATGTTTATGCCTGTAGGAGGCTGCTGTTACGTTCGAGCGGGCTGCCGGCTTGTTTGTCGTTCCATGCTCTAGCTTTACATCCTCTGATGATGCTTTCCCTCTGTACACCATTGTCACGGGTGAAGGATGATACCTGCGGTCGTGTTATTTTATATTTTTAAGTTCTAGGTAACTTTCATTTCTGGGGGGAAAGAGATTGTTAGTGATGGAGACAGAATCCCATTGCTAGCAATATACCCAACCAGGTCGACCTCCTCGCGGTTCTTCCTGGAAACTATCATGGTAAATTTCTGATGAATTCATCATGATAGACTAACTGGTCTGTTTTCATTCTCATCTATCACCCTTCACTGGTGCTCCGCCAGCGTATCCCATTAGTGCAGGCGGGGTTACCATACCATTTTCAACCATCAAAAAACCTTTATTTCTGGGGGGGGGGGGGGTAATTGTTAGTAATCTTTGGAAGCCATCGTGCTGAATATCAAGTGTATTCATCATGATGGGCTAACTGATTTGGCTTTTCATCCTCACCTATCACTATCGCTCACTGGTGCCCTGTTAGCGTATACCGTCAGCACAGACGGCGTTACCATTTCATTATCATCCATTGAAAAAAAAACCTTTATTTCTTGGGATGGAATAAGATATTGTATACTCTTGTCCCGGTCAACCGACACCTCTCGCTTGCACATTGCCAGTTATTTTTACCAAATACATACATACATACATATCTGTCACGCCTGTCTCCCATTAGGGTAGGCAGAAACAATGGAACGCCAAATGCTTCGATTCAAACAAACCTCTTTCGCTTCTTCCACATTCATCAATCTTGTCATACACGCTCGTCGGTTACGGGTACTTTTAATTTGGCCCTTCTTCAGCACGTCGCCTATTTGGTCGACATACGTCCGTCTAGGGCGGCCCCTACCGACATCTCCATTCTTTCTTGCTCGATAAATCTCTTTCGTAATTCTTCTTTCATCCATCCTCTCCAAATGACCAAACCAACGCAACATTCCTTTTACCAAATAATTACAGCAATTGTATTATGGCGCCCTATGACATACTAACCAATGTGTTTTATAAGTGGTAGCTTTACAGAATGGAAATGAAACAACAGTGCAATGTGGAGTCACGTTTATTATGTTAAGATCACATCACGACACATCACAGGGCGCGGGGCGCGGGGCGCGGGGCGGGGGGCGGGCGCGGCGCACGACGAGTGACGTCACACGCACGCACGCACGCACGCACGCACGCACTATACATTATACTAAAATACATTCAACTAAAAGTGCTCTTACACGAGCAACCATGCCGACTGATTGATGGAACAACAAACATCTATCAGTGAAACCGAGTTCATACCGAAAAAAAGACCGGATAGAAATGTCACACGTACACCACGTATCAATATACGACGTAATCAAACGGAGTCGTACTGAGGCACCATTTGTCTAAACATATTTATTAACTCAATATTTAAATTCGAATAATTTTAGTTTAAAAAAATAGTTTATTATTCCTTTGAGCAAAGATTTAGTTGTGATATTAAACTTTATTCTTTACTAGCGGCCCGTCCCGGCGTCGCACGGATGGACATTTTTAACATTTCCCTTCACTGCTCTGCTTCTATTGATCGTTTCGTTAAAATCCATCGAGTAGTTTTTGTTTCTATGACGAACATACAGACAGACAGACACAAAAATTTTACTGATTGCATTTTTGGCATCAGTATCGATCACTAATCACCCGCTGATAGTTATTTTGGAAATATATTTCCTGTACAGAATTGACCTCTCTACAGGTTTGTATAAATTTAAGTATTTATTGCACTAAAAACATAAAAATAAACAATGACATATAAACAATTCAAATAAAATACAGTAGCATGAAGTATAGATTAAAATAAAGTTACTTTCGAGAAGTTTAGACAAATGTGAGCATCGGTCTCTACCGCCCACTAGTTGCCCGTGTAAGAGCGCCGCTTGAATTTAAAACATGAATTGTTGCCAGTATGAGACGGCGGCATGCCGCGTCGCGCCGGAGGCGGCCACTCGCCGCGCGCCTCGCGTAATTTAATTACATAATATTACTTGTATATCTACTATGCGCCAACTTACATGTCGCTCCTACAGTATACTATTATCAGGCATGTTTCATTGGCACCTTCGTCGTATTAAAAAAAAAAACAATAATGGCGCTGGTTGGGGAAACGACTCGGTTGACATAGACAATACAACTTTAGATAGAATGTTTTTTTAATAACACTTCACTAAAAATGGTCAAACATTTTTATTATATACATTCTTATGCGAGTGCATTTGTGTCATAGATCACATAGATTTATATAATTCGTCAGTGTATGTTTGAATGGGGATACCAATATATAATTATTACTTGCAACACAGACAAATGGCGCGCTTCGTTATGTAACAAAGAAAAAATAAATTGTCAATGGAATTGATTCTGAGATACCGTTCCATAGATTTCTGTAGAATTACAATTTTAAATTAATATATTATTTGATAGTTTAATAAAACATGCTGTGGACCATCGACAACTAAATGTGAAGCGGTTGTGACACAATTATATTAAAAACTTACTACCTTATTCATAAAATCTTTAAAACTCTCATAATCGTATTTCAACTATTGAACTGTTTTGTCTCTTTCTTTTGCGCTAAATGTTCAATTTGAATGAAAGTGACAAGTGTAAGTGTTTCAGTTCTTATGAATAAGAGGCTTAGTTCTTATTTATTTTTTTATACAATTTAGAATGGCAAACAAGCAGCTTGCCCACCTGATGGAAAGTGGTAACCATCGCCTATAGACATGAGCAGTACCGTGGACATAACAGAGTATACTGTTACGCCCATGATACCCCCCATGCGTTGCCATTCCTGAGGACTCAGGTGTTATTCCTCTCTGTACCGTGTAAATTCACGCCATATCCCACCGTTCAAACCGAAACACAGCCATGCAAACACAACTGCTTCACGGTTGAAACACGAATGGGACAGAGGTGTCCAAGCAATCGACTTTTGTACAAAGTGTCCCTCTGGTAATATTGCCTTAGTTCGTAGTGTAGGAAATGGTGTGTCAAAATCAATCCCAGTGTCGACCATTTATTGAGACTAGACGCTTCATGTTTATACAGTAAGATTTATAATTGAAGGTGCCCCCCCAACCTGCACAGAGACATGGCCCACCACACCGGCGTAGTTGCTGGTTGACAGAACAAACGCAACACTCGCTGTAGTCGATGGACGTGTTACATATCTATTTACTGTTATGTACAATTGATCTAGCTACACAACTATAACGACCTATCATGTAAACCTAAACCCGAATACAATCATTTACATAAAAATACAATTTTTCCAATTCATATATGTTAAAACATTAATAAAATCACAAAGTCTTCCTCCGAGCAGCTGCGATGTATACCAGCACACGACAGGTCGTCCAACATCTATACAGCTGATTGACAATTTTAAACAATGCGTAAAAAATATATATAGACTCGCATACACGCTGAGAACGCATCCTGTCTGTATTCTAGGACATTCCATTCACCCAGGACCGGGTTTCCGATCTTGAATCGTGCCATCTTGAAAGTATTTATCCAGAAATGAATAGGTTTTGCCTATTATTTAAAGAAATGTCGTCCACTGGGCAGCTGAGACGAGTTCCAATTTCTTTTTTAATTGTATCTTATTTACTATTTAACCAATTGCAGGGCCGGTACCGATCGGAAACCCTGGTCGGTGGCCACGACTCCACCGTGCGTGCCTTCACTCGAAGAAACTGCATTGAGGACATAGGGCCACAGTGTAAAGAACACATTGCTACCAGTGGTCCAACGGACGTGTCTGGACAAACGTGGTTAAAATGCTCTCAACTAGATATATTAATTTAAATCCCTTTGAAATTCAGTTTATTTTGCTGCTTATAATATACTATGGTTTCAAATAGTAATGTTCAATGGTTGGTTTAGTTGTATGTTTATCATCTCTCCACTCGCCATTTTATGTCCGCTTTTGTTACAAATGAGTCGTGGTCTCCTTTTGATTAGGAAACGTTATATTATGTGATCTCTACTATCCTGGTCCTTCGAGCCGGATGTATTCCCAACTGAGTACTTGGCTCATACAAAATTGACAATATATCCATCATCTGTGTAGACATTAAATAAATGACTGCTATATTTTTCATCGAAACAATTTGTATGTAATTTACAATATTTTTTTTAAATGATTAAATTAACAGAATGTTTATCAATTGTGACAAGTATAGAAAAACAGATTATAAATTTGATCATTGGGCGAGCAGGATAGAGGATGTGTTGCTGTTGTAAAGTTATACCTTTTTGAGGTGTAAACGAGATGGAAGACACAGGAAAAGTTAAAAATTTTCACAAACATATTTCCCCTTCGTTATAATTACATTTTGAATATTTCGCTACAGTGTCTACAACTACACGACGTGTCTACATGTTTAGTTCACAATCAATTTGGCAGTATCTTACTAATCAAGTAGGAACCGAGTTACACTATACATGGCTAAAGTTGGGGACTCACTGTAATGCTCGAATTTCCCGGAACATTCGTTACGACCAGTCAAGCAGACTTCATCCTCGTCCACCACCCCTCACTGGTGTCCCGCCAGCGTGTGGGATTAGCATTCCATTTTCATCCATTAAACTATCAGTCCGGTGGTAAGAACAAGTCTGTATCTCGAGCTGATAAACATTGGTGTTTTGAGCAAGGGTTGTCAGCTGAAATACCTCACAGTAACCACCACTCGACGGCACCTACCAGCTTCAGTACTTCGTTGCTATCCAGGCCATTTTTTAATTTATCACAACCCTGGTGGGGGAGGGGATTGTCAGTAAAGAGAACTAATGGGTCCATTACTAGCAGTACACCCTGTCGAGTCGACATCTATGCAACACCCCCTGGAGACCACAGTGGTTACGTATTGGTGAATTCATCATAATGGGCGAACTGACCTAATTTCTTCCTTGCCTATTACTCCTCACTGGTATCCCACCAGCAAATACCAATAGTTTGGCCGGCACCAGCCTTAGGGGAGTACGCGGTTTCTCCTTAGGGGAGTCCAAATTGTTTTAGTTCACTCAGCACTCACAAAAACATTTTCTTCATTGTCGCGGGTCGCCGGTTAAGGCTGGTAGAAGTTGAGCTCAGGCCAAGTCGCCATTTGATTAGAATAGAACGGTGGAGGCTGTGAGGGGCTGTGAGGGTCTGGCGATCAGACGAGCTCGAGCACCTTGATGGTGCCCTGGCTGTTGGCGGCCAGCAGCACCTGGCGGTCGGCGGCGCGGCGCCAGCACACGGCCGACACGAACTCCGACGGCTCCTCGTCGCGCCGCTCGCGCTCCAGGAACCCGCGCACCGCGTCGAACCTGCCGCGCACATACACACACATCGCTTACAGTACGTGTGTACACAATTACATGCCGGGGCCTCAAAGGCTCGTCGTGAAGCAAGCCACTGAGGGCCCAAGAGGTAATAAACAAATACATTTTCACATTTATTTTTGTAAATGTAATATCATCACCACCATCTCGGCCACTACCCGTCCACTGCTGGACATACGCCTGCCCCGTAGACTGCCACAGGGAACGGTCCTGAGCCACCTGCATCCACCGACTGCCTGCAATGCATTTCAATTCGTCACTCTACACTGCGTAGGAATATAATATCAATAAGGATTAAATTGGCCGCGCGGTCGTGGCTTATGATAAAAGGTCGAGAGACGGGCAAGATGGCAAGTAGTGGGCACCAGTACGCACCTGTAGGCGAGCAGCGGCCGCGAGAGGCCGCTGTAGTAGAGGTAGAGCGCGTTGTTCTCGGAGCCGCAGGCGACGTAGCGGCCGTCGGTGGCCAGCCCCACGAAGTTCTTCTCGTTGGCGTGGCCGGTGAAGGAGCGCACGCAGCGCGGCGAGTCGAGCCGCCACAGCTTGAGCTGCGAGTCGGTGGAGGCGGAGACGAGCGAGCGCGCGTCCAGGAACTGCACGTAGGAGACGGCCTTGCGGTGGTCGCGGAACACGGCCAGCGGCTGGCGCGGCGCGCGCAGGTCGTAGTAGTGCACGCAGTGGTCGGCGCAGCCGAAGGCCAGGTGGCAGGAGGAGCGCGGGTTGAAGCGCACGCAGCACACGTTGAAGCGCGCCTCCAGCGTGGCCACCGAGCGCTCGGCCGTCAGCGCCCACAGCTTGACGCGCGCGTCGTCCGAGCCGGACGCCAGCAGCCGCACGTCGGCGCGGTTGAAGTGCACGGACCAGCAGCGCTTGTCGTGCTCCTGCAGCGCGCGCGTGCGCTGCCCGGTGGCCGCGTCCCACACGGACACCGTGCCCTCGTAGTCCGACGACGCCAGCACGTTCTTGTGGTACGCGTTCCACGACACGCACGAGATCTTGTGCGAGCACTGCATCTCCGAGCTGGGGTAGTGCACGTCCACCGCGTCGCGCACCACCGCCTCGAACTCGAACACCTGCACACCGCGCGCCACACCACTTCTACACTCGCACACCAGCGTGCCACCACACCGCTCAAACATAAATATATACCGAATAGTAGTAATTGCGAAATAGGACAAATGGGAGCTAAAGAGATTGGGAAAAAGAGAAGAGAAAAAAACCAGACCTATCCTGATTACGCAACTCTCCCCTGGAGAAGAATGGAAATCCTCAAGAAAAAAAAGAAGTTACCTAAAAATATATATGTAACAGAAGATTTCCCTAAGGACATCCTAGTCAAGCGCAAGGAATTGAAAGCGCAGAATAGCCTGTAGAATATAATGATAAGCTCATTATAAAGAAGTCACAAAAAGATAAAAGGAAGCGCTCCGAATCAAGCTCACCAAATACTCCGGTAACAAGTAACTCCCACCATCATCTTCCTCCTATCCTAATTTATTTGTGGTCGACGTAATATATTTTTATCCATATTACAAAAAGATTTGGCTTATAGTTTTACGACCAGCCGCCCACTTGACATTAGCCCTGTTTAGGAATGAGTAACTTCCAAAATCCATAAAAAAAACCAATAAAATGATGGATTATTTCAACAAGACAAGAACCATAGCAACCAAGGAGACCAAACAATAGCAACTAAAAGCGAATCCCGACCGAGGTGTAAAATTAAAAAATAAAGAAATATACGAAAATAGTGTCCTCGACGCGGCTGCTCACCGTGGGGTAAACGACCACTGCCCTCTAACTCCTAAACAGAGAGCACAGTTAAATATTTGTACTGTGAACACTAGAAGTCCCAGGACCCAGGACAATAGAAACTCTACAAGAGCTAGCAATAGCACTAGACATGTTCAAGTGGGATTTATTGAGAATAAGTGAAATGAGAAGAAGAAGAGAGTGAAGGAATAATACAAAAATCAGATTATGTTATCTACACTAATATTATAAAGAGGAAACAATTTGTATTCTTGTGTGTATGTATGTTTGTAATGAATAAACTCAAATATTACTTTGCCGATTTCAAAAATTCTTTCACCATTAGAAAGCTACATTCACCCTGAGTAACATAGGCTATATTTATTGCTAGAAAAGATTAGGGATCCTTACTAAAACTTTAGTAATGCAACTCAAGGTGTAAAAAAAATGTTAAAAAATATCTTTGGTCGCGTGCGCTGCGGAAACTATTGGTGATAGAACAAAAGTATGTTCTACAATATTGAAGAAAATATCAATGACTACAAAAAACTTCGCGACACTATATGTCCAACTATTATCGTTACGTCACAATGACCACTTTTTAAAATGTCGTAAAAATGTCCACACGTGCGATGCCGGGGCGGGCCGCTAGTGATAAAGGAGAAATTAGTGGGCATAGCTTGTGGCGTGGCGTGGGATTCCTTATTAAAAAGAAATACAAGGAAAATATAAAAGAATTTATTGGTGTCCCAGATCGAATAGCTGTGTATCGCCTCAAAATTCCCACATATTAGAAAGAATCGGCCATAATACACATTTATGCTCCGAGTGAACACGCACAGGGCACAGTAGTAGAATCTATCTACAATGACCTTTCAGATACAGTTTTAAATTACTCCAACATCTATATTATTGTAATGGGCGACTTTAACGCCCAAGTGGACACTAAGCAAATGGAGGAAGAATTTACAATTGGAAAATATCGGTTTGGAAAAAGAAGTTATTTTTTACAACAGGGAGCAAACGAGCGTGCGGCTCACCTGATGGTAAGTGACTACCGCCGCCCATGATCACCCACACAACACCTACGGCATTGCAGGTGCGCTGCCGGCCTTTTGTTGTAATGGTAAAAAATTAATAGAGTAAATAATACGTTGGAACACAGCCTCCCAGTTTTAAACAAAGCCTATAAGTATAGAAACAAACATTAATGGACTTGGATATCCCCTAATGGAAAATACAAAAACGAAATGGATTACATCTGCAGTAACTATGCTAAAGCTTGCAGTAATACACAAGTAATGAAAAACTTAAATTTCAATACTAACCATCGTATGGTACGAAGCTGTCTCGGGCTGAAACCACCCAAGCTGAGTAGAATGAGCAGAAAAAATAACTATAACAACCAGCAGGTGTACCATGAAATGAAATTCCGAAATTTCGGACTCGATTTCGTGTTTTTGTTTACACCAAAATCGGACCAATAAATGGAGTTTAACATTTCGTTCGTCATACATCCTATCATAAAAGTCCAAAGGAACAATATTTTAACATTTTTAATATTTCCAAACGGCATGTATTATGTAATTTTAACATCAAATCTCTGTTTCGTTTATCTCCGAAATTTCGGAAAACATTTCATGGTAGGCCCTCATTTCAGCCTTTAGCTGAAATAAAACACGACAAGTTAAACCAAACTAAACACAGATAAAACAAAATGGAAAATAAACTCAAAGAATCAACTAGAGGAGGTCGAGATATAAAAAAAAAAAGAAATACAGTGAGAAGACTTACGTCGGAATCTTACTCAAAGCAACTTACATCGAAATGTAAAATAAAACATTAAAAAGGTAACAGAGATAAGTAAACAAATCAGGGAAAGCGTGACGCACGTGACGCGAGCACGACAGAAGAATAGGTAGGCAGGAAACTTAAGAACATATAAAAAAAAATCAGGAGGAATCAATAAAGCTCTCAAAGAACTTAGAAACTCAAAAAAAGAATGGATACCAAAACTTAGAAAAGAAGAGAAAATAGAGTCGGACAGAAAACTTATTAAAGAAACAGCAACGGAATTTAATAAAACACTCTATTCCGATGAAGACGGCACAAAAACAACAATACTAAATAAAACACTCATGTTCCCAGACAACACCGAAAACGATGTACCAACAATCCTACAATCTGAAGTTGGTAAGGCAATAAGAAGCCTGCCTCTAGAAAAAGCACCCGGACCAGGTCATACCAAACGAGATAATAAAGGCTGCCATGAAGGAAATAGTACCGCTACCCACGAACATCTTCAGCGAGATAGTGAAAACAAACACGATACCAACTGAGTGGAACGAGTCGCACATAATCCTCATACACAAGAAGGACCAAAAGAAGACGTGGACAACTATAGACGCATAGGCTTGACGTCGAACTTGTATAAAGTATTTGCGAAAATAATGTTGGAAAGGCTATCTAAACTACTAAATGAACTACCAGAGGGAGACTTTGTACAAAAGTCGATTGCTTCGGTATCTCTGTCCCATTCGTGTTTCAACCGTGAAGCAGATGTGTTTGCATGGCTGTGTTTCGGTTTGAAGGGTGGCATATGGCGTGAATTTACTGAGTACAGAGGAATACCACCTGAGTACTCAAGAATGGCAACGCATGGGAGGTATCATGGGCGAAACAGTATATTCTGTTATGTCCATGCTACTGCTCATGTCTATAGACGATGGTTACCACTTTCCATCAGGTGGGCCGTCAGCTTGTTTGCCATTCTAAGTTGTATAAAAAAAAGTGTGTAGCGTGCGCACCTTGATCCGCTTGGTGACGCCGGCGATGGCGAAGAACTCGTCGTCCTTGTCGAACTCGATGGTGGAGACGATGGTGGAGTAGTTGATGGCGTCGCTGCAGTAGGAGAGCGTGGCCAGCGGCCGCAGCGCGCGGTACCGCGTGAAGGCCACCAGGTCCTCGCGGAACGCGTCCAGCCCGCGCCGCTCGCCGCCGCCACACCCGCTGCCGGCAGCGCCGCCGCCGACACCACCGCTACCACCGCCGCCACCACCGCCACCACCGCCGCCGCCGCCGAGCTCCGAGCCGCCGAGCTGCATGCCGTCCGGCGCGCGCTGGTCGCCGCCTGGCGGGATTCATATTCATATTACTAGTGCCATGCGCTCCCGGCATACAATGGGACGCCGCTTCCTTTCCCATGGGTGACGTAAGAGGCGACTGAGCGAACTTAATAATAGAGGAACAGGCAGTAGCGGCCCTCTTAAAATATCTATAAGCTTGGCAAGTATCGGCAAAACCCTCCAAAGGAGAGCTCTATGATGTAAGGAGCAGCGTCGGCTCTCCCCTCTCCCATACAGTGCGTGTATTGACAGTTTCACAGTGATCGGTTAAACCATATCAAGCCAGACACAGTTTACAGGGGAAACAAAAAATTACGAATTTACGCGACTCTGGAAATTTGTTGCAATTCAAACTTAAATCATCATCAAGTCGACCTCCACGCGGTTCCCCCTGGAAACCATCACGACTAATTTATCGTTGAATTCGTCACGATGAGCTAACTGACCTGCCTTTTCATCCTCACCTATCATCCCTTACTGGTGCCCCGCCAGTGTATACCGATAGCGCAGACAGAGTCACCATTCCATTATCAACCATTAAAAAAAAAAAATTGAAATAAACTTGTTTACAAGCACTTTTAAATCGACATTTTTTCTAATCTACTGCAGGCTTCGGTAGGTTGTTATCTGTTGTGAAGAGCCCGCGGGAAACTCAACAGTTACTCTTTTAAATCTCTGTTAACATTATGTGTATTTATTTAAATGTACCATGTCTAATATTACACGGTCGTTGGCAGCCCGCGCATGATCCACTAACACCGTGCACGCTTGTCATTCAAGTGATCGTTTAGTATGTAATAGGCTTTGTCCAATAAGTGTTTTTTAATAACAGTTTTAAAGTTCAAACAAACAAAAACAAATCTTAAATATCCTTCGAGATTCAAGATTTATTTATCAAGTATGTCAATGTCAGTCAGTCAGTCAGTCAGTCAGTCAATGTTCAAGATTTCGGTATGTTATTATAACATTTAATGCCCATTCCCATAACAGATCTGTTAACTTTTCCTAAACGTTACTTCGGAATGGCAAGTGTGTATTTGTATCTAGTGCTAACATTATTCAGATCGCTGTAACTGTATGAATTTTTAATTTTTAGTTTTTATTTAGGGGGCATCCATTAATTACATGAGCTCAGAATAGGAGGGAGGGGTCTAATGAATTCTCACCAAATCTCATTTAAACCGAGGGGAAGGGGGGGGGGGGGGGAATAATCAAAAATCTCACGTCAACTTCAAAAAATATAAAATAATAAAGATATTAGTAAAATATTAAAGATAAACGTAGACGTTTCCAGTGATTGTCTCCCTGCACTACTAGAAATCCCAGATGATATGTGTTCAATTATTTCGATTGAAAAAATACACGAGTCTCCATGGATTGAGTAAAAATTTAAAAGAAAGTGTTGTTTTTATGTTTTTACTTTGAATTTTATTTAATTTAAATAAATTAATTATAGTATACCTGAACGATTTATTATTTTCCCGAATAATAAATATAAATTAAGGTTAAAATATTTTATGCGTTAATCTCACGAAAGGGGAGGGGGGGGGGGGGGGGGGGGCAAGGCAAATCTCACTAAATCTCACCTAAGGGCGGGGGGGAGGTGTCTAAACTGATCGAAAAAGAGCTCACGTAATTAATGGATGCCCCCTTACTACATATTGGCGATTGCCAGTAGCGGATCTTGAAATTAATTACAATTGTTCAGCAATATTTACTATCACATACGTGTGGAAAAGTTTTTTTTTACAATTACTAAAGTAATACAGCCACATTGTCCATAAGCGTAGGATACCTTATACTATGCATGTGTATGGTACAGATGAATTGGCAGCTCGTTCGTCGTTTCTAAATATATAAATAATTCTTTATTGCACTTGTACATTACACTGTTAATGCATATATAAATGTAGTGAGCAAGGGTGGAGTTATCTGTGACAGAGGTGTGTTACAGTTAGAGAGCGTGACGTGGAGGTACCTAAGACGCTGTTGGCGCGCGAGTCGGGCTGCGGCGCCTGCGGCACGTGGTCGTCGCAGGCGGCGGCCGCGACCGGCGGCGGAGGCGGCGGCGGCGGCGGCGGCGGGCCCGGCGTGGCGGAGGCGGCGGGCGTGGCGTCGCCCGAGCCCGGGAAGTACAGCTCGTCGGCGCGGTGCGCGAAGTAGCACTGCACGCACACGCCTCACTCACACGACCGGCCACCGCCACTGCCAGCAGCGGTAGCACTGCGACTAGCGGCCAAGGGACTCGCAGCACCACCGTTTACTGCCGTGCTTCCCAACGTGGGGCCCCCGCCCCACACGGGGGCAATAAAAAATAGTCTCGAAGCGATTTTAACCCTCTTGGTCGGGGCCATTTAAACGCAATGCTACGAGTACATATCGGTGGCAGATGCGGTGGTAATTTTAGAAATGTTCGAGTGGGGCATGTCACAAAAAAGGTTGGGGAACACTGGTGTACTGGCTAGTTATATACCCAGCCAGCTCGACCTCCACGCAATGTTCTTGTTCAAAATTAACCTTTTTATATATTGACAATTGTAGTTTTTTATAAAAAAGAATATTGATAAACAATTGAAATAGAACAAAATATACACACAATACATCAAGTCAACAGGCGGCATTTTTACTTACAAATAATATAATTAATAAATTATATATACATAACAAGAACTAGCATATTTTACAAACAGTTCTTGTAAACTAAATTGATTAATAGTGAATTCACCACAGTAAGTCAATTGACTTTACAGTTTTATCCTGTACTGGTGTCCTGCCATCGTGCCTCATTAGTATACGATATACCATACCAGCTTCATTCTATTAAAAAAACTTTATAAAAGCCAAATGGATCTGTCTATAGACACGTTTTCGCTACCACTTGTATGAGAAAAACCAAGAATTCGTCCATGGAGAATGGAGCTTAAATGTTACAATTATTTATTCAAACACTAGTGCTACACAGCATAATAATTATAACATAATCGACAAAACAGTACGCACAAGTTAGTGTTTCCCATATGTAGACCTAATACATGTGAAGCTAACGGACCGAACGTGGCGAGGTATGGTATGAGACACGTGGACGACGAGTTGGGTGGAGTTGGTCGGACGTGACGTACCTGCACGAAGTCGTCGAAGTGCGCGGAGAGGCGGCGCCACCTGGCGGCGAGCGCGTCGCCGCCGCCGCCCGCGCCCCCCGCGCCGCCCGCGCCGCCCGCGAAGCTCTCCTCCTCGGCCGCGCTGCCGCCCGGGCTGCCTGCACGCCCGTTACAATCAGTCCTTCATTAGCACGTCTATGTGTACATATATGGCGGACCTGGGGCTGGCTGCACTGGGAGAGAATACTTAAAAGGATTTTCTTCCAGTCACCCGTAGACTAGGGGGGAAAGATATTGTTAGCAATGGAGTTCGACAGTCCCATTGCTAGCAGTATGCCCTATTAGGCTGACCTCCACGTGGTTCCCCCTGGAAACCATCGTGAACAATTCTTGTTGCATTCGTCACGATGGACTAACTGACCTTTTTTTTTATACAACTTAGAATAGCAAACAAGCTGACGGCCCACCTGATGTAAAGTGGTAACCGTCGCCTATAGACATGAGCAGTACCATGGACATATCAGAGTATACTGTTTCGCCCATGATACCCCCCATGCGTTGCTATTCCTGAGGACTCAGGTGTTATTCCTCTGTACCCAGTAATTTCACATCTGCTTCATCCTCACCTACCATCGTTCACTGGTGCCCCGTCAGTGTATACCGATAGCACCGATAAAAAATACATATAGAAACAAAAAAAGGGTATATTAAGATTTTTGTCCGGGTCGACAATGCGAGCGCTAGTGACCATTTACCATCAGACTGGCTGTATGCTTGTTTGTAACCTTCGAGGTATAGAAAAAAATGAAAATAGTGGATTTTCGATGTAACATATCTACTGAGTACCTTTACAAGAAACTTTATTAAAATATTAGATTTTTTTTTATTGATAAGATTTATTTTTATTTTAGTTCCATTATAGGATTCATCCGCACACGTTTGAACCTAAATAGTTGCATACAGTGCGAGTTTAGAGGAATTATCTCCCGCGAACGTTCAGGCCGTGGGATAAGCTCCCTGTCAAGGTTCTTCCTACAGACTACAGTATAAGATTCCTCAAGAAGGGTATATTAAGGTATCTTCAAGGTTTGCAACGCGCCTGTGACACCCCCAGTGTTGCAGGCGTTCATAGGCTACAGTGACCGTTTACCAGCAGACGGGCTGCATGCTTGTTTACCACCTTCGTGGTAAAATAATAATATAATTTTGTGACAATCAAGTCTACTATTTGCGTAGTATAATATTGCTCGGTGAGAAGCAACAAGCGACTTGGGGGCACTTGATTCAATATTGAATGAATTTATAAGTTTGAATTTGGAATCCTTAACCAAAGAGCAGGTGTTTCCGATCAAAGATCATATCACACCTACTTGTAACAACAACTAGTCCATTACCTTAAGGTTGTCTTGTAAAGATCGCTCTCAGCAATAAGACCGCCTCACTGTACTTATACAATTGTATCATTGAGTTTGTAAATTGTCTTTTTTTTATCTACAACACAGGGGGCAAACGAGCATGCGGCTCACCTGATGGTAAGTGACCACCGCCGCCCATGATCACCCACAACACCAGCGGCATTGCAGGTGTGCTGTCGGCCTTTTAAAAAGGAATATACTCTTTTCTTGAAGGTTACGTTGTCGTATCGGTTCGGAAATACTGCTGCTGGAAGTTGATTCCAAAGAGTGGTTGTGCGTGGAAGAAAGTGCCTTGAAAAGTGCACGGTGGAGGACCGCCACTCGTCCAGATGATTGGGATGAAACTTTAGTTTGTGGCGGGTTGTACGGTGGTGAAAATCAGCAGCAGGTATCAATCCGAACACTGTTAATGTCTTGCTTATTCCCCATATGGTATAATGTAAATAAAGTATACTCATTAATGAATGAATGAATTGAAAGTGTTGAGTATGACACAGCGCTAGTTTCATGTGTAACGAGCTCATATAGCGCCGAGCGCGGGAGTGACTGACCGTGCGCGCCGCCGCCGCCGCCGCCGCCGCCGCCGCCGCCGCCGCCGTCTGTGAGCGCGTGGTGCAGGTCTGCTGGCGGTGTGGTGGTGGCGTCCTCTGGCGGCGACAGACGCGCCAGCCCCGCCGCGCCGGCGCGCAGCTCCCGCAGCGTCTCCGCCACCGCCTCCATGTCCTGCGCCGCCACCACCACGCGCGGGTACGATACATATACACAAACAACATATACACAACTATTTTATAATTCATTCATTACTTCTTCTAATTATCTATTAATCAAATATTTACGAACAATCAAACATTTCCTCTCTACAATATTAGTTTGATTCCTGGCACGGTCGCCATGGCAACGAGGCAGGTCCGCGGTGAGTGTAGCACACTCGGTGATGGTGGTAAACCAGTGTACTACAGTATTGCATGATTTACTCTGAATAATCTTAATCGGTTACAATATTTCTTCTATATATTTTTTTATACAACTTAGAATGGCAAACAAGCTGACGGCCCACCTGATGGAAAGTGGTAACCGTCGACTATAGACATGAGCAGTAACATGGACACAACAGAGTACACTGTTTTGCCCATGATACCCCCCATGCGTTGCCACTCCTGAGGACTCAGGTGTTATTCCTCTGTACCGTGTAAATTCACGCCATATCCCACCCTTCAAACCGAAACACAGTCATGCAAACACAACTGCTTCACGGTTAAAACACAAATGGAACAGAGGTACCCAAGCAATCAACTCTTGTACAATATAATATTAGGAAGTTATTTCAAACATTTGACCATGTTCATGGAACATGGCATTAATTACGTTACTAAGAGCAACTAAAGTTGAAAAAAAACAACACCTCTCTTCTCCTTGCAGAGCACCAGCCCAGAGAAAACGCTAAATAACTATCCCTCGTGTTAATACTGCATTTGCCAAGTGCATTAGTTCTTATTCATGCCCATTTATATATAAACAAGTTAATACATACATACATACATAACTATCACGCCTGTCTCCCATTAGGGTAGGCAGAAACAATGGAACGCCAAATGCTTCGATTCAAACAAACCCCTTTCGCTTCCTCCACATTCATCAATCTTTTCATAAACGCTTGCCTGTTACGGGTACTTTTAATTTGGCCCTTCTATAGCACGAATTAAGCGAATACTCTCTACAAATTGGATAATTTTAAAAATACTGAAACGAAACATAAAATAAAACAGTATCTACAAAATATGGACTACGATGCCAGTGAATTAATTTTATATAAACATATGAGTATATATATATTTAATATTATCTATTTATTTTTGTAATATGGACAGCCACCAAATAACTTATGTACAAAACACTTTAATATTAACTAAGGATGCCCTCCTGTCATGTTCGTTTGTATGAAATTGTCCTATTGGTCAATATTTGTAAGGGTGTGCGTGGAGTGCGGCGGCCCGGCGGCCCGTACCTTGGACACGAGCGCGGCCTCGCGCGCCAGCTGGTCGAGCTGGTGGCGGCGGTGGCGGTGCAGGTGCGCCAGGAACTCGTACAGCAGGCGGTGGTGCGCGGCCGCCGACTCGGCCTCGAGCAGCCGCTTGCGGCGCGTGAGCACGTCCAGCATGCAGTCCACGTCGGGCATGGCCAGGTGGCGCGACTCGGCCGCCAGCAGCGCCCGCAGCCGCTCGGCGTCCGCGCCGCCCGCCGCCGGCGCCGCGCCGCCGCCCGCCGCCGCCCGCCCGCGCGCCGACCGCCGCCGCCGCTTCTCCACCTGCCCGCCATGTTACCCATCATCATATCGCTCCACCTCACAACCAGTCCTATTGTACACCAGACAAAGTTATAGCCTTGCCGTGTGGTCCTGGCATAGTCCGATTAGGCCACCCCTTCCTTTCCCGTGGGTATTATAAGAGTGGACCCTCTACTATTAAGTTTCCTTAGCCGCCTCTTGCAACGCCCGCAGTGAAGGAAAGCGGGGCCCGTTCCCATGCCATGCCGAAACCAAACGGTAATATAATAATAGTTCCTCGTGTAGAACCATGTTTCGGTTCCATAATTCATCACTGGCAACACGCACTGTTTATTTTGGATGAAAACACAATAACAATAGGTGAATAGAATGCACAAAGAAAGAGATGAAATTCATGACTTCCCAAATTGAGTTACAAATCACCCGAGTCCTCTTCTATGTTACACTATGTCGCCAACATCTTTTGCACCAATTTTGACATACATTTTGCATTCAATAGACACCTCATAAGCCCGTGTTAGTTCCATACACATGTTATCATGTTTCAATTGATCATTTTTGTATGTGGAATAAGAACTTAAAATATTGCATTTTAACTTATGTGCTATAGATAGAATAGAGATAGATTAGATTAGAAAGGTCGACTAGTCAGGTTCGTGCTCGCGTTATAGCCGCTCATCATTAATGGTCCGGAACTGCTTTCGAAAGCAGTCTTTTTTTTAGATCTAATTACACACTGCCTACGAAACTATTAACAATAAAATATTGCATTTAATATTTTCAACATATAATAATTATTGTGGTGAATTATTTATATTGTATGTTTAATTAATTAATCAAATATATTGTTTATGCATTATTTACATGTGTATGTATCTATATAATACAATTTTATTTCTATGTGTTAACTTGGTCACACAGGGTTACACTCTGGGTTCGTTGCATGCGTCCGTGTAGCCTAACTTCAGGCTGCAGCTGACAATCAGTGCTTTGCTTTTAAGCAAAACTATCACCGAGCTGTGGCCTATTCGAGTCACTGCGACACACATGGCGAAACCATATTTTTGTATTTTTTCTTTTGTTTTATTTGTTATAATTATGTAATTAATTTGATTGTATGAATTCATTTGTTAATTTACTGGTGTCATAAATGACTCGAATGCAGTGTTTATATAGCTACCTATGTGCTCGTGTCAACACATTTCACTGTGTTAACGTGCAATGCGTGTCGTTACCAGTTCATTGAGCAGGAAGTTGGGGAAGATGTGTTCGCGGGAGGCGAGCGCGGCGCCGCACTTGGGGCAGCGGCGGTGCAGCTCCACCGACTTGGCGATGCACGCGTAGCAGAACGAGTGGCCGCAGCGCGTCACGTACGCCTCCTCGATCAGCTCGAAGCACACCGGGCACAGCAGCTCGCAGTCCTGCGCACGGCTCAATATTTACAACACAATAACTCGCCGGTGAGGGGCAAGGGAATGTTAGTACTGCTTTCATGCTCACCTACCATCTCCCCCTGGTGCCCCGCCAGGGTATATTGAGAGCCCAGGCTGGGTTACTGTTACACTTATATGAGATATGCCTACCCAAAGATATACCTTTATAATTGTTTTATTTTTATTTTATTTTATAAAATATTATTAAACCATAATATATATGACATGATATTATTCTAATCTATGATTTTAAATGAAAAATAAAGGGGAAAAAATTGCAATTTTCCAGTAAGATATTCCTCTAGTTTTCAATTTAGAATAATATTTGGAATTTACTGTTTCAGTTTTTGCCAACCTGTCTCTTCCACCCTGTATATAGAATCATGAAAAGGCACATAGTTGCATTATTTCAAATAATATAATGCACCCATTTTCTCCATTCCAGATTCCACTTTTCCCTTTGTTTATATTTCACTTTTCAATACACCACGTGTACACAATATAGTGTATGGACACAGCCAGCGTTACCTTGTCCTCGAGGGAGCCGCCGAGCCCGCCGAGCGCGGAGGCGGCGGAGGCGGAGGCGGCGGAGGCGGCGGACGCGGCGCCGCTGGCCGCCGCACCCGACATCACGCTCACTGCGCCGCGCGCTACCTGCTCGCGCAACATCACCAACTATATCTAACTGGCTCTAGTCCCACTAAGCCCAGCTCGGACTGTGCCAACTGACACACACAACTGAATACTATTTGTAAACAAATACATATTCTATGTAAATAATTGGGAGGCCTGTGTTTTGGCTGTCACTGCTGTGATAGAACATACTTCTTGTCTTTTGGATTACTGAGATTTGTCACCATCATAGACTCAAAGCAGATACTCAAATCTGGACACCAATACATATTATAAATACTATAGACATCACAGTATAATCTATGGTGTACATGTATTGTGTGCGTTCCATGCCCATAGACAATGGTTAATCATGTTGTGTACACATGTTTTTGAATTATAACCTACCATATAAAAACCTATATACAAACCTAACATGGTTATAATTTGTTATTTATTTTTTTATTTATTTATTCTTTAACACTACATACTATAAAACAAAGTTGATGTCGCTGTCTGTCCATCCCTATGTATGCTTAAATCTTTAAAACTATGCAACTGATTTTGAAGTAGTTTTTTTTAATAGATAGAGTGATTCAAGAGGAAGGTTTATATGTATAATACATGCATAATATAGTAGAAAAACACTGATAATTTTAGAGATTCCAAATGTAATGTGCACCCGTGCGAAGCCGGGGTGGGTCGCTAGTTGACAATAAAACTTTGTACTTGTGGCGAGCTTAATGCACCATGGCATTCTCTACCACCTAACCATTAGGTTTTTTGTTATGTGTGCCTCATTAAAATAAATAAATAAATAAAAATGGAATGGTAACCCTGCCTGCGCTATCAGTTTACACTGGCGGGGCACCAATGAGGGATGATAGGTGAGAATGAAAAGGTAGGTCAGTTAGCCCATTGTCACAAATTCAACTATAAATTAGTCACAATGGTTTCCAGGGGAAACTATGTGGAGGTTGATGTGATATTGATAGCAATAGGGTCCAACCTTCCCATTACTAACAATCCCTTCCCCCTCTGGTGGATGGTAAGCTTGGTTGCAGCTCTATCCTTACTAATGTTATCAATGTGAGAGTGTTGGTTTGTTATTTCAAAGTGCTTTAACAGCTTAACAAATTACTATGAATGTTTTTGTGTATAGGTGAAAGATATACTTTTTAAGGCTATTTTTTATACCAGTCAGTGATCTCGTGATACTGATCATACAAAGTTGTTGGTAAATGCTATAATTGCTGAGAGGATCTAATCCTCCACTATTAGTAATTAAGTATATATTTACATAGTTTTTAAGTATATTTACTAACAAAAATGGATCCAAGTAATCTAAAATAAATAAATAAATAAATTAGATTGTAAGCTAGGTGCACAATAATCAGAAACAGTTTTTTTTATAGGTGATAATGGAATGGTAACCCCGCGCGCTATCATTATACACTGGCGGGACACCAATGAGAGATGATTGGCGAGGATGAGAAGTCAGGTCAGTTAGCCCATCATGAGAAATTCAATGATAAATTAGTCACAATGGTTTCCTGCGTGGAACTGTGTGGAGGTCGACCTGATAAGGTATATTGATAGCAATGGGCGCCAACCTCCCCATCACTAACAATCTCTTCCCTCCTGAAACAGAGTTGTTAAGTCAGGCCAACCTTCACTGTGTTCCCCCTGGAAACCATCATAATTCATTATTGTTGAATTTGACTCTATTTTCATCTATCTCCCCTTTTTGGTGCCCCTTCAGTGTATACCGATAGCACAGGCGGAGTCACTATTTCACTTTAAATGATTAAAAAAATTCCACTTTAACAAGTTCCTGGGCACTGGAACTTTTTATATAATAAATAAATATTCTTTATTGCACCAAAACAACTAGACACAATGTCAGCAAAAGGTGAACTAACCTCAAAAAGACTGGTATGAAAGATTTAAAATAAATATTTAATGTATGTACAAAGGCAACCCAGATATCAAATATCTGCAATTTGTTCAATGTCCTCTTAATAATTGTCTTGGGTTTGTCATTTTTATAAAACATATACTCACATAAGTTAGTTCTAGAACACTACTCAACTGCTGCTTATTTATAGCTAGCAATCAATATGTGAGTATCGATTCTTGTGTTCTATTTACCCACTGACCAGAAAATTGATGATGCAGAAACTTCAGGTTACACAAAGTATAATTGAATTGAATAGCATTCTTACAGTTCAGGTGCCGTTGACAGCGAGGAGATCACCGGGGGATCATGCTAACGCAGGATGCCGGGAATGCCCGCGCGGCACCCGTCCAGGAGTACCAGGTCGCACCATACACATCAGCAACCAGTTCCGTACCAAATTATCACCGTATTACTGACAGAAAAGTAACCTCCGCACTCAGAGCACTGGTTCACGTTGTTCTTTTTCATTCACAAACCACAAATTAATAAGAAAATTTATATTTTAATAGTAAACAGTGAAATTATTTTTCGATTTTCTGCGACCAACAGAGTGATCAGCATCCGTGATAAAAGTGACAATTACATTTTAGTGTTACTATAAAAATAATTATTCACAATGTCAGGTTTTAGCGGATTCAGCTTATTTGTTTTATAATATATCTTCATTAGTAAGTTTCATAATCCTATGCTATTTATTAGTATAAATTAATGGAAAAAAGTATACATAATTAAAGATTTATATAAAAAATATTAATACATAAAAAACATTATTTCAACTGGTAACTTATACATAAAGCGGCATCTGTTAAATGTTCATCAAACTTCATGTAGACTACTTGATCGACTTCTAGACGTCAGAGATTTGCTTTACCGACAGAACATACGCCATTTTGCTATTACTGAAAGAAAAGTGCATTATCTTTCGTCAACAATGTTGAGTGAAGTGAAATGTTTGTGTGATTTTTGTGGAAAATACGATGTGTAAGGCCACATTTATCCCAACTGAAAAAAAATAGGATTATGGACGAACCCAACGAGGACCATAGGGTCGTTCCCGGTGAGTCAGATGTTACAAAATTGAGCTAGAATTGTAGGTGTACTACGAGCGAGGTCGTACTAATGGTCGCCTTTCCCGGTTTCAGAGCTATACTTTTTGATAGCCAAATTTCTGTCTGGGGGACCACTGAAGGAAACTGCGAAGGTAATTTGAATAAAAATACCTCTGATTAATATTTATTGTGCAATAAGTCGACTAATTGTGACATTTTCTCTTGCAGACTTTACTAAAAGAGCTCGAGAGTGTCGAGGTGAGTTAGAGCTTTTCCTAGTGCCGGGTTGCGAGCTTATTGTTGTTTTGGTGTCGAACGCACGTGGTACTGACTGTCAAAGTTCCTGAAAGTTTGCTGAAAAGTTTTTGTATTGTCCGCGTGGTTGCAGGTGCTGCCTCGGCGTCTCGACTGGGAGGGACGAGAGCACGCCCAATCGTACAATGAATTGGTGAGTTTTTGAGCATTTTATTCGCGGAAAATGTGTTTGTTTATGTTTTCTAACGTGTTTAGCGAAAAGAAATTATTAAATTGTGAAAAAACGGCAAAATATCTTAATATGTGTTATGCACAGAAATGATCGTTACAATTCGATGGAAAATCGTGAAAAATGTTTTTATGGTGTTTTAGTGAAAAAACATGAGATATTTGCGAATTTGCAAAAAAATTGATATAACATGCGATAGACAGTCTTGGTGTTAGCGTAATTAGGATTATTGCCATCTCTTTCGGACATGAAGATACTAATTGGAATAGCATGTGTTATCTCGCTCGCGCTTACGAAGCCGTGCTCCGCGCGTCGTAGTTGGTCGCCTGTGTCACGAATGCGGCCCGATGATTAGCGACGTCACTGTGGCGCCAATTTTTAAATAATGTATCGTGCATCTATTTCCTTCGTGTGTTCATTATTGTGATTTTGTTATTAAGATTTATATTAGAAAATATCTTGATATATAAAAGTTATTACTTCTTTCTTGTAATTTTACACAATTCCGGATAAATCAACGATCGATGGATTTCAGTCTACTTATGTACTTTGTACGTTCTATTAAATTTACGATATGAATGTGAATGTGAATGTCGCGCTGTGGTACATTCTAGTGGTAAATTATAAGGGCGCCAATAAACACATAAAAGTGTCATATTGAACTACAAACATTATGTAAACATTTATAATTGTTATTTTCTTTCTTCATAATGATATACAGCCCATGTTGTGGTAAATGATCTCTATTAATGTTTAAAATATGTAACTTATTTTTTTAAATATATTAATAAATAAATAATAATAAAACCTTTAACTATTTATTTGTATTACAAGTTATGTTAAAAGTTATGTATATCTTTTATGTATTTTCCTTTTTTTGCATATGTATTGATGACTGTTGTAGTTTGTGTGCTGTAAGTAATGCAAATAAATTATATATCTATCTTATTACTATGTGTTTGACCCGGTTTTGTCTTCATTCACCAATATATAATGTATGCCATGTGCTAAATTAGAGTGTAACATGTATGGAGGGAAAGGATTGTTGGCAATGGAGTTTGACAGCCTCATTGCTAGCAATATTCCCTATTTTTGTAACGAATGATAATGTCATGGTAATGGTATACACTGGCGAGGCACCAGTAAGGGATGATAAGTGAGGATGAAGCAGGTCAGTTGATCTATTGTGACTAACAATAAATCTATCACAATAGTTTCTAGGGGTACCGCGTGGATGTCGACCTAATAGGGTTTATTACTAGTAATGACATTGTTAATTCCCATTACTACCAATCCCCTCTCCTCCCAATGCAGGGGGTTAACACTCATGATACAGAGTTGTACAATGTAATTAAGAATATTAATGACTGCGAAACAAGAAGATTTAATGGCCTTACAGGGCTACTGTATTCCTAAACAATTATTTTTAAATTCTAATAAATGTCTAAAAAATCACAGACAGCAGTGTGTGTGTGTTGTCTTGTAATTGTTTGTGTTTATAATAAGTTTACTACTGTAATCTATTGGAGGGAACATACATATATACATATCTGTCATGCCTGTCTTCCAATAGGGTAGGCAGAAACAATTGAACAATAGAGTTTATTTTTCTACCTCTAGGTGCATAATGGATAAAAGTCAAGGCTATTATTTTACGCTGGTGGGATGTCTATTATTGATGGTGGGTGGGGATGTAGCCAGGTATAAACTATTGTAAGCAATGTGAGCAATTCACCAGGAATTCATGAGAATGGATGGACCCTTAGTTTGTAGTTGGGAGACTTTGTAATGAAGTTTCACTAGGATACTTCTTTCTGCCACTTATGTTTCTGCAATAGAGCTGTGTATAGTGTAAGCTGTGCTTCAGTTTAATACTCGAATGCGGTACTAGTAATTATTGATATACATACATACTAAAATTACATATATAAACGAATAAATATATATGAATAACAAATACACTTACACATATATGACATATACTATATTATACACGAAATTGAGAATAATATAAAGCACGTAGTCTCTTAATAGTATCAGGAAGCGCGTTCCAGAGTCGTGAAGAATGTAGGAGAAAAGAGTTATATATTGGGTATCTATATATATCCCTCTGGATATTGATGGCGGAAAAAAGGACAGCATCCATTCCAATATCGCCCACACCGCTACAATATCAGTATCTTTAATTTAATATTATGGAGTGGATAACTAATATCCCTTATTGAACTAATATGTAAACATTGCTATATAATGTCCACTCCTATTTCTAAATTACATAAGAGGTAAGTAAGCGAGGAGTTCTTACCTAAATGTGGTTTCGGGGGTATTGCTAGCAATATATCCTACCAGGTCCACTTCCACCTGAGTCCCTTGAAAATTATTGTGCTAAAGTCTAAATGTATTGTACATGGGCTAACAGACCCCCGCCACTGGTGCTCCGCTAGCGTATACCGTTAGGCAGGCACAGGTGGGGTTACCATTTCATTATTATCCAATAAAAAAAATGTAATTTCAGGCATCTCAGTATGCGGATATGCCGTGGTGGCGGCTGGCGGCGGTGTGCCAGCGCGCGCTGCAGCTGGCGCGGGACGCCGCCCCGCCGCCGTCGGCGCCGCTCGCCATCACGGCCGCCGCTGCCGTCGCCGCCGCCGCCGCCGCGCCGTCCGCCAGCGGCGCCGCGCCGCCGGTGGTGGCGGCGGGGGCGGACGCGGTGATGCGGCTCACGGCCCGGCTGTCGCTGCTCAGCGAGACGCTCGTGCGGCCGAGGCCTATATACGCGTCGCACAAGCAAGATCACAGTTTGGGTGAGCTGACAGATATTTATGATACAGTAAAGTCTTAAGTTATAGGATACGGAGTTCTTAGGAAGAGAATAAGTACAATGGTGGACTTATCACATAAAAAGGATCTCTTCCAGTTAACCTTCATATGTCTAATAGAAATTGTGAATTGGTGGACACAAAAAAATAATATTAGCTAATTAAAAAAGATAGAAGACAGCTATAGGGTTGTTTTGTCATTTCAGCTAAAGAGCCCTTTAAAACGTACAATATATTTATGAATAGGATTGTATAAGTGGTAGGACAAACATAAGCAGGGAGAGAGTTCCACTCGTTGACCGTATGCATGATAAAGGAACAGGCAAAGCACTTCATGTTTTTTTTTTTTTTTTTTTACAACACAGGGGGCAAACGAGCATGCGGCTCACCTGATGGTAAGTGACTACCGCCGCCCATGATCACCCACAACACCAGCGGCATTGCAGGTGTGCTGCCGGCCTTTTAAAAAGGAATGTACTCTTTTCTTGAAGGTTATGTTGTCGTATCGGTTCGGAAATACTGCTGCTGGAAGTTGATTCCAAAGAATGGTTGTGCGTGGAAGAAAGTGCCTTGAAAAACGCACGGTGGAAGACCGCCACTCGTCCAGATGATTGGGATGAAACTTTAGTTTGTGGCGGGTTGTACGGTGGTGAAAATCAGCAGCAGGTATCAATCCGAACAATTCCTCAGAACACTCCCCATGATAAATTCGGTAGAAGATGCACAGAGATGCAACATCTCTGCGCAGCTTCAGTGGATCAAGTCGGACAGTAAGGCGTTGACTATCGATAATTCGAGCCGCCCGACTTTGAATGCGGTCTAACGGAAGGAGTTGGTACTGTGGCGCTCCTGCCCACAGGTGAGAACAGTATTCCATATGCGGCCTGACTTGGGCTTTATATAATTTCAGGCGGTGTTCTGGCATGAAATATCGTCTCACCCTATTGAGCACTCCTAACTTCTTGGAAGCTATCTTAGCCTTCTCCTCCAGATGACCGCAAAACTGGACGTCGCAAGATATATCAACGCCCAGAATTCCTAGACTCGACTTTTTATCAAGGGAAGTGCCCTGAAAGTGAGGAGATACGACAAACGGCGTCTTTTTTGCGGTAAACGCGCAGACTTGTGTCTTTTTGGGGTTAAATTGGACAAGATTTTGTTCACCCCAGATCGAAACTTGATGGAGTGAAGTTTCGATTTCAGACACAAGTCTATTCCGGCACTCATCGGTATGTGCCCGCGAGATCCTTGCATGACCGGTATATAATGTATCTCCTGTACTGTCGTCTGCATAGCAATGAATATTACTTATCTGTAACATATCATTGATATGCAGAAGAAACAGAGTCGGAGATAGTACACAGCCTTGCGGGACACCAGCATTCAAAGGTTTTAAATCAGAGCATGCTCCGTCGACTACGACCTTAATGCTACGTTCCTTGAGAAAACTGGCGACCCAAATGCACAGTCTCGCAGGCAACCCAAATGAAGGTAGCTTTGAAAGCAGCGCTCTATGCCACACCCGATCAAAGGCCTTCGCGATATCCAGACTAACTGCTAAGGCCTCTCCCTTACTCTCGATAGCCACTGCCCATCGGTGTGTTAAGTAAGCTAAAAGATCACCGGCCGAACGTCCCTGTCGAAAGCCGTACTGGCGATCACAGATCAGCTGGTGTTCTTCTAGGTACCGGAGCAGTTGACGGTTAATGATGGATTCCATAACCTTCGAGAATAAGGAAGTGATAGCTATGGGCCTATAGTTAGCTGGATCTGAGCGATCTCCCTTTTTAGGGATCGGATGCACCAGAGCAGTCTTCCAAAACTTTGGGACTATGCCCGATGAGTAGCTAAGCCGAAAAAGACGCGTAAGAACCGGAGCCAACTCTGGAGCGCACGTCCTAAGCACAATTGGAGGAATACCATCGGGCCCACTCGACTTATGGATTTCGAGGGATAAAAGTGCTCTACGCACTGAGCTATGCGTGAATTTAATGTCAGGCATAGAGCTCCTACAACACGTGATGGTCGGTGGTGATTTCTCCCCGTCATCCAATGTCGAGTTTAACGCAAAGATGGATCCAAGAAGATCGGCCTTTTCCTTAGCGTTCTGGGCCAACGAGTCATCCTCCCTGCGCAATGGTGGAAAAGATGACTTACAGAAATTCCCTTGTGCAGCTTTGGCAAGAGACCAGAAAGCTCGAGTTCCAGAGGGCAAACTAGCCAATCTCTTGCCAATTCTACTAATATGCTCTGACTTCGCTGTGGCTATAACTCTTTTGAAAGACCTAGAGGCAGAGTTATACTTCTTTTTAAGAGCACTGGTGTTAGGATCTCGCGACGCCACACCTTTAGCCCAGGTTAGGAAGCACTCCTGTTTCAGACGAGATGCTGTTCTACAAGAGGCTCCATACCAGGGCTGGGATTTCCCGCCGACGGGCACCACAGAGTTAGGAATAAATAATTCCATTCCCTGAAGCACCACATCAGCAATGGAATTGGCAATGGCGTCGGGATCATCCAGTGTGAAGCAAACCTGCCTCCATGGGTAAGATGCGAAAAAAATCCGCATCTCATCCCAGTCTGCTGACCTGTAGTGCCAAACACGACGTCTACCCGTGGAACGTGGTGGAATCGGACTCATGAGAGGCACCTCGCTCCGCACCAGACTGTGATCCGACGATCCAAGCGGAGCTTCGACGGAAATCACATAGTTGTCTGGGTGGGTGGTCAGCAGAAGGTCCAACAGTGAAGGTGAATGGTCCAACACATCAGGTATTCGCGTAGGCGAGGAAACAAGCTGCGTCAGACCATAAGCCAAAGCAAAGTCATGAACAGATCTTCCCGCATAGTCGGTTGTACGTGAACCAAGCCATTCGGTATGGTGGGCATTAAAATCGCCAAGAATCACGACTTCAGCGGAAGGAATCTGTTCGAGTAGGGAATCTGTAGCCATTTGGACGTGCTCAATGAGTTGGTCGGTTTCGATGTTACCGCTGTGGGACCTGTATAGGCATGCATAGACGCGAGGATGGTCATTGCAGTCTACGCGTAGCCATAAAATGGACAGGTCCGTACCTTCAAGAGTTCCAAGGCGGCGACAGCAGATATCCTCTCTGACATACGCGCATACACCGGCACGCGAAACAAAACAATGTTCAAGTTTATAGCCCGGGTACGTCAGGTATGAAGTTTCGTTTGGAGAGGATATCTGTGTCTCCGTTAGAAAGAGCAATGCCGGCCGCGCCGTTTCTAGGTGGTGGTGGACAGCGTTTAGGTTAGAATGTAATCCCCTAATATTGCAGAAGCTCACATTGAGCGAAGGGGATGCCGTAGAAATCTTGCTCCGTTTGCCCTTGGTTCCAAAGAGCGGAATTTTGCCCCCCCAGAATACGCAGGGCAGCCCGAGCGTGGTTGCTCGAGAGAGGATTCTCCAGCAACATGGTTACTGGTACCTCCCTGGGGTATGTTATTTTTTTTTAATTCCACTGCCATGGTTGCGTGTTGTAGGATAGGGGGACGGGGTTGGGGAAAGGATTTTAGGATTAGGAAAGGGATGGGTATGGGATGGGTATGGGATGGGCCTCCGGACTCCCTCACTCACCATACGGAATGTGATCGCACTGAAAGTGCAACCACTTAGCGTCGGTATTCTGTGAGGGTGTGGTACTTCCCCGGTCGAGCCGGCCCATTCATGCTGCAATACCATATGGTATTACAGCGTGGCTCTACCACCTGAAAATGAAAATGAAAATGTGTATAAATGGTATGTTGGCAGAGAGCATTCTGCCGTGATATTTCTTTTGTGGAATGGGCTCATTGCACAGCTTGAGTTTTTGTTTGAAACATCCTCTGAACTCGCACTGTATGTGACGAAATGGTTACGTAGACAACGGAGCGAGGGATATTCGCCCAGCCCGTGTAGTATGCATCCCCAGCACTGTCATCTGCATGAATGTCGCCCGTAGCCAGCGACTAATTGCCATGCAGCAAAAACAGCGTTGGGGATAACACAGCCTCGGAGGACGCCGGTATTAATGTCCATGCTATTGGAGTTGCTACACTCAAACACGAGTTTAATGAAGCTGTCACACAAAAAAGAATCTGATGAGGCTGAAAATAATTAAATAGATAAGAATGATCCTAGTGTACCGCAATGTAGCGCGGGTTATGCGATTTGGTGACACGGCAGCCGGAAAAAGGAGTTTGCTCTCCCATCGTAGAGATTAAGTATTATTTAGGAACTCTACAACATATAACGTTTCATCTGGTCTCTCTGACTGCCAAAGCCATCACGTCGCGCCTGCATTGTCTTACAGTATTATCGAGCTACCGGGCCCCTTGAACCGAACTGGTAGTTCGGGTCTTTCTCAAAGAGCTCTTGGTTATGTTATGTTATCGATGAGTGTGTGTATGTATGTGAGACGGTGTGGTTGTACTGTGGTGCAGTGCGGCGGCTGGCGGCGCGCGAGCTGGGCGGCGGCGCGGCGGCGGCGGCGGCGGCGGCGGGCGGGCCGGGCGGGCGCGGCGTGTTCCCGGCGCGGCTGCTGCGCGGGCTGCAGCTGCAGCGGCGCACGCTGGGCCACCTGTCGGCCGTGTACTGCCTGGTGTTCGACTGCACGGGCCGCTTCGTGGTGACGGGCGCGGACGACCTGCTGGTGAAGGTGTGGGGCGCGGCGGACGGGCGGCTGCTGGGCACGCTGCGCGGCGCGGGCGCCGAGATCACGGACGTGTGCGCGTCGGCGGACGGCGCGCTGCTGGCCGCCGGCTCGGTCGAGCGGCTGGTGAGGGTGTGGACGCTGCGGACCGGCGCGCCGCGGGCCGTGCTGGCCGCGCACGCGGGCACGGTCACGGCCGTGCACTGGGCGCCCGGCGGCCGCTGGCTCGCCTCCACCTCCACCGACGGCTCCGTCGCCTTCTGGGCCTGCGCCGGCGGCAGCTTCGCCGCGCAGCCCGTGCAGTACGTCGAGCGCATGCGCCCCGGCGCCTGCCACATGATCTGCGCCGCCTGGTCCGCGGGCGGCGCCTTCCTCGCCGCCGGCAGCGCCGACCACCACGTCAGGTATACCATAAACATGACACTCTATACATATCCTTCTTCTTACTTAAAAGCATACATTCATAATTAACGATCAATACATATAAAATGCAGTTGCAATAGTAAACCTATAGCTTCGTACAGTAACATTCGATACTTACAGAAAGTACACGCCCATCCAAAAATCTGCACAGTGAACTAATCCAGTACTTTAACCGAGACATTTTAGATATGACTGTTTCAACTAAACAAGTAATTATTCCTGATGACGTGGCGGCGCGGCAGGGTGTACGCGGTGGGGTCGGAGAGCGGCGACGGCGGCGACGGCGGCGACGGCAACCCGCGGCGCGTGCTGGAGCTGGCGGTGCACGAGGACGCGGTGGACAGCCTGGCCTGGGCGCACCGGGGGCTGCGCTTCGTGTCCGGCAGCAAGGACGGCACCGCGGCGCTGTGGGTGCTCCACGCCACGCAGTGGCGCCACCTGCTGCTGCAGCCCGAGCCCATCGCCGCCGCCTTCTCCTCCACCGCCGACCGCGCCAAGCGGCTCAAGGTGTGCACGGCTCGCCCGCCCCATCTCCGCCGGCAGGGGATCGGCTACCACGCTATACTTTTATAATGCATTGTTAACGATTTCATCATCTTGTATATGCATAACGGAATTATTGTGCCAGGTGACGATGGTGTGCTGGGACAACAGCGACGCGTACGTCATGACTGCCGTCTCAGACAACACCATACGGGTGAGTGGCGCACACGCACGCACGCACGCACGCACGCACGTACGTACGTACACGGCGATAACTTGAATGTTGTTTGCGTTGGTTCAGGTGTGGTGCGCGGTGCGGGGCGTGCAGACGTGCGTGCTGCGCGGCCACGCGGACGAGGCGTACGTGCTCGAGCCGCACCCCTTCCTGCGGGCCGTGCTGCTGTCCGCCGGACACGACGGCCAGCTGTTCGTGTGGGACGCGGAGGGCGGCGAGGTACGTACGTGCTCGAGCCGCACCCCTTCCTGCGGGCCGTGCTGCTGTCCGCCGGACACGACGGCCAGCTGTTCGTGTGGGACGCGGAGGGCGGCGAGGTACGTACGTGCTCGAGCCGCACCCCTTCCTGCGGGCCGTGCTGCTGTCCGCCGGACACGACGGCCAGCTGTTCGTGTGGGACGCGGAGGGCGGCGAGGTACGTACGTGCTCGAGCCGCACCCCTTCCTGCGGGCCGTGCTGCTGTCCGCCGGACACGACGGCCAGCTGTTCGTGTGGGACGCGGAGGGCGGCGAGGTACGTACGTGCTCGAGCCGCACCCCTTCCTGCGGGCCGTGCTGCTGTCCGCCGGACACGACGGCCAGCTGTTCGTGTGGGACGCGGAGGGCGGCGAGGTACGTACGTGCTCGAGCCGCACCCCTTCCTGCGGGCCGTGCTGCTGAAGAAACACTCCTTCTATATAATTTATAAATTATCTGATAACTAAGGCGGGCAATATGTCGTGTTGCACGCAAAATTGAATGATAACCTCTCTACAATATTGGTATACTCTGGTGGGATACTGATGAGGAGTAAATGAGGATAATTGCCTCATCTTAATAGTCTCTGAGACCCCAACCTATTTCCTTTAAATGTATTAAAGTGACCAGCATACTAAATAGCGCAGTTGAGGTTACTATTCCATTATTACTAAAATAACTGTCGACGCCAGAAGGCGCCACCGTGTATCGAGCTATCATTACAAACATGAATGTTGGGACGGCAGGTGATAGCGCACTACCACAACCGCATCGAGGGTCAGGGCGACGGTGCGATCTTCGACGCCAAGTGGGGCAGCGGCTGCACGGTGGCGGCGTCCGACTCGCACGGCCACCTGCTGTTGCTCGGGCTCGGCCAGGGGCACCGCCTGCTGCGTCAGCTGCCCACCGAGCTGTTCTTCCACACCGACTACCGGCCGCTCGGTGAGTCGCCATACTGATATAGTGATCAATACGCTTCCAAGGATCGGAAAATTGAAGGGTGTGGTGTAGGAGTAAAATTACAGGGTACAGACACGTGATACCGTAGTCCTCAGGAATGTAGTAGTTGTAGAAAATAAATTCTGTGGTCAGAAAATAAATACATTTGAATTTGAAATGGCAATGGATTAGTCATACGGCATGAGCAGTGAGAAAGCTACTAGAGTGGTGACTCCATATTGGAAAATATGATGTGGAATGATTTACTATGTGATGGAGGAAAGTGGACGTTGAGTGTCGCAGGGAGGGATGGATGCAAGTAGAACTGGATCGTACTTTGTAGAGGGTCATTTGAGACAGTTGGGTCGGGTTGAACTTTATGCTGATGAGGTTCCAAGTGGTTCTTCATACCGAGTTTGTCTCGCGCGACTGCTGCAGTCCGCGACGCACTGGGCGGCGCCCTGGACGAGCAGACGGAGACGCCGCCGCACCTGATGCCGCCGCCCTTCCTGGTGGACGTGGAGGGCGCACCACACCCGCCCGAGCTGCAGCGGCTGGTGCCGGGCCGCGAGAACCTCGCGCTCAGCCAGCTCATCCCGGCCACCGAGCGCAGCCGCCTCGACGCCATGATCCTGGCGTTGGCGGGCGAGGAGGGCGGCGGCGGCGGCGGGGGCGGCGGCGGCGGCGTGTGGCGCGGCGAGGGCGTGCGGCACACGGCCGGCTCGTGGCAGCGCGGCGACCCGCTGCTGGTGCCCCCCAGCGAGCGGCCGCTCGTGCCGCCGCTGCCGGCCTCGCAGCTCGCCGCCATCCGCGCCACCGCCGCCGAGCTCAACCAGATGGAACACGCCTGGTACGTACGCCGTGCTACTGCTGCTGCTCGCGTCGCGGAGGTGCCTTCAGCTATCTACAGTTTGTTATCATTCACATAAAAAACTAAAGTTAAGAAGTGGCACTAATAATAGAACGTACAGCTATGCATCTGTTACCAGTTAAAGACTTACTAATGGTTTGTATTCAATCGAATTCTCGCTATCTAATGATTAGATAAACGTAAGAACTCAGCCATTGAATTAGATTATGTATAAAAATATTGTAATAGTATGTGCGGTATGTACTGAGCGGGAGTGTGGTGGTGGGCTGGCGGCAGGTACCGGCGCGAGATGCGGCGGCGGCCCGTGATGATCAGCACGGCGGGCGCGGCGGGCGCGGCGGGCGCGGCGGGCGCGGAGGGCGCGCGGCGGCGAGCAGGCCGGCGGCCCCGCGCGCGCGCCCGCGCCCCGCCCGCGCGCCGCCGCCCCCGCCCCCGCCCCCGCCCCCGCACCACCGTCCGCGCCCGAGACGGACAGCGACACGTCGGACGAGTCGGTGCGCCTCTCGGGCTCCGCGCACTCCTCGCACTCGCACGCCTCCAGCCTCGACTACACGCAGTCCTCCAGGTATACCGCTAGTCTTGTTGCTCTCTACGCGCACTACCCCACCACTAGTACCGCTCGATTGTGTAACATACCGACATTCTTACACATTTTACAATAATTTCAAAATGACATCCGGCTCGAAGGACCATGATAATGTGGTGCTCATTAGAGACTACCAGTAATTGTCCTTTATTATTTCTCGTAGCTCGCACTCTGGGAGTAAAAGTGATGAGTAAGTGTCACTCGTAGATACGTATTAATGTGTTATAGAAAGAAATCAGACAGAAACTTGCAGTTAAGATGCAGTACATGCTATTTAATTCTTTTGCTACTCTCGATAACACCGTCCTGATTAGAGATTATTTGATGTTTGTTATTAGAACATCAAAATTGTTTCTTGTCCATCAAACTAGAGTAATAAACGCACCGTGCAGGGAAGGAGTTCGTGATAAATTTGTAGTGAATTGAAAAAGAATTTGTTGTTGTCGTGCAGCTCGGAGTCGTCGCAGTACTCGGACTGGGAGGCGGGCGCGGCGCTCGCCCCGCCGGCGCGAGCTCGGCGGCGCCCCCTGCCGACCAACAGGTGCGTCGCCCCGACACTTCCTGTCCACCGACTGCGCCCACAGTTAAAGTGACTCCGCTGCTATTAAAGTAGCTAAAATGTGTCATATATGAACTGTATTGTTCTTATAATATTCTTATTTTCCAAGCTCTTTATTATTAACCTCTTACACTGTTGTTTTTATCGACTAGTGGAACTTGCTTTATTTCACTAAAATTGGCTAACATTTTGAATTAAGTCGATATTTTGTTAAGATCATTATTTGCGTGCATACAGTCGTTGTGGGTTTTACCGCTTTGTACGCGTCACAAAAGGGTGTGTACTGCACATTTGCGGAGAGTGCAGGTTGATGTATACGCGGGCAGGTACAGCCCGGCGGGCGCGAGCGCGAAGCGGCCGGCGGCGCGGGCGGCGGCCGCGGCGGCGGGGGAGGCTGCGGCGGCGGCGGGGGAGGCGGGGGAGGCGGCGGCGGCGGCGGAGGCGGCGGAGGAGGAGCTGCCCGAGGCGTTCCGGCCGGGCGAGTGGCTGACGGCCGTGGCGCCGCGCAAGGCGCCCTACCACCCGCAGATGGGCGACGAGTGCCTCTACTTCCGCCTGGTGCGTGCCCGCGCTAATTTTTTTTTTCTATTTCCTTCTTGGCTAGTGTACTAGTTCGTCCGCCTCACCGGGACGCGTTGGTTGACTGTAATAGCGAGTAGCCTAAGTACATAAATAAATATATCTTTCTTTACCCCTATTTGACACAACCAGTTGACCAGATAATAGAAGTTGCTATAAATATCTTCTTTGAAACAGAAGTAAGTTGGTCCCCAAAACTTAGTAGCAATTTCAATGTCAGTAGGCAGCTGTGGAAAAAAATGGCTATTTAAAAAACTGCGACCTTTAAACGATACAATTAAGAGAGTAATTTTCATTTAATTAAAATTTTTTTTGGTTTATAGTTCCAACTATTGAGGCAATAAAAAGTAATGAAAAATATCACTTATAGTGTTCGCCATATTAACCCGTAGCACTGTGTCGCAGGGCCACCAGCGGTACTTCGAGGCGGTGGCGGAGAAGGACCTGTACAAGATCAACCCGCGCGACAAGCCCTGGGAGCGGACCCTCGTGCACGTCGGTACCACTGCAATATACACACACACACACACATACACACAATACACTCACACATTATAACCAAAATTAACCACGTTTAAAATTAGACCTCTACATTTTAAAGAAGACCTTTAGGAACACAATTATGGAAACTGCGTCTAATTTGGTGATGAAGTTTTTGAATGATACCGAAACATACATACAGACAGACATAAAATTTCTATTTCATTCTTGTTTCGGCTTCTATTGCCCTGAAGATCATGTTATTTTTTCTTAATATTTGTGTACAGACATTGTTTACTTATAGTAATTATATTACTTAGCTTAAATTTCTTGTTATAACGATACTTGTATCAAGAGGACTGCTGCTGTACTGTATACAGGAGTGCGAGCTGGTGAAGGTGGTGGGCATAAAGTACGTGATAAAGCCGCCGCGCGTGGTGTGCCTGAAGCTGGCGTGCGTGCTGGAGGGGCCGCGCGGACGCAGCTTCACGGTGCGCTACCACGACATGGCGGACGTCATCGACTTCCTGGTGCTGCGCCAGCAGTACGAGCTGGCCGTGGCGCGGCGCTGGGCACCCGCCGACCGCTTCCGCTGCATCATCGATGACAGCTGGTGGACCGGCGTCGTGGTCGAGCGCAGCCTGCCACCAGCGCCAGCAGCTAGCAGCGCACCTGACGCGGCCATGTCCCCCGCCGCGCAGTTCTCCGCCACCGCCGCGCCGCACTTCCTGTCCATACGGGTGCGCTGGGACAACGGGGAGGTCGGTACTGCATTTATTGATTGATTGTTGTCGTGAGTCGGCGTGTGTGGTGTAGTGCGACGCGTGCCGCGCAGGTGGAGCGGCTGTCGCCGTGGGACCTGGAGCCGCTGGACGAGGCGCGGCTGCCGGCCGAGCCGGGCGGCGCGGTGGCCGTGCTGCCGCGCGAGCTGGACGCCGTGCTGTACCGCGCCGCGCCGCGCGAGTGGCCGCCCGACGGCGACCGCGCCGCCGCCTGCCGCACCATCGCCACGCACATCTCGCAGGTGCGCTAATAAAACGTTTACAAGCTTCAATATTCTATTAAAATTGTTCGAATAATATCCGGCTCGAAGGATCATAAATATTTGGCTCGAAGGATCTCAAATATTTTATTTGCTGTTTTAAGTTTCATAAAAAAACTCTATTTATAAATTAAAATTGTATTCATATAATCATGGCAAAATGAGTTATTTTTATTTTAAATATTAAACTATTGAAGCGATTTCGATGTACTTTCTATGGGACCTACTTGATACTATATCCTTTGAAATGAAAAAGAATTTTCCAAATGGGTTTGTAAGTGAGTGTAGTTACGAGCTGTGTAAGCTATGTCAAGTGTACTGGTAGCGAGCCGTGGCCGTAGTGACGGTGACGGTGACGGTGATGTGACGTGACGGTGCGCAGGTGATGACGCTGTCGGTGGCGGAGCCGTTCGTGGCGCCGGTGGACCTGCAGCAGTACCCGTCGTACGCGCGCGTCGTGCCCTACCCCATCGACCTGGCCACCATCCGCGCGCGCTTCGACAACATGGTACGTTACACACGCACACCCACGCACACCCACGCACGCGCATGCACTCTCGTATTAAAAAGAGATTATAACAAAATGTGCTTTAGGCAACTAGTTATTTGATTAGTATTAAGTCGTTGAATTCCGCCACCATTAGTATGTGTGTGACTGCCAACACTCGAAGATTGACCGCCACTATTGCTACTAGAAGTGCTACAACATACATACATACTAACGGTAGTGAAATTAAATAAAACAATTCAAATCAAATAACCAGTAATATGGAACTCAGCAAGATAACACCCACTTCGGTGAAAAAAATACCTCTGTCTATACTAATTTTTTTATAGCTGAAGTGGCAATGGGCTGGTCACATAGCTCGAAGAACCGACAACCGATGGGGAAGGAAGGTTCTTGAGTGATGACCGTACGGGCAAACGCGGTGTAGGATGGTCAATGTCGACTGTTTATATGCTCGTGTTGCAGCTTGAAGGGTGTGTGATATAGCATTTAAAAAAGTAAGTTGAACACCATAGTGCTTGGAAATGGCAATGGGGTTACTAATGAGGCCCAGGACACTCGATTGTGATGCTCGGCGATGTGCGAGCTCTTTTCAATAGGTAACAACCTTCCGAAGTCTGCAGTGGATAAAAAAAAAATTACGATTTAAAAGTGCTTGTAAACAAGTATATTTGAATATATAGTCCCTCATATTAATAATCTTGTAAATTATATTTACATTGATCCCCCTTATCCGTAAACACCTCTCATGGAGGTACTGTTAGCTGTTGAGACGGCCGGGTGATGATGGTGTGTGTGTGTGTGTGCGCGTGCGCAGTTCTACCGGAGGGCGGCGGCGGCGCAGTTCGACGTGCGCTACCTGGCCTCCAACGCAGAGCAGTTCAACGAGCCGCACGCCACCATCGTGCGCCAGGCGCGCCTCGTCACCGACCTGCTGCTGCACATCATCAGGTGAGCGCCGCGCCACGCCCGCCACCGCTCGCCACGCTCACCACGCCCGCCACACCCGTCACATGCACCACACGCATCACACTTGCCACACACTCGCCATATGCACCATACTCGTCATACGAGTCACACTTACCACACACACCACATTCACCACAATTGTCACACTTTTCACACTCGGCACATTTGTCTTACTTAAAGGCCAGTAATGCATTGGCAACTCCGCTGATGTCCTCAGTGTCCACCGGCTGCGGTAATCACTTACCAGCAGGTGAACTGGATATCAGTTTGTCGCCCTCTCGTAAAAATAATTCCTTTTTTATACAATATTTACATCTTGTCTCCAATCTGTACTAACATCAGTTACACGTAATTCTCACCACTCTCACCACGCTCGCCACGCTCACCACGCTCGTCACACTTATCACACAACAGCCTGCTTGTACTCGCTGTAGCAAAACGAATGGATTTAAGGGGATGGGGGATGTACGGGCCGTGCCCATCGCAGGATGCGAGCGGAGCTTTTTTTTTATAAAGGAATGGTAACCCCGCTTGCGCTAACGGTACACGCTGGCAGAGTACCAGGGAGGCATGATAGGTGAGGATGAAACCGGCAGAGCTGTTGACTATACACAGACATAGACAAGAGTAATGTCCGTGCTGTTTCGATATCTATGTATTGCGTTTATTAGACATTGATGATGAAAAAGGGTTCATCACCCATTTCGATATCGCCCGTATCGGTCGGATGTCTCTATTCGTTTCAATCAAATGCTTCATTTTAACATTGGACGACTGGTATACAGGGTGCAAGGCAAGGGGCAGGGTGGCAAAAACGGAAACGGTGAATTCAGATTAAGAAATTAATGAAAAGATCGCTCCCAGCAATAAGACCGCCACACTGTACTCATACAACTGTATCGTAACATTTATTGTCTTACTTATTTCCTATATTGTTTGTACAAAAGTTGATTGCTTGGGTACCTCTGTCCCATTCGTGTTTCTACCGTGAAGCAGTTGTGTTTGCATGGCTGTGTTTCGGTTTGAAGGGTGGGATATGGCGTGAATTTACACGGTACAGAGGAATACCACCTGAGTCCTCAGGAATGACAACGCATGGGGGGTATCATGGGCGAAACAGTATACTCTGTTATGTGCATGTTACTGCTCATGTCTATTGGCGACGGCTACCACTTTCCATCAGGCGGGCCGTCAGCTTGTTTGCCATTTTAAGTTGTATAAAAAAAATGCAATCAAAGTATACTCATTCATTCATTAATCTGAACTGAAAACCAGTCAAAAGTTTTTCCAGAAAATTTCAACTTTTTTCTATTTTTTCTTTCCATTTAATATCATGTAACCTGTGATATTATGTCATAATATAAAGAAATAATAATATTGTATAGTGAAATATTATGAAATACCAGAAAATAGCAATGCAATATACGTATTGAAATGCTGCCGCGACGCGCGCAGTCAGCCGTGCGAGGTGAACGCCGCGAGCGTACGACGCTACGTACGAAGAAGCGCCCTGACCGCACTGTACCTACGCATCACGCGTCGTGGGGATCGTAATATTTCAAATACATTAGTTATATGGCTGTGGTCAGAGCGTTCACCCGAGTGAGCTGTTGTCGTGTCCCTTGCACCGTGTTTGAGTACCGTGCTGTTTGTTGCAGCTCGTGGCCGGACGTGGACGTGGTGGGCAAGTACCACGAGCTGGCCGCCTCCTACCACTCGTCCGACGACGAGCCGCTCGCCGCCGCCGTCGCCGCCAAGGTACGCGCGCGGGTTCGATTCCCGTGCAATGCCAATATTAGTATTTTGTTTTCAATTTCCCAAATTTTCATTCAAGTTGTCGATGAAACATTTAAGATAGGAATTGTGTGTGAATACATAGTGATTTACCAAAATTACATCACAACTGGTTCGGAAAAAATATTGAGGGTAGCCATTTATGAATATTATTTTTTTTATTTATAAAGGTCAGTCTGTCTGTTGATCGAGCAGGTTGTGTTACACACATAAAAACTAGTAATATAAAATAAAATTGTTTGCCATAAAATCTACTATAATATCTAAAAATCTATTTCAATTGAGGCAAAATTAGTTATTTTGACCTAGAAACTAAATTACTGAACCGATTTTGATAAAATTTCTATAGGGACCAGTCTGTGAGTATATCCTTTACGATAGAAAAGAATTTTCCAAATCCGTTTACTATTAAAGGAGTTATGAGGTGATAAACAAAATAAAATACAATTGAATTGAGAATCTCTTTTTTTAAGAATACGTTTGAAAAATGATTAAAAATTGTCTGTAAATAATATAAGTAGTGGAGAAGGTGGAAAGATGTGGTTTGTTTGCTTCACAACAACCAGCCGAATGGATTCAAGGTGATGTTGAGGTTGTGGCCAACAAGAGGAGGAGGAGATGGAGAGTGCCAGGTGTGAGTGCGGGGGGCCGTAAGTGTAGCGTCTCGTTGGGGTTCCATCACAAAGAGATGCGTGTATTATGTGAGCGGCGCGTGCGCAGGGCGGCGGCGGCGGCGGCGGCGGCGGCGGCGGCGGCGGCGGCGGCGGGCGCGAGGCGGCGTGGCGGGCGCGGTGCGCGGCGCTGCTGCGGGAGCTGGCCGCGTCCGCGGACGCCGAGCCCTTCCGCCAGCCCGTCAGCCTCGACATGGCGCCAGGTGACACGGCCGCTGCACGCCTACACATACACTTACACTCCTTGACAATATACAATATAATAGTTTATTAATTAATTAACCAAAACAAAAATATTAATTATGCATAAAACCGCCGAAAAAATATTATATTTTCATCTGGTGCCACGTGATCGTAAACGGTCTGGTATGTGCGATGACGTCACATGGAAGTAAACAGCGTGCCTGCCACTGACGTTCGTTTGCGTTGTTGGTAGCGGGGCGCGGGTGCGAATGACGTCACCATTCGAATGTATATACTAGTGAGTACTAATTGTTCAACTGCCGAATAAATGACAATAATGAATGATAAAACATCATGAAATGATAAATATATTTTTATGAGTACGTTAAAATGATTTTCGTAAAATAGTTACATTATTTACTATAGCATTAGGATTTCTATAAGTAAGCTAGCTGCACATTTTTTATTTTACATATGAGCATTTTCACCACTAACGAACCGTTTTTCCTGTGTCTTTATAGAAATAATTCGTACACGCCGCCACAACACACCATTTGTACATTTTCTTTTTTGAAAACGGTAAAAAATTAACAAAATTAAATACTGACCAAACGCATGCATGACATTTAATAATTGTTTACTTCCATGTGACGTCACGGCCGCCATATTGCCCAAAAGTTGCTTTTCAGGGGCCTATTTGAATTTTTTCTTTTGTATTTGCTATTTTTTAAGGAAATAGTTCCATGTAAATTAAAAATAACCACTGTTTGGAGGCTCTATGAACACCACTGAATAATCTGATTTTCAGAAATCAGTCCAGTAGCCTATTATGGGATATTAACACCATACTTTCCTGATATCTCTAATTGGTAATGATAATAGGGGAATGCTATTAAAATTATTGTTTCAATTCGAAATATAGATTTTTAATTACTTCATTATTATTGTAAAAAAAAAAAAAAACCTATTAAAACATTACAATAAAAAAGTATTAAAAGAGTGCTCCGTAAGGAAGGAACAGGATTGATACGTGGTTATATTTTATAAAATTTCCCGAATTAATATTACGCACCTAGTAACCAGCGGAGACAAGTTAACTTTCTTCTCGGACTATCCAATTATATGGTGGCTGATGTGCAGTTATGCAATTCGCTCGACACAAGTTACGACTGCACGTTGACATGTGCCGTTGTCTGCACAAATAATAACTACAATAGAATTACAATTATCCGAATCCAATAAAACCAGGAGGTTGACCGTCAAATGATATTCCAAATTTTCGGACTCAATTTTGTGTTTATTCGTTTCCAAATCGACCAAATAAATGGACTTTAACACTTTTTTTTACCATGAATTGTACTAGTGTTAACTAAAAATAAAAGTATTTATTTATTTATTATTGATCTCTGACTACCCCTCATCTAATGGTATCTGTTATTTATTTATTTATTTAGAATATAATGTCAAGTGGAGGCAAATATAATGGACACATACAATGCAATTTATATATATATATATATATATATATATATATATATATATATATATATATATATATATATATATATATATATATATATATAGCAAAGGCAAAGCAATAAACTGAGCTGTGACCATTTTGTGTTACTATGGCACACGCGTGAAGGAATGGTAACAAAGGAGATTGTTAGATTATGTATTTTGTTTTTGTATTATTTTTTTTATTTGTGCTTTTTTTTTTATTTTTATTCTTTTGTTTCTTTTGCTGTGTATTACGTGTATGTTTGTTTTTTTTTTTATTGTAATTTGTGTGCTGTAAGTAATGTAAATAAATTGTCTATCTATCTATCTATTTATTTCCAATTAGGCACACCAACAGTATACATGTTATACATAAAATAAATAACATTTTTCATGTAGCATGCTGATATGCATACCTATAGCAGGCGTACACAACATTGACTGCAGATTACATGCATATAAATGTCATAATATAATTAATTAAATTTACAATTACATATTCTTTATTACAAAATTCAATTAAATATAAAACAAGACTGGGCGATACCATCAAATCTACATGGTCTCCAGTATGTTACCGCTTAAAGTACATGTGAGTGACGTCGCTTGCGAGTGGTCGCCCTATGATCCGGTGGACGGTCCCGCAGACTACCTGACGGTGGTGTCGTCGCCGATGGACCTGGGCACGGTGGCGGCGCGGCTGGCGGCGGGCCGCTACGCGCGGGCCGACCAGTTCGCGGCCGACGTGCGCCGCGTGTTCGCCAACAGCCGCCTCTACAACACCAACAAGCGCAGCCGGGTACCAACTACAGACACACTTACAACTAATATTATCACAACGTTACACACAGCTCACGTCACACAACCAGTTCACCATTTTGATCTAAAAACTTCAATTAAATTAAATATTTATTTGCTTTAATCAGATATTTTACGTGCTAAGAGCCATCTGACAGAATTTTTTGGCATCTGTTCAATTGCCTTAAAATTGTAGGCGTGTGTGTAAAGGGATATGGCGTGAATTTACAGGATACAGAGGAATAGCACCTGAGTCCTCAGGAATGGCAACGCATGGGGGGTATCATGGGCGAAACAGTATACTCTGTTATGTACATGATACTGTTCATGTCTATAGGCGACGGTTACCACTTTCCATCAGGTGGGCCGTCAGCTTGTTTGCCATTCTAAGTTGTATAGAACAAAAAAAAAGAAGCGAAGTATGACTCAGCATGTTATTCCACATATAACGTACTCTAGACCTGTGTTTCCCAACGTGGCGCCCACGCCCCACAGGCGGGCAATTTGATAGTTAAAGGGAGGGAAAAAAAAAGTGGACTCGAAGCGATTTTAACCCTCTTGCTCGGGGCCATTTAAATGCAATGCTACGAGTAGATATCGGTGCCAAATTTAACAAAAAAGTATGTAAATTAAAAACAAATGCTGTAAATATTTATTAGGTATAATTTCGTTTGACGTTACCAAAATATCAACTGGGCGATTAGAGTCGTCAAGTAAACTTTGTCGGGAACATTATGTAAGGGGCCATAAAAAGTTTAAAAGTGTTCAAGTGGGACATGGCACAAACAAGGTAGGGAAACACTGCTCTGGACATAGTAGTACATAGTTTCTGGACATAGTGGAAAGAGTAACTGTTGAGTATTGCGAGTTGTTCTCAGCACATAACAATATATCGAGCTAATTACGGAGGCCACAGCGAGAGCTTGCAAGACAAAATGCAATTTTTGCAATAATTCTAAAATATTGGGTGGGACAGGGTACCAATGCAAGAGCGTCACGACCGCTCGTTTACTAACAGAGGTTCAGTCAATTTATAACTAACACAATGGGCCTTATGTAGTCTGGATAAATAAATATTATTATTATTATAACCATATTTAATTATAATAAGTACATTACTGCAGCGGCCAGCAACTGAAGCATTGATGGACGTCCATCAATGCCTAGTTGTGGCCAAGGCTTGTATAGTACTTTTCTCAAACAATGCGCGGAATGTTCCTTTGTTTTTTTTTTTTTTTTTTTTTTTTTCAATAAACAACTTTCTATTTGCAAGCCAGTTCGAAATTTAAATAAAACCTTGTATTAGTTACCTCCTTGGTAGCCATGTTTCTAAGTAAAAGGTCATTCCATTTTTAAATTACAGGACAGATATGAGTTTACATAGTAATTTATCTGGCCGCAAAACACGACAGATATGGATTTTCATACAACTTTTGCCGGCCGCTGCCCGCATGTATCTGGCCAGTACGGCAATTTTGATTTATCTCGAAGAAGATTGTCAAAATAATGCTCACATTTCCAAACATGTTTGAGTAAAAATTATTACATTAAATATTTTTATAATTAATAACGACTATATGATACTTCCATGACGGATGATTTAATTGTAAGTCTTTTGGACGGGAGGTCAAGTGTTTGATTTGGCAACTTTGTTAGAAGTGGGCCACAGACAGGGTTGCTACTCTATGCTGATTCAGGGTTGTCACTCAATGTAACATGCTTGTAAAGAAGTTTATTTGAGTAGGGATGATTTGGACTCGGCTAGCATGAGGTGTGCTCTGGCCGTAGATCTACTCGATGACGGTGCGGCTGTCGTCGCTGTTCGAGGCGCTGTGGGCCCGCGTTCCCCAGCCGAGCCGGCCCCGCGCCCGCGCCCTGCCCCGCGCCCGCGCCCGCCCGCGGCCGCGCGCCCGCGCCCGCCGCCCGCGCCGCGCCACCAGGGCCACCAGGGCCACCAGGGCCGCCGCGCACGGTGAGCGATTATATACTCGTTACTATGGCAACAGGCTACCTCGTATATGCAGGTGGCTCGGGACCGTTCCTTGTAGCAGTCTACGGGAGAGGCAGCAGTGGTCGGATAATGGCTGAAAAAATTATAATAAATTAATTATTTACATAAACTTTATGAAAACGACGCTGCAAATTCGAGTACTGCAACAGACGCAATTGCATTAGCGCTCGGTACCACATCTTTGTTCGGTACAGCGTATGATGCATAAACTGTCGAGGGATTAATTATTATTATTTTTTTTTTATACCACTGAGGTGGCAACAAAGCATACGGCCCACCTGATGGTAAGTGGTTACCGTAGCCTATGAACACCTGCAATACCAGAGGTATTACGCGTGCGTTGCCGACCCTGAAGAAACCTCTTTACCCCCCTTTTGAAGAACCCCATGCTGTAGTCTCTTGGGAAAATCTCGGTAGGGAGCTCATTCCATAACCTGAGTGTTCAATTAAACTAATTTAAATGAATTTTTAAAAAGAAATTGAGTAATTTTTGATTTTATTTATTACAGATAAACAATCTTATTTTTTGTTTTGTTTTCTTATTTCAACCGTGAAGCAGTTGTGTTTGCGTGGCTGTGTTTCGGTTTGAAGGGTGGCATATGGCGTGAATTTACAGGGTACAGAGGAATAACACCTGAGTCCTCATGAATGGCAACGCATGGGGGGTATCATGGGCGAAACAGTATACTCTGTTATGTCCACGGTACTGCTCATGTCTATAGGCGACGGTTACCACTTTCCATCAGGTGGGCCGTCAGCTTGTTTGCCATTCTAAGTTGAATAAAAAAAAACTTATAAATTTCATTAAACTAGTGTTGTGTTAGTGATCAATATGAGTGCATGTACTGCGTCAATAGTCGCGCTGTACTCTCTGCCCTATATCTGTAGCGGGCGTATTATATAATTTGTTACCAAATTACCTGCATTCCCTTTAAGGGGATATAGTATTATTACACGTATACGTTACGATAATGATAGTAATTCGTGTCTCAAATGTCATAAAATTATTCATATAAAAAAAAGTTCCTTAATAAATATAAATTTTTCATGCTGTGTAAAAAGTACCTTTTATAAACGTTACGCTAGAACCGACGGAGTGAGTGCGACCAATAGTGTGATAGAGAAAAGTATAGTTATGAGGACGATTTACAAGCACTGAAGAAATTTATAGTACATTACTGCAGCGGCCAGCAACTGAGGCATTGATGGACGAACGTGCAAATGTGGGCCGAGGCGCAGCCGAGGCACATATACGTGAGTCCATCAATGCCTAGTTGTGGCCAAGGCTTGTATAGTACTTTTCTCAAACAATGCGCGGAAATCAAAAACACAATTTTACTTTTTAAGTTCAATGACGAATAACGAACAATAATAATTTTTCACGCTCCATAATGTTCGTTTTTTTTTTTTTTTTTCAATAAACAGCTTTATATTTGCAAGCCAGTTCGAAATTTAAATAAAACCTTTTATTAGTTACCTCCTTGGTAGCCATGTTTCTAAGCAAAAGGTCATTCCATTTTTAAATTACAGGACAGATATGAGTTTACATAGTAATTTATCTGGCCGCAAAACACGACAGATATAGATTTTCATACAACTTTTGCCGGCCGCTGCCCGCATGTGTCTGGCCAGTACGGCAATTTTGATTTATCTCGAAGAAGATTGTCAAAATAATGCTCACATTTCCAAGCATGTTTGAGAAAAGTATTTTATCATTTTATTTTTATAAAATAATTTCATATTAGTTCGATATGAAATTTTTTTTCTATCGTAATGTATATAAGTAATACTATGCCTAGTAGCAGGGAATGCAGATAATTTGGTAACACCTTATATAGCTAGGTTGTGTGTTATGTACTGAAGGGCTGAAGGTTGGCCACCAGCGTTTCTAGCGTACCAATCAGTTTGCCAAATATGGCAACTACCGGCAACTTTTGCTCCCCTCATTCTAATAGGCAGACGTTTAAACGTTCGTTAACTGGCCACCACGAAGTACGTTGAGGGCGGCTGATATGTGTACGATGGTGTACGTGTGGTGCAGCGGCGGACGCGTGCTCGTCGGCGGCTGCGAGTGCGGGTGCGGGTGCGGGTGCCGGTGCCGGTGCCGGTGGCGGTGTCGGCGGCGGGCAGCCGCTGCTGCGCTCGGGCTCGAGCAGCTCGTCGTCGGAGCCGCTGGCGGCCACCTCGCGCCGCGTGCACCGCGCCGCCGCCGCCCGCGCGGCACGCGCCGCCCGCGTAGCCCGGCTCGACTCCTGGGACAGCGACGCGCCGCTAGACGCGCACAGGAAAGGTATACCCGCCACACGCACACACACCACGCATATACTCATACATGTACAACAAGCGCACACCTACACTCGTATATTACACACGCACACGCGCACACACACACACGCGCACACACGCACACACGCACGCGCACACGCACGCGCACACGCACACGCACACACGCACAAACGCACACGCACGCACGCCACTCACGCACGTACACGCACGCATGCACGCACGCACAGACACGCACGCACGCACAGACACGCACGCACGCGCACGCACACACACGCACGCATGCACAACAAAGAGAGATATATCTGTATAAAAATGTGAGTTATAAAAATATACATAATGTCACGTATGCACTATATTAATTCTGACTTTCTAAATATATTTATGGCCGTGTGGTCCCGACATAGACTGGGTCACGCCTTCCCTTGCCGTGGCTGTCGTAATAGGCGACGAAAGGAACTTGATGGTAGAGAGAGATGAGATGAGATGATGATCCCTCTTAAAACATCTCCAAAGACTAACTCCAATCGCCAACCTGTCTGCCAAGCGTAGCAATTATTGGCAAAACCCCCCAAGGGGGAGGCTTATGTTCAGCAGTGGACAGTTAATAAACGTCGCTAAATGCCAATACTATGTAAATGAAAAAGAAATAAGTTTCAGATAAAAAAAAAAAAGAATCCTCCAGTTCTTTATTTTACCTGCAACTTGTCAAATAACAAGGACATATTAAGAGATTGTTCTCGTGACTATTTTATCAAAATGTGTTCAATAGTTTTAAATTTTTTTTTTATACAACTTAGAATGGCAAACAAGCTGACGGCCCACCTGATGGAAAGTGGTAACCGTCGCCTATACACATGAGCAGTATCGTGGACATAACAGAGTACACTGTTTCGCTCATGATATCCCCCATGCGTTGGTATTCCTGAGGACTCAGGTGTTATTCCTCTGTACCCAATAAATTCAGTTTTTAAATCAAAATAAATGGGATTTATCATAATGGACATAATATTTTTTTTTTTTTGTGGAACACGGCATATTATTAATTATCCACTCAGATTGTATAGATAGAACATATCTGTATACTCTGAGTCATCGTGTACTGTGGTCTCGTGGCCGTGCTGACGGCCCGTGTGTGCGTGTGTGTGCGTGTGCAGGCAAGGGCGTCGGCAAGAAGAGCAAGAGCAGCAGCAACAGCGCCGAGCCCGCACTCGCCGCCACCACCGCCACCTCCACCTCCGCCGCCACCACCAGCGCCGGCAGCACCGGCCGCCTGCGGCTGCGGCGTGAGTACACACACACACACACACGCACGCTGCCCACTAGCCACACAACACAAGCTGCGGCCCGCCCGGCACATGAACACTACTGTGGACACGACAGAGTATACTGTTTCGCCCATGATAACCCCCATCCGTTGGGGGAAAGGGATTGTTAGTAATGGACACTGAGAATCCCATTGCTAGCAATATACCCAACCAGGTCGACCTCCTCGCGGTTCTCTCTGGAAACTGTTATTTTTTTTTTACAACACAGGGGGCAAACGAGCATGCGGCTCACCTGATGGTAAGTGACTACCGGTTATGTTTAATTCCTGATGAATTCATCATGATGGGCTAACTGGCCTGTTTTCATTCTCATCTATCACCCTTCACTGGTGCTCCGCCAGCGTATCCCGTTAGCGCAGGCGGGGTTACCGTACTATTTTCACGCATCAAAAAAAAAAAGCCATCCCATGCGTTGCCACTCGTGAGACCTCAGGTGTGACCGAGTCATATTCACATGTGATCAGTCGCTGTAGTATAACTGAGGAACATTTAAACATGTTTACAAACGGTTATATTTCCAACATTAACATTATAATAATGAACTCTAATATATCTTTCAATCATTTATTTAATAAAAATTGGTCTAATTAACCAATATTTATGTCCATTTATTGTGACTAATACATAAAAAACTAATACATTAAAAGTGCAAAAAAACGCCATCTGTTTTCAAATAATGGAACTACTTGAATTGCCATTTGTTTGATAAAAATATGTTGACTACCGTGGAGAGAAGGTCGCAAGGATAGTTAGTAAATAATAGTACATTACTGCAGCGGCCAGCAACTGAGGCATTGATGGGCGAACGTACAAATGTGGGCCGAGGCGTAGCCGAGGCACACATACGTGAGTCCATCAATACCTAGTTGTGGCCAAGGCTTGTATAGTACTTTCCTCAAACAATGCGCGGAAATCAAAAACACAATTTTACTTTTTAAATTCAATGACGAATAACGAACAATAATAATTTTTCACGCGCCATAATGTTCCCTTTTTTTTTTTTCAATAAACAGCTTTCTATTTGTAAGCCAGTTCGAAATTTAAATAAAACCTTTTATTAGTTACCTCCTTGGTAGCCATGTTTCTAAGTAAAAGGTCATTCTATTTTTAAATTACAGGACAGATATGAGTTCACATAGTAATTTATCTGGCCGCAAAACACGACAGATATGGATTTTCATACAACTTTTGCCGGCCGCTGCGCGCATGTATCTGGACAGTACGGCAATTTTGATTTATCTCGAAGAAGATTGTTAAAATAATGCTCACATTTTCAAGCATGTTTGAGAAAATATAATAATATACTTACTTCAGTGCCGTACGTGTCGGACCCCGAGGCGGAGGGTGCAGAGGAGGCGGAGGGCGCGGAGGAGCGCAGGAGGAACGGCGGCGGCGGCGGGCGGCGGCGCTCGTCGTCGTCGTCGGCCTACTCCAACATCGAGGTGGTGGAGGAGGAGCTGGCCGAGGACGAGGTGGAGCTCACCTACGACGACGCGCCCGCGCACCAGCACCACCAGGTCAGTCCGCCCTACACCGCTACGCGTCCACCGCCGCACGTGCCGCGCACCGCCATCTGGTGGCCAACTGAGCAGACCTTGCGCCTGGATGGTCGTGTTGTACAGCGTGGTTTCAGAGATATTTTCTCCCATGAACGCTCAGGTTACGAAATCAGCTCTCTGCTAAGATTTTCCCAAGAGACTACAGCATGGGGTTCTTCAAAAAAGAAGTAAAGGGGTTTCTTCAGATTAGGCAACGCGCGCGTATTGCCCCTGGTATTGCACTTACTTGTAACCACTTAGCGTCAGGCGGGCCGTATATGCTCACCTATTTCATCTTAGTGGTATGTACTGGATATAGTAGACAACTGTCAGATGTTACGGATGGACTGGAACCAAGCTGCCAATGAATGGTTGCATAGTGAATGATCATTGTAGAACAGATCAATCGACCGATGTATTTGGCAGGCCCGCAAGCGAGTCCGCGCGCCGAGCACAGCCAGCGGCAGTGTGGCGAGCGTGGCGAGCGTGGCGAGCGCGGCCAGTGTGGGCAGCGACTGGACCGCGCGCCGCAAGCGGCCGCGACGGTATGTATTGTGGCCGGCTTGCTGAACCAACCAACGCAGTGATTCACTATCGACACATGTCAACTTGAATGACACGAGTCTAAATCATACTTTCTCTTATTTTTTTTTTTTTATGATAACGCGTATAATCGCGCCGTACCTACTGAACCCACTTTTTTTTTAATGGATGATAAAGAAATGCTTGCGCTTGCGCTGTCGGTATACGCTTTTGACTGAAGTCGTTATGAAGACTCGATGCGGTTTGTGGAGGTGGTACTTGTAAATAACGAGAATAATTCAAGATATAAAATGTAAATTTGTATATTGAATGGACTGCCTAGCGCAGAGGTTGTATCGCCAGTGTGTATAAAATGAAACATTCAAGTTACGTTGATTAATTTAGGTCATTTACAAATTAGGGAACGGTGCAAAGTTCGCTTTGAAATTATGAATAATCATTGTGCAATATTACATGTAGGCACACGCTGGTGGGGCACCAGACAAGGATGATAGGTGAGACTGAAAAGGCGAGTTAATTAGTCTATTTTGAGGAATATACCAGGAATTCAGCACGATGGTTTCCAAGGGAACCACATAGAAGTCTTGCTAGGGTATATTTTGACTGGATAGGGTATATTTTCTAGCAAAAGTTACACATAAAAAATAATGACAACATATGGATGGTATCATAGGAATTACAGTACACTCTGTTACGTCCCTGGTACTGCTCATGTGTATAGGCGACGGTTACCACTTTCCATCAGGTGGGCCGTCAGTTTGTTTGCCATTCTAAGTTGTATAAAGAAAAGCACATGGAGTGCTACGTTGACCGCGATAGTAACGGCCCGCCCCCTATCGTATGCGACGTGGTGGTGCAGGACGCGCGAGCGGTTCAGCGAGCAGTGGTCGTCGGGCTCGTCGTCGTGGTCGGAGGAGTCGGCGGCGGCGGCCGGCGCCGAGCGGCGCTACGAGTCCGACCGCTCGTACCGCCCGCGCTACTCCACCGACGACGACGCGCCGCTGCACCTCTACAGGTACGCTGCACTGCACGCGCGTCACACCGCGCACTACACACTACACACGCGGCATACCGCGCACTACATTACACGCGCGTCACACCGCGCACTACACACTACACACGCGGCATACCGCGCACTACATTACACGCGCGTCACACCGCGCACTGCACTACACTCGCGTCACACCGCGCACTGCACTACACTACACGCGCGTCACACCGCGCATTACATAAGCTATTCATGCATAAGCTCACTGATATAATAATTCCTACCACATTGTCCATCCGCAGACAACGACAACAGGGCAGCGACGAGGAGGCGGCGGATGGAGAGGAGGCCGGCGCCGGGCCCTCCTCCGGACGGCGGAGACCCGGCCGCAGTCGGGTAAGGGTGCCGTTCACTGGCTATCCAATATACACGTTACTTAGCATTGTCTGTCTTAAGTGTTCAAGTGGCTGCGTAAAGTAAGACAGCATTGAATGGTGTGTTGCGTGGTGTACACAGAGCGGCGGCGTGTCGCTGCGGGCGCGGCGCAGCCCGCGGCGGTACAACGAGGACAGCGAGGAGGACTCGGCCGCCGCCATCAGCAAGCGCCTGCAGCACCATCAGCGCCACCAGCAGCGCCACCACCACCTCGACACGCGCCGCCGCCGGCACGCTGCGCAGGTACGACGCACCACCACCCGAATACCACCACCACTACCCTGAAATCACTTCCACCCTCACCACCCTGACACCACCACCACCTCGACACGCGCTGCCCCCGGCACGCCACGCAGGTACGACGCACCACCACCCGGACACCACCACCGCCACCACCATTACCACCCTGACACCACCATCACCACCGACACCACCACCACCACCCTGACATCACCAACACCACCTCCACCACCCCGACACCAAATACATTCCGTCTTACCACAATCCCTTTTATTGTAATTGTAGACATAGTACATTCAAATAAATACACATAATGCTAACAGAGATTTAAAATTGATCACTGACGCTTCTTTCATGTTAGTTGACTTGACTTATAAAAGTAAAATATGCACTCGTCCGCAGGCGCTGGGCGTGGCCTCGAGTGTGGCGAGCATGGCGAGCGCGGCGAGCGCGGCGAGCGTGGCGAGCGTGGCGAGCGTGGCGGCCGTGGCGAGCGTGGCGGCCGCCAACGACGACCACAACTACTTCAACGGACACGCGCTCGCGCACCGCCACGCCGCGCGCCCGCTCAACGGCAACAACGGTACCGCACCGCCGCACGCTGCCTGGCCACTGTCGACACGGGCCTCCGCCTACACGCGGGGTTGCTAGTAGTGGATGCTCGTTTGCTTGGCCACCTCGTTCCCATTCGTGTTTCTACCGTGAAGCAGTTGTGTTTGCATGGTTATGTTTCGGTTTGAAGGGTGGGACATGGCAGTGAATTTACAGGGTACAGAGGAATAACACCTGAGTCCTCAGGAATGGCAACGCATGGGGGCTATCATGGGCGAAACAGTATACTCTGTTATGTCCATGGTACTGCTCATGTCTATAGGCGACGGTTGCCACTTTCTATGAGGTGGGCCGTTAGCTTGTTTGCCACTCTAAGTTGCATGAAAAAGAACTGTAGTGTCCAGTGTTGGACTAGAGCTTGTGTAGACACGTGTGGTGTATTTGGTGGCGGCAGGCGCGGAGTCTTTTTCTTTTAATGGGTGAAAATGGAATGGTAAGATGATCAGTGAGAATGAATACAGGTCAGTCGGCCCACCATGATGAATTCGGCAGGAATTAAACGGTGATGGTTTCTAGGGGCAACCGCGTGGAGGCCGACCTGAGAGGGTATATTGCTAGCAATTAGGCTGTTAGACCTCATTACTAATACTCCCTTTCCGGCCGCAGGCGCGGGCTCGGCCAGCAGCGGCGGCGGCGGCGGCGGCGGCGGCGGCGGCGGCGGCGGCGGCGGCGGGGCGCCGGTGTCGATCTCGTCTCGCGGCCGCGTGCGCAAGCTCACGGCCAAAGCGCGCGGCCTGCTGCGCGACTAGCGCCGCCGCGCCACCTGGCGGCCGCGCCGTGTGCCGTGTGGGATGACTGTAACGACTCCACGAACCGATGGTTAGTGATATTAGACGTGCAGACAGACACATGTGGCAAACGACACTACGTCTGTGTCGCCGCTGTTAATGTACCCATGTAAATATGTAGCGACGTTAAGGCCGCCCGCACACCGAACTATGTACTATCTATACATGAAAGTGTTGATATTGACAAATGTTAACAGTTGTGAAGGCTGGGATTACTTGATGCATCTTTCTTACCTTGTAAATGTGACGTTATTGTATTGTATTGTATTGTATTGACCAGCAGCTGACTCGACAAATGTTATCTTTTCTATATTCCAATATTTTTTCTTGTTCTGCGAGATTCTTCCATACATTCATTGATGTCCCTGAACGTATTTCTGTAAAAATCTTTCGCTTCATCTGTTCTGAGCTGCGTTTGTCAATGAACTAAATTTAATTTTATATTTATATAGTTAAGTTCCATAATGGGCTACAATTCGCCTCACATTGAGCCCCTGTCTTCGTGACGTCCGTCCAGCGTCGCGATAGAGACGCCCCGCGGACCTGTTTTAATTACTGTTTTGTCACTTGTTAGCTCGACATCATCATTGTCACTCGCTCAAGTGCATGTTCAAGAGGCGTAGTTTTAATAGATCACGGAACACGAATACTTTGCTAAAACTGATTTTTTTCATGTATGTATGTATGTGTATATATATATATATATATACATATATATATATATATATATATATATATATATATATTTGTATATATGTTTGTATGTATGTAAGTATGTATGTATTTATATTCGTAATTGCAAGTGGTTGAGCGAGTACAGCTTGTGTTGTAAGTGTTCACACCGAAACTGGTGTGCTCAGTGCTCCGTGTAGGGGGCGACTGTGTTGTTGTATCTGTGATTTGACGCACACCGACACGTGTCGCGACGTGTCGGAGTAGAATATATTTACTAATTAGGGAGGTTAGGGACTGGGGAGTGGGGGGGGGGGCGTTACTACACTGTCATATATATGATATATGAAACTAATATACTTATAAAAGGTGGAAGGGACAGGTCGGGCAAAACGAAAACAGTTGATTCAGATGAATGGTCTGAATCAGGTGGCAGATTGTTTTTACAGTCGAATAATGAACGATACTCAGTGTCGACTGCGCCCAATGTATTTGAAATATTACGATGGCCGCGAGGCGCGATACTCGTGCGTACAGCGCGCGGTCAGCGGTCAGCGGTCAGTGCCGCCTCCTAGTACGTAGCGTCGTACGCTCGCGGCGTTCACCTCGCACGGCTGACTGCGCGCGTCGCGGCAGCATTTCAATACGTGTATTGCATTGCTATTTTCTGGTATTTCATAATATTTCACTATACAATATTATTATTTCTTTATATTATGACATAATATCACAGGTTACATGATATTAAATGGAAAGAAAAGAAAAATTAGGAAAAATATTAATTTTCCAGAATTAATTTCTACTGGATTTCTTTTTTTCTACTTTTCTTCTTTCTACTGGACTTTTATAAGTCTTTTTTTTTTTTTTCAATATTATTTGGTTCGCGATTGGGAGATGAGTATTAAGCTTTAAAGTTTTAGTTGACTTAAGCTGCGATTTGATACAGCATAAGTCTCTAGTCTAGCTATTTAATTTTGCACGCGTACTTTATTTTATTTTTCACAGCAGCGACTTTTATAAGTCGATTGCTTGGGTACCTCTGTCCCATTCGTGTTTCAACCGTGAAGCAGTTGTGTTTGCATGGCTGTGTTTCGGTTTGAAGGGTGGGATATGGCGTGAACTTAAAGGGTACAGAGGAATAACACCTGAGTCCTCAGGAATGGCAACGCATGGGGGGTATCATGGTTGAAACAGTACACTCTGTTATGTCCACGGTACTGCTCATGTGTATAGGCGACAGTTACCACTTTCCATCAGGTGGGCCGTCAGCTTGTTTGCCATTCCAAGTTGTATAAAAAAAAATCATTTCGTGACCCTTAGTCGTGAGCGGCTGTAACGTGAGCACTAGCCTGACCGCGCGCCTCGGCCCGCTGTCATAATACGCTTAACAATTTACATATAAATGAGTGTGATATGTTCAGTTCATTGTATTTTTTTTTTTAAATACTTCATATGCACATAATCAGATGTATGACAGTGCAGTGAAGCCACGAGTTGATATAAAAAAATATAAATGTAAAGTTACGCTTATAAATAAAATAAATAAGGTATTAATTAAGACGTGTAGGGAAAGGGGAGTGTTGCTGACAAAGACATGAAATGTGGCTGTTAGTGTAAACATGTTGCAATGGTTAAGTTTTTTATTCAAATATTGTAATGAGAACAAAGCATAATACAAAAAAGACTTGTGTAAGAATAAAGGAAATTAAAAAAAAAATATACCAAACCGAGGTTTTCCCAAGAGACTACAGCATGGGGTTCTTCAAAAGGGGGGTAAAGAGGTTTCTTCAGGGTCGGCAATGCGCGCGTAATACCTCTGGTATTGCAGGTGTTCATAGGCTACGGTAACCGCTTACCATCAGGTGGGCCGTATGTTTGTCACTTTAGTGGTATAAAAAAAAGCCACTCGGCCAGCTTGTGAGTAGACTGACGTTGAATGTTGTGACGAGCGCTGTGTTGTAATTTTCAGTTTCGCAAACATATCCAGCTGATAAAGTTAGTATGCGATGCTCAATACTTGTTCTAGTTTTACCTTAAAGGCCTTTAGTGTGTGTGTGTGTGTGTGTGTGTTTTTTTTTTTTATAGTAAAAGTAAAGCTAAAGTGTTCTCTTATAATGATGTAAGACTGCCACTGTTACAACTGTATAAACCGCATCTAATTTGATTTAGTATCCACTTTATTTGCTGGTCGGGAACCCTTGTAGAGTTAAGCTCGCTTTTGTACGTCTGTTTGTTGACCTCTGTCATTTTTATTTACTGTCAGTGTGTGTGTGTATGTGTGTGTGTACAATAATGTATAAATAAATAAATAATTGATTGGAAACATTGAAGTGTTCACTTGTTTTTCAAAATGACAGACAGACTGCGTCATTGTCATACTGCGCTATGAACGCTCTTAAGTCTATTTACAGCAATAAAACATATAATCCCTGATGTAAGTGAATTGATACCAGGGCCGTAGCTGGACCCAAGATTAAGGTAGGGCATAAGAACTTGTTGGTAGGGCAGAAGCCATAATTAAGTGACTACGAAAGAGCAAATCTGTTTAATTTTCTTAAGGCCTTTCATTTTAAGGTAAGGCATTAGGTAGGACCACCTCAATGCCGCTCCCCCCCCCTCCCCCCGCAGCTACGGCCATGTATGAAATGTATAATACAGTTATTATTCGGTAAACGGAAAGCAATGAATTTATTAAATATATCAATTGGTACTCTTGTAAATGTTAAGTTATTCGGGAAACCAGTCTTGAACTGAACAAAGACGCAGCCATCGGGCGGGCCGTATGCTTATTTGTATAAAACTAATCTATAGTGTTTATATGTAAGGTTCAATAAAGACTGACCGCAGGTAGTTACACTGAATAATTTATAAAGGGAATTGAATATTAGTAAAAATATTACTGAAGTAGTATCTTATGGATCCAATAAACATTTCGCGGGCTTCGAGCCGTCATAATAACATGCGCAAATTATTTGCAACATACGAGGTTTGTCCGGAAAGTACGTATAAAAGTTTTTTAAAAATTTTATTTTACAATTATTCAGGTAAATCAATTTTATCCCCTTCAAAGTACTCCCCCTGTGACATAATGCACTTGTGCCAACGCCGTTTCCACTGTGAGAAAGCTCCTTGAAAGTCCTCTGGTTGTAGGTTTCTCAGCTGCCCCGTCGTAGCTTTTTTTATCTCATTTATGTCCCCCAAATGCCGCCCCCGAAGTACCAATTTGGTTTTTGGGAACAAGAAGAAGTCACACGGGGCCAAATCTGGCGAATAGGGGGGGTGTTCGGTCACCGTAATGGAATTTTTACTCAAAAACTCACGGACAACAAGAGAGGTGTGGGCAGGGGCATTGTCGTGGTGAAGAATCCAACGCCCCTCTCGCGCCAATTCTGGACGAACTCGTGCCACACGAGCTTTGAGGCGTCTGAGCACATCGACGTTAACACAAGTTCGAATTCTTTCCACGTTTTCGTCGGAATGTGAAGTGGAAGGACGTCCTGAACGTGGGTCATCTTGAACGCTTTCTCGGCCCTCTCTGAATCTTTTTAGCCACTTGTGGACGGTTGGTTCCTTCACAGCATCATCCCCATAAACTGTTCTGAGATCGGCAAAAATTTCACGGCCATTCTTGCCGAGTTTCGAGAGAAACTTGATTACGACGCGCTGCTCTTCAACGGAAGCGGGCTCCATGCCGACGGGGTTTCGTTAAGAGGTAACTTCACAGATGGCGTGACAAGCCAGTTCGCACCGCACGGCGGTCAGACCAGAACTGAAGCATTGTTAGGGACATAAGGAAGGGGTCCTGCGCTTACCTGGCCTCCCCACTCCTCTTTCTCGCATTCCAGAACACTTTTATACGAACTTTCCGGACAGACCTCGTAAGCACATACCTACTGGCTTAAAATAATGCATTCTACGCAATGTAGCCAGCACTTTTAAAACTGCGTACAAATGTTCTAGTAATTGTCTCTCGTGGCCCCTCCACTTTGTATTTACATCAGTACGGTTTGAAGCTCGCGATTCGATTGCGAGGGACTATGTTATGATTATTATAGTTCAACAGAACTTGATAAAAATGTAAACAAACACACAATCGACCTGACCATAGACAATGAGGTGATAGTTAATTTTAAAATTTTTGCGTTATTTATATATATATATATATATATATATATATATATATATATATATATATATATATATATATATATATATATATATATATATTGTAAATTGGGACTTGAAAAATGAGTTGTGAATTGGGACTTTAGGCGATGAAAAATGTTTGCAGGTAAATAGTACCTACATATTATACTCGCTTCTTTATTGCCGCGTCGTGCTCACGACAGGACTGAAGTGAGCGGCGTCTTTGTCTGGCAGCAAAATTGCTTGCAAAATTTTTTATCGCTCTAAATCCCGATAGTGTATGTAAATGCAATGCGCTGATGTCCAATAGTAGTGTAAATTGATTCGAAATCAATCAATGGATCGATCTATTTCGATTCGATTATATTTAGAGAGTGTTCCTGTATTAATTTTTACATAACTTGGTTATGTTGTTGTTAAGTTACACTGGAACAATTTTATGAATTGACTTCAACTATAAATATCTTATGGTTCATATACAGTAAAAACTATCAAAGTATTAGCTTTCACCCGCACTATATTATAATCTTAGGTTATATACATAGACTGTCTCCATACAAATACTTCGAGAGAAGCGGCTCAACTTTTTCATACAAATTTGCGTGATAAATAGTTATGAGTGATTCCTTTATAGCTTCTATATTTGTTTTGTCTTATAAATTCTATACCTTTTTAATGCGCAAAAACTATTTTTTTTTATTAAATATAGATACCAAATGAGCTGACAAAAAGTTGACTCATTTTTGAGACCCAATGCTCTATCTATATAATCGAAGACATGTAATTCTCGCGGGCAGCGCTGCGGTATATAACTAGTGCTGAATATAAAAAGCTCGACTGTCAACTAAGTGACTGAGAATAAGAGAATTATTGAAACATACACCCAGTACTTATTTAGTGATTTTGTTATTAAATATAATTTGAAATGTAATTTTTATATTTATATTATTGTTATCGCTGTCAAATGTTAGTTTGTGTATCTATTCGAACGATCAAGAGGGCTTCGTAGTGGAGTACTTACTGTGTGGGTCACGAAGAGGGTTCATACTAGACATGTGTAATATATGATATTAGATAACGGATATCTAATATATCGGATATTGACACGTTTGGTGTATAGATATTGTGACTACAATATTGCTTTAGGTATATTGCCCACCCTTAGTTCTTACCGTGTAAGAATGGCTAATATCTAGCAATATCTATGTATTGTAGTTACAATATCTATACGTATATTGGCCCAATAATAGTGGTATTGCATATCGGTTATTCAATATATAATATCGAAAAGAAGTACCCACTCGTAATGTATATAGATATCCAACTGGTATAGAGGATATCGCAATGGATCGTCATCAACGTCCAGAAGAACTCGATATATAGATATCGGATATTACACATCTCTAATATCGAGGGAAGTTACCAGTGTGGCGATGTCGCAGTTAGCTGCCAAGTTGCAAAAACAATTTTCAACGTATCTGATTAATAATATTAAAAGTGCTCTGATAAACAATTGAAGTGTTAATTCGTGCAGTAAAACTCTTGTCAAGTTTTTTTTTTTTGAAAAGTTGGATTTTGATGGCAAAAAAGTAGTTGGCAAATTCAGTTAAAAGGAAAATGGCCGGCGAATCTCCTGTCAATGGCTTTGGTGTTGTGGGTGATCATGGGCGGCGGTAGTCATTTACCTTCAGGTTAGCCGCATGATCGTTTGCCACCTGTATAAAAAAAAAAAGTTATTTAGTTACATGCAACGTCTTTAGTAGTCGATTTATGCGTATCTTGTTTTTTTTTTTAACATTTTAGTTCGTTATCAGAGCAGTTTTAATGATTTCAGTCATATATTATATGTTAAACCCTTTATTCATAAAAACGTCAAAATTCTAAAACCTGATTTTGACTGTCCTTTTTTTTTGCCCTAATTTTTCAATTTGACAGACAGGGACAAAACAAAATAGTTAAAGTAGTTTTCTAGGATGGTTTTTATGAATAGGGCGGTAAATATGTTATTTTAACAAATTAACAAATCATTGCGTCGCCACCACACTCCGGCAAACTTCGACGGGAACCACGGCCGTAGCTAGGGTATGGGGGGAGGGCATTTAGTGGCAATGCCCTGTCTTAAAATAAAAGGTCCCAAGAAAATTAGATTCGTTTTTACGAAGTCGCTTAATTATGACTCGTGCCCTACCAAAAAGTTCTTTTGCCCTACCTCAAGCTTGGATGTAGCTACGGCCCTGGCTTGAGCGCCCCGTATACCTAATGAATGTTAATATATTGTATCACCGCTTTATACAGTACCTGGACAGTTCCCTAGTTAATTATATTTTAGTTAATTATAACGAACGAACTAATTGTTCATAATTAAATTTAATTAAATTAATTAATTTTATTTATATTTAGTTCAATTTGGAATCTGATGGCGAATGTGTAAATGGTACGTTTTGGATGAAATGTAATTAATTGTTAATGTTGAGATGTCCAATTATATACGGCTGTGTTCCACGTGACTAGTTGCAGTCGGCAGCCGGCCGCCAGCCGCCGGCCGTGCAGTGTTCACTGCCACCAGGTGTACGAGCACCCGGCTGCCTAGTGTATATCAATCAATTGCGGCGGTCGCCACCTAAGAACAAGGAATTACATAGAAGGAATGATAAAATAAAAACTGTAAATCATATGGTTGCCTCCTTTCTTCTTATGCAAATATAATTAGTAAAAAGAGGACGAAAGATACACCATCAGTTGCTATTCTTCTCAATTCATAGCAGGCTAGTGTATAGAAAATGTTTGATATGTCAAATATTTGACAATAACAAGTTTTACATTACTACATTATATATTGGACACAGTTTATGTAGACAGTATGCAAGCAGGTTGTATCTGAATTTGGTAGCGTTATACGGCCGTATAACATTTTCTATACACTAGCCTGCTATGAATTGACAATTTTATCACTCGTTCTATGTAATTCCTTGTTGTTAGGTGGCGACGCCGCGCTTGTATATACTATGTATGTATGTATATATAGACGTAAGCAATGTGATACTATGTGAGTGTGTGTTGCATCAAACCAAACTGAATAAAATATTTTCTAAAGTACCCACATATTGTTTTATTAAATTTATAAGAAGCTTTCTGTGGGTGATAAGGGGGCACCAGCGAGGCGTGATACCTGGGAATAGATTTTTTATCCAACTTAGAATGGCAAACAAGCTGACGGTCCACCTGATGGAAAGTGGAATCTCTAGACATGAACACTACCGTTGCGATACAAAAATTGGAATGTTATCAACATAAACATTAAATAGCATTAGCAGGCATCATCCTCAAAGCAACAATACGGTTTTACTATCGTACTGAATTTCGTAACGCTTTCACAATAATTCCCTTCTTTTTTGAAGTTGGTTAAATATGCAATCACATCTATCTTGGATATATACTCTGATTGAACCTTACAGTAAAGAAAGAAGAAAAATAAAATCATAGACAATAAAGTTTCCACATTCAGAGACTTGTACCTGTTTACATTTTTAAGTACCTACCTATTCCATTAATTACATGATATGAAAATAATTTTCAAGTCAAAAACTCTATCCATATTTCAATATTACCGAATGTCACAGATTAAGAATAGTAGCTACTCACTACAACTATATAAATATATAATTAAATATAATCAAGAACTTAAAAAGTTTAACAGTAGCTGGAGTCACTTTAAAGCATTGTTATAAATTATTATAAGATTAACGTTAAGTAGTATCCACAGTCTAAACAACTCTTATAATCGAAGAATGAGAACGTAATTAGAGGTAAGTAGGAGATATTTTTTACTAAGAACAAGAATAGATTTCGGATTTTCGATTTTTCTTTTTCTAAGCCAAGCTAAGTGCTGTCAGAATGACAATATACAACACGTCATGCTTGTCTCTCTATTGGTCTATTGTAAACTCGAATCGCGTAGTTGTCAAACAAGATTCTAGAAACAAGAAAATAGGTCATTATTTAATTTATTTTAATAAATCCATGTAAATATAATTAAATAATTAGTGGGTTATTCATTCGACGCGCATTGAACGCTAATATTTCGGCAAAGAAAAACAGGCAACATCTACTATTTCGCAACAATCCGTACAGTTGCAGGAAGTTGATAACTTTTAATCTCCTTTTTTAGGTATTTGAGTGCAATAAACAATATAAAATGGATACACTGATCGAGGAAGAAGTGGAAGCACAACCAACTATGGTGAATCCAGTCACATTTGGTGAGTGGGACTTCAAATATGTACATAAAAAATCTAGAATACGACCTTCAATATCCAAATAAAAAAGGATTTGACTTGAAATAGCTGTTTGTTAAGAAATATGGATAAAGAGTGTTGGCATTCAGTCTTCTATATCCACTCAGTATATGGACTTAATGGTTGAGGAATGGCCAACAGTGTCCCTCTTTAAACATCACTACAGCCTAACTGTAAATGCCAGCCTGCCCACCAAGTGTGGCAACTATTGGCAAAACCCCCCAAAAGAGGGGGCAGCGTTCAGCAGTGGACAGTTAATGGCTGATATAATAATAAATTATAATAAGGATCTGGTGCTAACTAAGTAAACAACTAAGTAAAAAAACAAATATTATTGATATATATTAATATTACTTTTAAACATTTATTAATAATAATTTATTATTATTATATAGAAAACACATTTTTCTCAAAATTAGAATAGAATAAAGATGTGTAAGTAAAAAAAAAGAATATGACAAATTTCTAATGGGAATGACATAATCAACTGAAACTGGTCGTGTAATTGTATAAATTATGAATAAATGACCTGTATGTGTAAGACTGTGATGCTAGTAACCCGGCAGTGTAGTCTCAAGTACCCATGTAGAATTAGATACAAACATTTATACATGCATAGTTTCTTGGGCCGCATAGACCTCAGCATTTCTAAGGACATTTCAACCATCCTCCACTGTTATAACCAGTATCTATATATATATACTTTATTGCACTTGTAAGTTACATATAAAATAATCTATTTATAAATGTTGTGAGCAAGGGTGCACTTATCTCTGACAGAGATCTCTTCCAGTCAACCCAGTACAGTAAGAAAGCATTTCATTAGCGGGCAGCTGAAGTGCTACAACTATTAATACATAAACAAATATATAGTTAAATAAAATATTAAAATATATAATAAAATATTACATAAATACATACACTATAAATACATACAATACCTACCTACTTATATAATAAGTGTTAAAATAAATGAATATACTACTTACATTAGAAATTTCGTTTAATAATTTTAAGATTTGACAGTTCAATTAGAAAAATACAAAAAAAAAAAAATATTACTCAAGGGAAAGAAAATGTGATTTCAACCTCTTCTTGAAAGAGGTAATAGAGGGACTCTCTTGTATGTGGGAAGGGAGTTTGTTCCATAACTGGACAGCTCAATATGAGAAAGAGTTGCCCATAAAGTGTGTCCTATACATAGGAAGTTCGAGCATCCTGAACTGAAGTTGACAGGAGCGTTTAGGACGGACTGGTGGTGGTAATAATTTAAACCGGGAGCGGAGGTACGATGGAGGATTGGGGTTATTGAGTATGTTATAAAGGAAAGAAAGAATGTGCATATCACGTCGAAGTCGGATAGGGAGCCACTTTAACTGGTTGTGAAAGGCAGATACGTGATCGTATTTACCACTATATAAGACACCTAATTAGAAAATAGTAATTTTAAACTGATATTTGTTACTGTTGTAATATTGTGAATTGTTATTATTCCCAGTGCTGCAGTTCCTGGCGACGTACGGATGGTTCCTGGTGGGCGCGGCGGCGGCGGCGCTCTACCTCTACCGGCGGCTGCGACCGCGCCTCGACGAGTGGCGGCAAGCACGAGAGGACGCTGAGTACCATAAAGGTGATTCACGATGGGTTATATGAGAAAACATATTAACTTTGCTTGCATTATTGGTTAACAATGATGGAGTATGAATGATGAGTTTTCAATGCGATGATAATGGAATGGTAACCCTGTCTGAGCTATTGGTATATGCTAGTACTGCACCAGTGAGAGGTGATAGGTGAGGATGAAGGCAGGTCAGTTGGCCCATTGTTATTGTAAAACATAGTGGGTGGTTGTATTTGTACAGCATCACTTGTGTATTGCAGACCCTGACAAGGCGCTGGCGCGCATGGAGGCGATCCAGCGCGCGCGGGAGAAGCAGCAGCGCGACCTGCTGGAGGCGTCGCAGCGGGCGCTCGAACAGCAGAAGGAGGTAAGTACATACTAGTTATTCAATCCACTTAAAAAAGAAGCAGGTTGTCTGTCCATTGGGTTGTAATTTTTTTTTTTGTTTGTTACCTTTATAACTCCATCAGTTGTAAACTAGTTTGGAAAATTCTTTTTTTGTTGATTGGAAGCACATATTTAGAAGTTGGTGCCAATATAGCATAATATTGAAGGTAAAACAGCAGTGTAGCGAACTCTTTGCTACATTTTTTATATTCTTATTGTCATTCGAAATTTATATATTTTTTTGACATATTGTTTTTACATATTGTTTAAATATATTTTGCTAAAGTCTGTCTCCTCATCTTTTCTGTAGTTTTCCATTCTAAAATCCTCTCATTGCATATTAAAAGTATTATCTCCGTTTCATTTGGTCCTTCGAGCCGGATCTACTCCAATCGTTATTAAAAATATTGTTCTGTTTTCGCGAGGGTCATTTTGCTATGATGGCAGATATTAAGGAAATGTTTCCACAAGTTCGTATTAGAGAACAGGACAGAGACGCATTTAGGTTTCTTTGGAGACATGATAAATTACAACCTATAAAAGAGTTCAGGATGACATCCGTCATTTTTGGTGCATGCTGCAGTCCGTTCATCGCACAATTTATAAAAAAAAAGAATGCTCAAGACTATGAGCACCTGTATCCTAAAGCTACAAATGCCATATTGTGTCATCATTATATGGATGACTACATAGATTCATTGGACGATATCGACGAGGCAGCTCAGTTAGCGTCTGATATTATCACCGTTCACAAGGCTGCTTGTTTTGAGATGCGGGGATGGATTTCCAATGAGCCAACAGCACTAAAACTCGTTCCGGAAGACCTCCGAGCTGTTCAACCATTGGAAATTGATGTCTGTAACTCTGTCACTAATGTCCGAGCGTTAGGCATGTCATGGAATTCTGCAACTGACAATTTGGGTTATCGTACTGGTATATCCGAAACCTACCCTAACTCTCTTACAAAACGCAAGGTCTTGTCACATATAATGCGTGTTTATGACCCCTTGGGTTTATTAGGGCCTATTGTCATAAAGGGTCGGATTTTATTTCAAAAAACATGGAGATCTAATGTAGATTGGGATACTGAACTTTCACAGACAGAGACATCAAGATGGAATGACTGGTTTAAGGAACTGTTGAGTATTTCTTCATTAACAATTCCTCGTTGGTATTCTAGCGTTAAAGGATGCGAACCTTCGTACAGAGAGTTGCACATTTTCGCAGATGCAAGTGAGCTTGCATACGTATGCGTCGCTTATTGGCGTTTAATATACGCTGACGGCGACATTAAGCTCACTCTCATCTCGAGCAAAGCTCGCGTTTCTCCTTTAAAACCAGTTTCTATCCCACGACTGGAACTCCAGGCCGCCCTAATTGCTTCCCGTCTCGCAATCACCGTTAAGGACAGCCATCGCAAAAAGGCTGTTTGTACATTTTTTGGACTGATTCGATGACTGTTCTCCAATGGTTACGAGGCGATGCACGGTGCTACAAACCCTTTGTCGCCCATCGCGTAGGCGAAATATTAGAAAATTCATCCGTCAATGAATGGCGATGGGTGCCAACGGATATGAATGTAGCCGATGACGCGACTAGGTTACGTCCTATTAATTTAGATAGTTCACATAGGTGGTTTTGTGGACCATCATTTTTACATAATTCTCCAGAAAACTGGCCAAAGGAGCCAGTTAATATCGCACCATTTCTTGAGGAGCTAAAGTGTCAACCACAGGAATTGGTGGGATTCACTTCTTTTAATTCAGATTTGGCTTTTCCAGTCACAGCAAATTTTGATTTCTTCAGTGACTGGACTCGTTTATTACGTGCCACAGCTCGGGTTCATCAAGCTGTAGCTATTTTTAGAGAAATTTTGGCCAACATTCGAAATTCTAAATTAAATGGCGAAGTCTTTCGTTCTCGCCGGCGCTCCACTATTCTGCTACCATTAGATGCCGATTTAATTAAAACCGCAGAAAGGCACATCTTGCAGCGCACACAACTAAATAGTTTTGGAGAAGAATACAAATTGATCCTTAATTCTAAACCAATACCTCGGAATAGTCGCCTGAGTAAACTTTCACCAACTATTGGAGAAGACAAGCTTTTACATTTAGCTGGGAGAATTAAAGCCGTAGAGGATGTTGATCCAGACACCAAGTTTCCAATTTTGCTAGATGGTCGCCACCCAGTTGTACACTTGTTAGTACATTTTTACCATTGCCGTGCAGGTCATGCAAACCATGAGTTGGTTATAAACGAATTAAGACAAAAATTCTGGTTAGTTAGCCTTCGTAATACTGTAAGATCCGTAGCCAGACAGTGTCCGTTTTGTCGAATTCGCAGGGCCTTGCCAATGGATCCTGCCAGAGGAGACCTGCCGCAACAAAGATTAGCACATCATCAACGACCTTTTACATATACTGGAGTGGATTACTTCGGTCCAGTTACTGTGACTATTGGACGACGTCACGAAAAACGCTATATAGCCTTATTTACATGCCTGTCTTCAAGAGCTATCCACTTGGAGGTGGTGCATAGTCTGTCCGCAGATTCTGCGATAATGAGTCTTAGACGTTTTATTGCCAGAAGAGGAACTCCAACCACCATCTTTTCTGACAACGGTACTGCATTTATTGGAGCCAACCGCATTCTTAAAGAATTTTACTCATCTGATGTAAAAAATTTTGCGGCTACAAAAGGTATCACTTGGAGCTTTATTCCACCAGCAGCGCCAACTTTTGGAGGGTGTTGGGAGCGGCTTGTAAGATCTGTCAAGGTCGCATTAAAAGCCACTCTCAAAGAAAGGTCACCCAAAGAAGAAATTTTTACGACACTTGTAGCAGAAGCTGAGGCAATTGTAAATTCACGCCCATTAATTCATATTTCAAGCGATCCTGATGAACCAACCACCTTGACACCATTCCATTTCCTCATTGGTACGTCGTCAAACCAAATAACACCACCATTGGAAGATCGTGACCTAATTGGCCGTTCGGACTGGAGAAAGGAATTAAGGTTGGCTGACCATTTTTGGAATCGGTGGGTGCGGGAAGTCCTCCCCACAATGCAACTAAGAGTCCAAACAAAAGGAACGCAGGATTTGCAAGTCGGAGACGTAGTCTTTATAGTCGACGAGTCTCTACCACGAGGTACTTGGCCACGAGGAAGGATCGAAAGATTGTTTCCCGGCAGAGATGGAGTAACACGAGTAGTGGACGTTGCCACAGCAGGAGGTACGCTACGGCGCCCCCTTAAAAAACTAGTAAAGTTGACCACTTAAGGTTTGTCTGACCTTGGCCAGTTAAACTAGTTGGTGCAGTTCTGCACGAGGGGCAGGATGTAGCGAACTCTTTGCTACATTTTTTATATTCTTATTGTCATTCGAAATTTATATATTTTTTTGACATATTGTTTTTACATATTGTTTAAATATATTTTGCTAAAGTCTGTCTCCTCATCTTTTCTGTAGTTTTCCATTCTAAAATCCTCTCATTGCATATTAAAAGTATTATCTCCGTTTCACAGCAGGTCTACCAATAAAATTTAGAAATTTCGGACTCAATTTCGTGTTTTTGTTTATACCAATATCGGACCAATAAATGGAGTTTAACATTTCGTTCGTCATACATCCTATCATAACAAGTCCAAAGGAACAATATTTTAACATTTTTAATATTTCCAAACCCCATGTATTATGTAATTTTAACATCAAATTTCTTTTTCGTTTGGCCCTGAAATTTCAGAAAACATTTCATGGTAGGCCCTCAGGAAATCGAGATATTTAGTAAAAATTATCAATCCATATTGAATAGGCACAGGAATGAATTGGCCGTTCAATTACAAGGATTGGGAAGTAATAGTTTCTCTCAGTTAAAAAAAAAACAGTATCCAAGGACTGGTAGAAAGATTTACAAACATAAACTAAGAGCTGATGGATTGGCGACATCATATAAGAAAATTCAAATGTGACATCCAAATAGCATATTGGATTATTATTCTATAAAGAACAGATTGCCAATGAATAGATTAGAAAAAGAAATAAAAAGATGTTTCTTTTAATGGGTGAAAATGCAACCTCGTCTGCGCTATCGGTATACACCGACGAGGCACCAGTGGAAGATGATAGGTGAGAATGAATGCAGGTCAGTTGGCTCACCGTGATGAATTCGACAAAAATTAACCATGATGGTTTCCAGGGGGAACCGAGTGGAGGTCGACCTGAGAGGGTATATTGCTAGCAATGGGGCTATTAGACCTCATTACTAACACCAAAACCCAAAGAAAAGATGTTGGTCCCATAGACATTTTATCAAAAGTCATTTTGCAAAAAGTAGTTTAATTTTTTAATTAGAATCATTGGTTTTGCTACTATTGCAATGGAAGTTTTTTTTTTGTGGAGTAAGATTTATTATTTTATTTTGCCCTCAACGTGTGCACGTGGTCGGTTTCAGCGCGAGGAGCGGAAGCGCGCGGAGGCGGCCGAGCGGCTGCAGAAGTACGGCGCCGCCAGCACCGCCAGCACCGCCGGCCAGCGGCTCGGCGACGGCCGCGGTGAGTACCGCCCTCGCGCGGCACTCGGAAACCACATCGAAAAACTATTTAACAATCTATAAATGCAAAGTGTAAATGTTAATAATGGAATGGTAACTCCGTTTGCGCTGTTGGGGCACCAGTGAAGGATGATAGGTGAGGATGAAGCAGGTCAGTTAGCACATTATTTGTTCCCGTGATGATTTCAACAAAAACTATTCGTCATGCCATATTTTCTAGATACCAACTGTACGCACAGGGTACCAATATTGGGTTAACCGAGCAAACGTACTGCGGACTAGTTCTGAATATCAAATACATACTTTAAGACGGACGAGGGTTGACCTTCAGCTGTGACGTAGTAAGCTGCATCCACCAGTAGGTACCACTGTGTTTTTGCTGATGGCAATCCTTGAATCCAGAGCCTTGCAGCGTTCTTCTCGGCCAAATATCGTCTCCGTCTTGAAATCAGCGGATGTGGACTGTATCAGCGGTGTATCACGGTCTATCCAGTATGGGTAGATGGTAGGAAGACGAAAGACGATCAGCTACGATGAAGCGGCGTCCCACACGCGGTCAAGAAGGGTTTCCACCCAGCGTGGGCGGATATCAGCGGGAATACGACATGATCGTACGACGATATTTTGTCATAGGCAGTTACGACCGTATATGGCTAGTGTATTCGGCGACAGAATAATGCAAGCGGGGCGTATATGATACAAGAGTAGGGTAGATTCATTATAAATTGACGGTATTTTTATGTTTGTTTTTTTTTTTTTATTTCTGATTAATAAGTGTAGAATTAAGCAGTAAATATATCTTTATCTCTTTCTAATATATATGTCTCTCGTACAGACTACCTGCCGCTGAGTGGGGGTGCGTCCACGTCGTCGTACCGCCCCCCCAAGCGCTCCAAGTGCGGCGGCGGCGGCTGCGGGCGGTAGAGCTGCCACCTACCACCTGGCACCTACCACCTGCCACCACACTTAGTGGTTGCTACTTAACATGTGTTTTTCTACTTATTAGCACAATTAGTACTTAAATTTGTCACCTCATAACTCCGTCAGTTGTAGACCAATTTGGAAAATTCTTTTTTTATCTGAATATACATACTTACAGATTGGTTCTATAGAAATTTTATCAAAATCGGTTCAGCAGTTTAGTGTTGAATCAATAGTGATTAAACACACAAAACAGTGATCTGAATAATGTTAACACTAGATACAGATACAAACCAGCTGTTCCGAAGTGTAACGTTTAGAAAAAGTTAATAGGTCTTTAATGGGAATGGGCATTGAATGTTATAATAACATACCGAAGGATATTTTAGATCTGCTTTTTAATAAGTTTAAAACTGTTATTAAAAAAAAAAATACTTATAGAAAAAGCCTATTACACACTGAACGATTACTTGAATGACAAGCGTGCACGGTGTTAGTGGATCATGCGCGGGCTGCCAACGACCGTGTAATATTAGACATGGTACATTTAAATAAATACACATAATGTTAACAGAGATTTAAAAGAGTAACTGTTGAGTTTCCCGCGGGCTCTTCACAACAGACACCTTCCGAAGCCTGCAGTAGATTAGAAAATGATTTAAAAGTGCTTGTAAACAAATATATTTGAATAAAGACCTTTCTACTTTAAATATCACTAGTTTTGACATAATTCATGTCGCTATTAATTTGTAATCAATACGTACATCTGAATAATTATATGATAGAAATAATTTTTAATTTTAATTTAAAATCGACTTGATGTGGGAAATTTTTAATGAAATTACTGGCGACATTGAGAAAAGTGTATTTGGTTATTGTTCCTAGGTTTATAGTTTTTATTAAAAAAAAAAGTGTCATCCAATTTGACGTTTGGCCATTTAAGGTTGTCATGTTTTAACACTTGATTCTCTATCTATGCATTCTAAGACATCTGTACTAAGTATGCACGCTTATTGTGTGGACGGTAGAAAAACATTGGCGCTGGAATCTTACTAATTCTGTTTATAATTTTAGATATCTCAAATTTATATTAATAATTGTTAATATTCAAGTGTTTAATTTAAACACGCAAAATAAAATAAAATTAATTTACAATTTGTTTTTAATTTCCTTACCTTCATCCCTTTTTCCCCCTTATTCATAAAAATTGCTATCTTCTACAAACCTATTTTAGCTATTACACTATTTTGCAATGCCGTGTAGTCCTGGCATAGAGGGGCGGGGGGGGGGGGGAGGGAACGCGGTGGTTTCCAGGGGAACAGTAGGTCGACCTCCCTGTAATCCCCCTGGAAACCACCGCGCTGTATATGTATATCTCCCATGTACAGAAATATAAATAAAGGCGACTTCTTGAATGGCGACCCCGTACAAGCAAATGCTGTGTAGGGCGACCCCCCACTAGATGTAGTGACGGCCTCAAATGCATTGCAGAGAGTCAGTGAATGTAGGTCGCTCAAGACCGATCCTTATGTCAATCTATAGGGGAGCCCTATGTCCAGCAGTGGACGGACAATGTCTGAAATGATAATCTTCCATGTGTAGACACTGTCTATTTAGAATTTTATTATATTTGTAAGAATATTGATGAGAAACACACAACCTGTCTGCTGCAAAGTGGGTTCAGTGGCGGCTGAGAGTATTGTTAGTAATGGAGATGAGCAATCCTATTGCTAACAATATACCCTATCAGGTCGACCTCCACGCGTTTCCCCCTGGAAACCATCGTGACTAATTTGTCGTTGAATTCATCACGGTGGGCTAACTGACCTGCCTTTTCAACCTCACCAACCAAAGAGAGACTGTACAAAAGTCGATTGCTTGGGTACCTCTAACCCATTCGTGTTTCAACCGTGAAGCAGTTGTTTGCATGGCTGTGTTTCGGTTTGAAGGGTGGGATATGGCGTGAATTTACTGGGTACAGAGGAATAACACTCGAGTCCTCAGGAATGGCAACGCATGGGGGGTATCATGGGCGAAACAGTATACTCTGTTATGTTTATGGTACTGCTCGTGTCTAAAGGCGACGGTTACCACTTTCCATCAGGTGGGCCGTCAGCTTGTTTGCCATTCTAAGCTGTATAAAAAAAAAGAGTATGCTCTACTCACACCCATGGCTGTATACGATTATGATCTATGTCTCTGTCATATATATTGTATTAAAAAGTGTAACATTTTGTGTCTCTGTTCGCTCCGCATTGTTAAACGTTCCAAATGTATTTCTCTATTATAATAAATTATTCAATGAGGAAAAAGTTGTTTGCTGAAAGCCTTCCTGTATTGTAATACGAGGTTTGTCCGGAAAGTACGTATAAAAGTTTTTTAAAAATTTTATTTTACAATTATTCAGGTAAATCAATTTTATCCCCTTCAAAGTACTCCCCCTGTGACATAATGCACTTGTGCCAACGCCGTTTCCACTGTGAGAAGGCTCCTTGAAAGTCCTCTGGTTGTAGGTTTCTCAGCTGCCCCGTCGTAGCTTTTTTTATCTCATTTATGTCCCCCAAATGCCGCCCCCGAAGTACCAATTTGGTTTTTGGGAACAAGAAGAAGTCACACGGGGCCAAATCCGGCGAATAGGGGGGGGTGTTCGGTCACCGTAATGGAATTTTTACTCAAAAACTCACGGACAACAAGAGAGGTGTGGGCAGGGGCATTGTCGTGGTGAAGAATCCAACGCCCCTCTCGCGCCAATTCTGGACGAACTCGTGCCACACGACTGTCTGACCGTTAAACGACGGTCCCCATTAACACAAGTTCGAATTCTTTCCACGTTTTCGTCGGAATGTGAAGTGGAAGGACGTCCTGAACGTGGGTCATCTTGAACGCTTTCTCGGCCCTCTCTGAATCTTTTTAGCCACTTGTGGACGGTTGGTTCCTTCACAGCATCATCCCCATAAACTGTTCTGAGATCGGCAAAAATTTCACGGCCATTCTTGCCGAGTTTCGAGAGAAACTTGATTACGACGCGCTGCTCTTCAACGGAAGCGGGCTCCATGCCGACGGGGTTTCGTTAAGAGGTAACTTCACAGATGGCGTGACAAGCCAGTTCGCACCGCACGGCGGTCAGACCAGAACTGAAGCATTGTTAGGGACATAAGGAAGGGGTCCTGCGCTTACATGGCCTCCCCACTCCTCTTTCTCGCATTCCAGAACACTTTTATACGAACTTTCCGGACAGACCTCGTATTACATCTTCCCTCACTGATGCCCCACCAGCGTGTACGGGTTACCATTCTATTATCATTCATTAAAAAAAACCGAGTTCAGTGGGCGCGGCACGATTACACGTTCAGCTGACCGCAAGAATAGTAAACGAATTATGTTTTCGCGCCGCGGCGCCGGTTCGCTTTCCTAGCGGGCGGCGGCCGTCAGTCGTGAACTTACGAAATGGGAAACGGTTGGAAACTGACAATGATGTTTCTAACAACTGAGGGATATGTCGACACGGCTGTTTCTACATTTTAATGTGCACGAAGGACACTCTCTTATTGACAAATAAAATGATTAAATGAATCGAGTCAATTTTTTTTATGCAACTTAGACAAGCTGTCGGCCCACCTGATGGAAAGTGGTAACCGTCGCCTATAGACATGAGCAGTACCGTGGACATAACAGAGTAGGTATATTATTTCGCCCATGCGTTGCCATTTCTGAGGATTCAGGTGATATTGCTCTGTACCCTGTAAATTCACTGCCATATATCACCCTTCAAAGGGTGTCACGTACGCGTTGCCGACTCTGAAAAAACCTTATTATACCCTTATTGAAGAACCCTAAATTGTAATTTGGATTAATTGATTTTTTGAAAAATTTTATTCACCAGAGGGAGACTTTGTACAAAAGTCGTTTGCTTGGGTACCTCTGTCCCATTCACGTTTCAATCGTAAAGCAGTTGTATTTGCATAACTGTGTTTCGGTTTGAAGGGTGGGATATGGTGTGAATTTACTGGGTACAGAGGAATAACACCTGAGTCCTCAGGAATGGCAACGCATGGGGGGTATCATGGGCGAAACAGTATACTCTGTTATGTCCACGGTACTGCTCATGTCTATAGGCGACAGTTGCCACTTTCCATCAGGTGAACCGTCAGCTTGTTTGTCATTCTAAGTTGTATAAAAAAAAAAAAGTTCCCTTAGTCGCCTATTATGACACCCACGGGAATGGCAGGGGTGGTCCGCTCTATGCCGGGACCGCACGGCGTTAATTTATATTTATAATATTAATAGGAAAGGATTATATACAAGCGAGTAAAATAAAATAAGCAACGCGTGAACTGAATTTCGTCGGACGTCCACTATAAAATGATCCGCGCACGTTTTCCATCGCGCAATTATAAAATGGGGCGACACGACAGTAACGAGCTTCCGCAGGCCAGGCTACGTTGGACGCGTGACGCACTTGGATTCTATCGGAGATATTAAACCGTTATTTCTGTGAACGTCAATATGGTGGTTGCATTAAAAATGTCGATAAAAACGGCTGACGAAAAGAAATATGTAACAAATTGTAAACGTGACTCGGGTTAATAATTCTTCAAACGAACGTCGTCGACTGAAGATACAGAGCCCGAGGATTTGCCTACATTTAGGGATTCGTATTTAAAAAGTAGAAGGAAAAATAGAGGGCAAAAGAGGAAGGGGAAGACCGAGGAATAACTACATGGGACAGATAAAGGAGACACTAGGTGTCATGTCGTATAGGGAGATAAAGGATATGGCCTGGGATGGAGCTGGCTGGAGAAAGATGCATGAATTAGTTGCACCGACAAGAGGGAACTCTTAAAAGAAGAAGACTAAAAAGGTACAAAGAAACCCTTATGAAGCGGTCAACCCATTGCTGTCAATATTCTCCGTCAGGTCAATCTCCACGTGGTTCCGCTGGAACCATCGTGCTGAATTCCAGGCGTATTCATTATGATGGGCTAACTGATCTGCCTTTTCATTCTAACCTATCACCCTTTACCGGTACTCCGCCAGCGTATACCGTTAGCACAGGCGGGGCTACAGTTTAATTTTCATAAATAAAAAAAAATGGGTTTTTTAATTAATGATAATGAATTACCCTACAATTTTGTCCGTCTATCCTTTCGTCAGTTAAAAACAAGTATCATGAATACTTCTGACACACGATTCTCTCTGCCTACCCCGTATGGAAACTGCCGTGTGGATAGACGATAACAGAAGCGTCGCGACTTCTATCGGAAAAACACAGATGAATGTCCATTGTTTTTTTTTTTTAACAATATCGGAAAGTAATGGCGCGAACAATGGCCGGCGCGTAGAATAACTCTACGATTACATACAGCAGCGTGCATGTTATTGTATTTTTACGTCTATTCGCCACTAGCCTTCAGATAGATAGATAGATAATTTATTTGCATTACTTACAGCACACAAACAAAAATAGACATAGACGAAAAAAAGATAAAAAAGTACATTTTGGTCACAGTATTTTTTGGATTCAAGACTTTAAATATATTCGTTATTGGACTAGTATATAGATATTGTACAATCATTAAAAAATAAGTTTAATACTGGCAACCGAGAAATGCACGCGTTGCCATGGTAACGACATGTAACAAAGAAGTTATTAAAATTAAAACTATTCACCCCAGTAGAACACCACTTTTTATTTATCGTAAAAATCAATTAAATAATATAGGAATTCATTCAAAATCCTCGTTCAGGCTTTAACAGATATTGTAACTAACATATATAGATATTTCAGAATATTTAGTTATTATCATATTTTAGAATATATAGAGTTTTTTTTTTTAAATATATAGGCATTATTTTTATTAAAGGGAGACTTTGTACAAAAGTCGATTGCTTGGCCACCTCTATCCCATTCATGTTTCTACCGTGAAGCAGTTGTGTTTGCATGGCTGTGTTTCGGTTTGAAGGGTGGGTTATAACAGTGAATTTACTAGGTACAGAGGAATAGCACCTGAGTCCTCAGGCATGACAAGGCATGGGGGGTATCATGGGCGAAACAGTATACTCTGTTACGGCCCTGGTACTGCCTGTGTCTATAGGCGACGGTTACCACTTTCCATCAGGTGGGCCGTCAGCTTGTTTGCTATTCTTCCTTCTTCATTCCATTTTTTTTTTTTTTTTTTTTTTTTTTATACAACTTAAAATGGCAAACAAGCTGACGGCCCACCTGATGGAAAGTGGTAACCGTCGCCTATAGACATGAGCAGTACCATGGACATAACAGAGTATACTGTTTCGCCCATGATACCCCCCATGCGATGCCATTCCTGAGGACTCAGGTGTTATTCCTCTGTACCCAGTAAATTCACGCCATATCCCACCCTTCAAACCGAAACACAGCCATGCAAACACAACTGCTTCACGGTTGAAATACGAATGGGACAGAGGTACCCACGCAATCGACTTTCGTACAAAGTCTCCCTCTGGTAATTCCAAATAATATTTCTATACCAAATAATGAAAATTGTTCTGCGTAGTTAGTAGGTACATAGAAATAGCATCGCTTGCACTATCCCCGTGAACAGCGCACTCGCCGCGCGACGCGAGGCGCACTGTCAGCAAACCGCCACGCTGACGTCAATAGCACCACGCGTGAAAACATTCCACGGTAGTTTCAAGTCATTACTGTATCAACTTAGATCATCGTAAATATGTTTTTTTTTATGGGTGAAAAAGGCATGGTAACCCGCCTGTGCTATCGGTATACACTGGCTGGGTACCAGTGAAGGGTAATAGGTGAGGATGAAAAGGTAGGTCAGTTAGCCCATCGTGAAAAATTCAATGATAAATTAGTCACAATAGTTTCGAGGGGGAACCGCGTGGAGGTCGACCCGATAGGGTATATTGATAGCAATGGGGACTTATTTCCCAATTATTAACAATCCCTTGCCTCCATCGTAAATAATTGTATATATAATTGAAAAGAAAGAAAAAATAAATAATTATTTGTCGCGTGTTAGTAACATAGCCCTATGTCCAGCAGTGGGCAGTTAAGACAGTGATGGCCAATAAAAATAAATAAATAAATAACAGTTACAACAAAAACATTAATAAATATGAACTTAAAAGGAAAGAAAATAGAAAAATAAACTTATACCTAATTAAGAATTAGGCGACCACAATGGTCGCCACTCAACTAAATGTTTAGGCATTCAGACATAACGCCTAAACGCTGATTTTCTGTGAAACCATTGTATTTCACAGAAAATCAATTGGAATGGTAGATGGCGCTACCAAGTTTATTACTATTTGAGATGTATTATTATTATACAATAAATACAAATAACTTTATTCTCTGTTTGAAAAGTGTCAAAAAGGATGGGACATAATTTTTAAATATTTTATTTTCACACTTTTCATGAGAATATGATGTACGAAATTAAATTAATTGTGCTACGAACATAAAACAAAAGCGAATGTCACTTTTTTACTTATATCGTTATATTATATAAATGTCAACATATTAATAATAATCGTCATCATCATTTCAGCCACTACCCGTCCACTGTTGGACATAAGCCTCCCCCGTAGACTGCCACAAGGAACGGTCCTGAGCCACCTGCATCCACCGACTGCTTGCAATGCATTTTAGGTGTGGAGGGAGGGGGGTGGGATTATTAATAATGGAGGCTAAGGGCCCCATTGCTAGCAATATACCGAAACAGGTCGACCTCCACGTGGTCCCCCTGGAAACCATCGTGCTGAATTCCAAGCGTATTCAACACGATAGGCTAACTGACCTGTCTTTTCATTCTCACCTATCATCCCTCACTGGTGCCCCGCCAGTGTATACCGACAGCGCAGGCGGGGTTACTAATCCATAATCACCCATTAAAAAAAATGCATTTCAGGTCGGCATTCCATCTAGTGGGAGATCATCCTACACTGCGTTTACCCATACGCGGTCGCCACTCAAGAACCTTTCTTCCTCATTGGTTGTCGGTTCTTCAAGCTATGCGACCAGCCCATTGCCACTTCAGTTTGCTTATCCTTCGGATTATGTCGATTATTTTGCTTCTTTTGCGGATAAGATGCATGAATTAGTCGCACCGACAAGAGGTAACTCTTAAATTAAAAAGAGAAGAGGAGCGGATATCCTCGTTTTGGATTCTATCACGCAAAGAGTTTATTATTAGTAATGAATTATACATATTACAAATTAATTGAGTTGCATATTTAAGCTTCAAAATTATTAAAATATTCATTAACTGAGTAAATACATGTTTCTGTTAACCACCTTTTTAGTTTCTTTTTAAATATATTCAAGGGTAGTGTGTTCATTTCGTTCGTTGGTTTATTGTAAATGCTTATTGTCATACAGTAGGCATTTCTGCTGTACAAAGTTGTAGTTTTTTAAGGTAATACTAAATTATGAGGATTTCTTGTGTTAAAATTACAGAAATCACTTTTCTTTTAGAACAAATGCAAAAGTGTTTTCGCAAATATGCATACTTCATATATATATATATATACATATATATATATACATATATATATATACATATATATATATACATATATATATATACATATATTTATATACATATATTTATATATATATATATATATATATATATATATATATATATATGTGTGTGTGTGTGTATGTATATATGCAACGTTTCTGTGATATAAGAGCACGGTTTGCATAATTCGAGTTACCCCAAAGAAGATATAGCATATCTCAAAATAGAACTGATATAGTTTTCCCGGGGGAAAGGGATTGTTAGTAATGAGGTCTAATTGCTCCTTTGCTAGCAATATACCCTCTCAGGTCGACCCCCACAAATTTTGCATTTTTTGTCGCAGTCCTCTTCCTTGTTCATCAGCCATAATAATTACTTTTTTCTGCTGGATCGATTCTACATTTAATTTTTTCTTTGTAGTAGTTAATAGGACAGAAGGAGAGACAGAAGCGGATATATTGCTTTCTGGATTATCTTTACATGTATCCGCACAGTTTGGTAATGATTTCAATATATTTATATTATTACAGATATTGGAGTCCTGATTCTTTAACTCAGGCGATGTGCATTCTGTATGTAATAATTTTCTTGGTATATTGGTACATAATTTCTTATTTATGTCTAATATATATCGGCTAGCTTCTAGCATATTATACGATGTGATATTCGATTTAATTGAATGTTTTCTTTTTGAAATTGGTGTGCTTGTTCCCGATTCTATTTCCTTATATAATTTATTGATTTTATCCTTTGATTGTAGTTGCAATGTTAATTGTTTATTCACCAAGAGTAAATTTTCTATTTCGGTATGAGCTGATTTTAGTTCAATATTGAGTGCTTCTATCTGTTGTTTCAATTCAGCCGTTTCTTCACTGTCTTCTAATGAGGCATTTGGAGCGCTTCTTATGGTGATATTTGACAAATCTAAATAAGGTACCGAATTACTACGCTGTCGTCTCATTGTAATGAATTCTTCGTCCATCTTTTATTAGGATGTTTTTTATATTAGTATTTAATATCTATATAATCTTCTGAAGAAATTTTTTACATGTAGACAATTTCCGTATATACTATGAATAACAAAAAGGTCTCATACACGTGTGGATTCAAACCTTCGGACACAGAGTTAACAAACTGCAATCTTATCAATGCTACCACTGTTCCATAGCGACGATTCTGTCTTGTGCCGTTGAAAAATATTTTCGTTTGCAAGTAGGGTATTTTTAATTATTTATTTTTTCAGATCCACCTTCATATTAGAAAAAAAAAGTGTACATACCAATTTTATGTCCATTCAATTATATCATATAATACAACGTTTTTAAGTTACAAAACATCACACAGTATAGAGCAGTAACAGTTTTCTGCAATAATGAACACCTTAATACTATTTTTTTTAATACGTTCAATATTTTACGATAGCACTCTTTCATTTATATATCGTTTGTTTTTTTCACTGGAATCGAATTTATTCGTTGCTAATACTAATGTGTATTAGTTAATATAGTATTGAACGATTTCTAACACTTTTTTAGATATAGAAAAACTTTAAGTATTTTTTAAATGAATTTTAATCTGGAGCCTTTGTTTACGTGACAGGTGACTACCCACAATTCAATTTATGGGCCCCATTTTAATCACTGCATTACTTTATGTACAAATCTAATCCGTTACCTGCAATTAATCTTAGCATATTCAAGGCCTTTAATTCTATGCACTTTGAGGGCATTATTTATGATACATTACTGCGACGTAAATGCGATAATAGGTTATGGGCCCGTTTAGGTTTTTGGCAAATAATTGTTGAAATTTAATTTAGTACTCATAATAACCAATGACAATTCAATATTACAACATACAAAATCTAATCTGTTTTCAAATTTGGAAGCTGACCACAGATTCTCCTCTATGGTGTCAATAGATAGTGATCACGGTTAAAGAATAAAGACCTTTATGTTAGTGTTTTTTTAAACTACATTTTATACATATAAATATTTACATTATAACATAATAATTCTATATTAATGTAACATGCATACACGTAAAAATAAACTAGATACATCATATTTATAATTGTGAATCTTTAAAAGTGAATATGACCCAATACTAAATTCCACGCGACAGGCTTAGCAGCCGGAGCGAGCCGAAGCCCTATAGCATAAAAGAGGGGGCTGTACAAATGACTTGGATCCCACCTGACCAAAACCGCTCGCACTCCAACCCCCGTCCCTGTCGCCGCGGTACAGTGCGACAAGGATGGGGCCATAACTGTGCGCGGTACAAAAGCCTAGCGTTCCGGGCGTGACGTCACGGGGCGAGGGGACACGCCGCGCCGCGGGGAGGCGCCCCGCGACGCGGCACCGGCAGTGTACGGCTGACCGCCAAACCGAGTGGACGGGTGCACGATGCGCGCGCGGTGAAAAAACAATCGCAATGCTGTTCGAGAGTCCCAACGCGAAACTGTTCCCGGCCTTCAACATCCCGCCGCCAGTGAGGCTCAGGTGAGCTCCGAGCGGCTAATTATCCCGCGCGTCCCCATCTTCCCTTGCACGTATTCTAATTTGCCAGTGCTCGTTCAAGTGCCAGTGTTATGTACACGGTTTTTGAAGCCGTAAAAGAGCCAAGTCAATACAGTGTCATTAAAATGGTTCAGTAGCCTCGAGCCGAGAGCTCGCTGGCGGGTAACGCTCGAGCGGGCGACCACAATACGTCGATACTGCTCTATTTTTTGTTCCAAGTGTCCGTAGTTAGTGTCGATTCGAAGAACACATTTCATGAAGTGATTTTACTTAATGGAACGAAGACCAGCGTCGTTTGCTATGAAGAAGCGATGTTCGAAACGAGACGAAACAAAGCGGTGCTGCTGTGAGAAATTCCTCGACGGACCGAGTCGGGACAATCGATATATCCTTTGACTCGATCCACTAAAATTTCCACGCAATCCATTCGCGTATTAACGGGTTTCCAAACACCAATAAATTCTGATACGATTTTATGATGTTTATCCGAATCATCGAGATCGTGTCGATTCATGTACACCTACCTACCTATGTCGATTGTAAACAGAAGCTTGCATCCTGTTGCTCCCTGTTGCTGACTTGCCATATATCCGGCATTAATGACATTACATGTTACCGTTTTGTCATTGCAGACGGTATGTTTTATAAAATAAAGTCTAGAATTGAACTAATATTTTCTAAAAAAGCTATTAAAACTCATATTAAGTAGACGATTCCAAGAAATAGTAGAAGCAGTTATAGAATTATTACATTATTTAAACGATTATGAGAGATTAAGAAATTCTCACTGGTGTAATATTGTGTTATTTATTTAAACTTTAATATATATGTGCATATGGCGGACTTAATACCGCATATATTGACGTTGAATTAAAAGCTCACATCACACAGCAAATTGTCAAAGTTTCATAACTGAAATCAGTAAAGATAACTCTGGAATTGCCTACGATTTATAACACATATTTCCAAGGGTAAATGTGAAAAAGATGCTTACTCTTTTTCATCGCGGACGCTTTTTGATGTAAAAGTCTTGGGATCAAATCGACATCGCATCAAATAAGGCAAGGTAACGTCTACTGACGTGTATTCGATGCGTCTATGATTTGACGCCAATTGGATTGCATTTAAACTCACCCCGTTGGTTCCTGACCGATCTGCTGGATTATATACTCGTAGTATGTTATGACCTCTACAAGGTTGCATGCAATACAGTTAGCACTTAGTTTTTTCAAATCCAAGTTTTCGTTTACCAAAATTATTATTTCTAAACAATTTACTCTACTATTATTTTTTATTCTGTGCTCAAACACATTTACGTAATCTAATGTGTTTTATAAATTTTCATCTATTCTTTATTGTGTCTAAATCTCGTATTGTGTCTAGTAAAAGTGGTGATCAGTCACAAATTCTTCAAGTGTCTGGAACTCGCTCGAGTTTTCCATCTTGTATTTTGTTTTATAGTTTAAAGTGTTGTAGGGAAAAATAAATAAACATTACTATTATTACATCCACCAATTGCAAGTTATAAGGCTTTATATTTCTTGCACCATTTGTCAAGGTTCTGATCTATCCCCATCCATTGCTTCCCAGCTATCCTTACTATGTTATCCGACCATCGTCTTGGAACTCTGTCCAATGTACTCCAAACGTCTCTTGGTCACTATACTTAGTCTTAGACTTTTCTTTTTAGATCTACCTTCCCTCTTGCTTTGATTATTCTTCATTGTACATGAACATAGTGATAAAATATTTAATTTTTTAATTAATGCGCTACAAAATCTAGCCTATCATTAATAAGAGATTTCTTTCAGAAAATCTCAAGTGTCCTACTCATGTCCACTTTTATTTCTTTCATTGATGTTTTAAACATGTAATTTAGAATAATCCATAGAAAATGACAATTACTTGACCTTGTCCTATAAAAGTTTACACTTTAAACACTCTCAAAACTTTATATAAAAATCGTGGCTGTTTTCCTCGCAACCTATAATCTTGCAATCCCATAGGACTATCCGGAATAGAATACCACATATCCCTCAGGGATAGATTGTTTTTTTTTATTAGCGAACAATTTTTAGAATCGTTTCAATAGTTTGAGAGATTAGCTCTTTGAAATGCGAACTACTTTCATCTCTACAACAAACAGATCAATAGAGAACAGACAGTTTATTAAGAACTACCAGAATCTGTCTTTATATATGGATCCAATTTTACCTCAATAAAATATAAGTCGTGATGGCTTTATATTGAATGGACCCCGGTAAAATGCTAGCGAAAATGCCCGATAATACCTCTCTCTTTCCGTGAGTAGGCAAAGTAGATAAAACCTTATCTGAGAAATCAGTTCAGGGATAATGATAGGGCTGATATACCTGAAGAAGGGAAAGGCCCTTAAAACATAAAAATGAAAAGAATAGTTGGAGATGTATATATAAAACCAAAATTGGATGACATAACTCTGTATGTTTATTTTAATGAATGTAAAAGTAGTTAGAAATATTTTTTGTAGCATTTGAAATGACAATGTTCTAGTACAAAATTCCACGAATCAATTTTTATGGTGTTTGAAAAACATCAATAAATGGAATGAAATTAACATATGATATTAAATAAACAAAGGATATTAATAAAATGAACAGATAATGAAAATTACGATTAAATTATTATAATTGAAATTAAGTTAAATTATAAATGAATAATATAGTAGCTCAGGACCGTTCCTTATGGTAGTACATAGAGGAAGCATATATGCAACAGTGGACAGATAATGGCTGAGCTGACAATGAGAATGAAGCTAAATAAATAATATATAATAACGAGGTACATCAAAATAAATATATAGAGTGCCTGTCATAGAAAATCAAGTGCAGGCTTGATTTTTACAATACCACTGTACAGGCGCGTTTTGCGAACGTTAGCTGATTCGCGACCCAAATGTGTTTTGCAAGCTGCACATTTAAACAGATATACGACATAATAAACGAACATGCAATACTTACAGTATAATCACTTTTATATTTTAAATTATATGTGCTGAAGAAGGGACAAATTAAAAGTGCCCGTAACCGGCGAGCGTGTATGACAAGATTGATGAATGTGGAGGAAGCGAAAGAGGTTTGTTTGAATCGAAGCATTTGGCGTTCCATTGTTTCTGCCTACCCTGATGGGAGACAGGCGTGACAGATATGTATGTATGTATGTATATTTTAAATCATCATTGCATCAGCCATCAATTGTACATTGCTGAACATACGCCTTCCCCATAAGAGAGAGTTTTATCAGTAGGTAGGGAACCGCAGTTAGGCTCTGGTGATGTCTTAAGAGGGACGCTGCTGCCTATTCCTCGATCATTAAATCCCCTTAGTCACCTCTAATGACACCTATGGAAAAGGAAGTGGTGGTCCATTCTATACCGAGACCACATGGCACATATATTGAACTAAAATGATTATGACGTTAATTGGTTACCATTATTTTGTTTAATTTCGCTCTAATCAGTTATTACTATCTTTAATCCCATACCAGGCTGTTTAGATCTACAGTACTGCAAACCTTTTTGTATTCATTGTGCTCGGCCTTTCCTATATTTCGCCGTTAATTTCTGTCATCGACAGGTATTTTAGAATGTTCTTGGCAACGACGTTTGACAACTCCATCGGTAATACACAATGTTATGTAAGAAGGTACAGAGGTTGACTTGGTATAAACATTTTATGAGGAAGAATGAAGATTATGAAGGATATAAGAGAAGAGAGAGGCTCGAACAAGATCGGAAGCAAAATAGAGGTGTCATAAGCGAGATAAGATTAATATTTCTACACAAATTTTACAGCAAATTACTGGCCACTTAAATAAGAGAATTAATACATAGTATAATTTTACCTATATTATGACACTGTAGAACTTCTAGAAGACTGGACATGATTGAACTTCAAATAAGGTAGCTAAACTCACAATTTGCAAACAACTATACAAAGGTTGTCTGAAAGAGATCAGTCTTCGCGATAAGGCCGCCATTTTCTCAGTGTGCTTATTCTCTTGTAATTATTTGAAGTTTATTACTGTAATTTTTTGGAGGGAATAATAAAGAGTATCTGTCTATCTATTTATAAAAAAATACTTGTACCAACATTAGAATAGAAGCTACAACATACTAGATCACATAGGAGAACAAAAACACCAAACTGTTATATAAAGAATGACGACAGTGATACAAAATGTTGAATAAGTATAAAAATATGTTTTTGTTCTAATAAACTGAATTATAAGTGTTTTTGGATAGTCATTTTTTTATGACTCTATCGTTGGTAATTAAAGAATCATATATATGAATCCATAGTATATACATACTATATATACTATGGATTCATACTAATAGCAGTGGAATTAAAATAATACTAAACAAATCACCAGTCATTTGAATTTCCATTAAAAGCTAATCTCAATAAAATTTGTTCTTGATTTAGATAAAGCTTTTTGACAATTATTTCTTTTAATAATACTTCCTGCTCAGAAACATACGTTATGAAAGAGAGAGAGAATGAAATCTAACTAAATATCACACAAAACAGTTACCGACCATTATGAATTTTCGAAGGTATTCTATTGAACTCGCTGCATTCAAATTACATATATACGATACGGTTTGGTGGCCCTGATATCTACAATTATTTGACTATGTGCATGATATAAACAATAACATACAATTACATAAAGTACCATTTCAGTTACGAATTTTTATGCACACTGGCCACATATTCAACATTTAAATAGTACAACGGTAAATGCATTGCACCTAACAAGTCATATATTTATCAATGCAATTTTATTGTGTGACAATGAAATGGCCACCTACGCTGACGGTACACGCTGATGGGACACCAGTAAGGGATGATAGGTGAGGATGAAGTCAGGTCAGTTGGCCCGTCGTGACGAACGCTTTCATCCTCACTTATCGTTCCTCACTGGTGCTCCGTCGACGTATACGAGTATACAGATAGCGCAGGCCTCTGACTACCCCATTACAAATAGTCGCAAGTATATATTTGTTTTAAAACAACAAAATGTATTATTTCTCTCCAAATAATCCTTAGTTCGCTGGATTAAACACATTCCCACGCACAGTGGTCTAATCAAGAGGCGAGATACTAAGCGCCCGGGACAACTAACAATCCATAAATGTCCCGTTACTGGACACAGGTCTCGCCATAAGAGGAGGACGCCCGTTCATTGTTAACGCGGTCGCCGGCCGGCTTGGTTTATGTTATGGTTCCCTGCCAACTTGACAGAAAACCGTACAATCTTTTTTCTGGCGCTGGCGTAATAGCGTTTCACTTTATTCGTCTTTTACTATATCCTAAGGAAAAAGAGGAGTCCTTAAGAATTCATGTACTGATAATAGAAATGTGAAAGTCATTTTCTTTGTTTGTTTTCTTTCAGCGCCTTAATAACTTAACCAATCACTATGAAATTTGGTATACACGTATTATACTTATCAGTAGAGTATCCAAATGTATAAATACCATGTCATTCTATGTCGTATGATCCCGGCACAGAATCGGCCACCCCTTCCTTTTCCGTGAGTGTCATAAGAGACGACTAAGGGAAATTAATAGTTGAAAGATGGGTAGTAACC